ATATTTATCAAATGTTCTTTACCTGTGCAATTAATGAGACCATATATGTAAATTTAAAATAGAAATAGGGAATAAACTGTGAAGCTAAACATGAAAAACCAATATTGCAGAAACAAAGAAAGAGATAAGGAGCTATCAGCGTACACAGAAATGAATAGTTGTGAAACACAAATCTTGATGGGGGAGGTAACAAGCCTTCCTCCAAGAAAAGGGGGAAGGATAGCACTGCTGGATTTGGCTATGTGTGTTCAGCAGAATGCCTGAAGACACCTTTAGTTGCAACACTGTTGGCTTGCTCCATCGCAGTGAGCAAATGATCATCATGTGCCTTTTCTTTTAAATTTATCATGTGAACTTGAATTGTACTAGTTACATTATGTGTACCAAATCAGTTGCTGAACTTTTATTGACATGAATTGGTACCAAACCAGAGCAACTGAACACAAACCCCAAAAATTTATGCTTTTATATTTTTGTTTACACATGGGAACTAAAAGGCAAAGAAAACCAAGAAAAAGCAGTAAGTGTATCCCAGTCCTACTAAAGGCACAGATGAATTCAAGACTCATGCTACTCAGAAAAGATGCCTGATCTATTGATATGTTAATTTATTACTTTAGCACTCACTGTTCTGAGCACCAAGGTGCATCCCTTCCTAAGCAGGAGGACATCCAGAAAGAACACATAGCTAAAACTGTTCTTAAGAAGGGAAGATTTATGAATTGCCACCACACCTCTCATCAGGCAAGAAAGAGAAACTACATTCATGCTGAATGATTTCTTTCTCCATTGACAATAATTCAAGGGTCTGTTCATACCTTCTCTCAGTGTGTGTTTACTCTTTCATATTTACAAAGGGCACAACAGGAAACTAGAATGTTCCAATAAGCATTCTGAGTTATTCTTCCCTAGGAGTTGGCAAATACAGTGGTACCTCGCAAGACAAAAAACTCGCTAGACGAAAGGGTTTTTTGTTTTTTGAGCTGCTTCGCAAGACGATTTTCCCTATGGGCTTGCTTCGCAAGACAGAAACGTCTTGCAAGTTTGTTTCCTTTTTCTGAACACCGTTAATACAGTTGCGACTTGACTTCGAGGAGCAACTCATAGAACGCGGTGTGGTAGCCTTTTTTGAGATTTTTAAAGACTTTGGTGATTTTTGAAGCTTTTCCAAAACTTTCCCGATACCGTGCTTCGCAAGACGAAAAAAATTGCAAGACGACAAAACTCGCGGAACGAATTAATTTCATCTTGTGAGGCACCACTGTAATGCTGAAAACTAAGAATGGCCTGGATTATTTGGTATTATATTCCTTTTTAGAAAGAAAACACCATTTTTTGTGTACAGGTAACTTTCAATTTAGGGATGCGGGTGGCGCTGTGGGTTAAACCACAGAGCCTTGGACTTGCCAATCAGAAGGTCGGTGGTTCAAATCCACACGACGGGGTGAGCTCCCGTTGCTCGGTCCCTGCTCCTGCCAACCTAGCAGTTCGAAAGCACGAAGTGCAAGTAGATAAATAGGTACCGCTCTGGCGGGAAGGTAAATGGCGTTTCTGTGTGCTGCTCTGGTTCGCCAGAAGCGGCTTAGTCATGCTGGCCACATGACCTGGAAGCTGTACTCTACTCCCATGGCCAATAAAGCAAGATGAACACCGCAACCCCAGTCGGCCACAACAGGACCTAATGGTCAGGGGTCCCTTTACCTTTACCTAACTCTCAATTTATGCAGGGGTTATGTTCCAATGATACCACGTAAAGCCAAAATCACATATAGTCACAACACATTGGGTTCCATGGCAGGTGTGATTGTCAAAGTCCCCGTCCCCCCAAACGTCCACCCCTTTCACCCCTTTTTATTTTTATTTACAGAGCACATAAAACCTAATGTGTGCAAGTTTAACTGCATGTTGCAAGTTATATGTACTTCATTTACTCAGTGTCTTAACTACACTGTTAAGAGCCTCACATCAGTTATCTACACAATAAACGAAGAGACCCAAATATATACAAACTGAATCTATACAATATGGATCTTGTATCAATATTTTAATGTTGTATTTTAATTTTGTTTTTAAGTTGTAATCATTCAACTTGTTTTTATTATTGTTTGTAAGCCGCTCTGAGCCCAGCCTTGGCTGGGGAGGCCGGGGTATAAATAAAAATTATTATTATTATTATTATTATTATTGTTGTTATCTTAAAGGATAGTTAAATATAACAATGCATACAGCTAAAACATTGAAATAAATGTTCCAGGTAAAGACTCAGGAAAATCATTTTAAAACTTACCTAGAACATTAAAGGTTTTGGAATAATAAAATAAAACAATTTGGAAGGACCTTAGGAGACACCCAATGCAACCTCCATTTCAGTGCAGGATATACTAGATTTCAAGAATCTCCATTAGATGTTGGTCTATACTATTTTAATTGAGGTGCTTCTTACATCTGAGCAAACTGTAAATGTGAGTGCACTATCTCTTTGTGACCACAATAAGGACACATAGTGAACATCATTTTAACCACCCTGGCACACTCAAAATCTAAATGACAAAGGAGTGTATTTCACCACCAACTTATATGTGGAACAGAAAGCTGGTTCAAGTTAAAGAGTAACTTCTAAAGGGTAACTTGAGTCAAATTTGATTCTTATTATGAAAATACTTTGTAACTGCTCTATTTGGGTTATAAAGCAAGATACAAGTATCCAAAGGAAATACTGTAAATAAAAACTATTTCCTGTTCATTAGCATGAAGAACTGTATAGGTTGTGATTATGTATACATGGTATTTTACTGAAGGGTGCACCCCACACCTACCACTCTCAGTGCATGTTTCGGATACAGCAGGAATTCTAGCCGGTTTTTTCTATTATTATATAGCTGTGTACATGGTGCTTTATAGAGTAACATAAACTAGACAGGTATATAAGCAGAGAATGAGCAGAGGTGGCATTAAATGAAGTGCCACAGCTCAGTGGTGCAGCATTTGCTATGCACGCAGAAGGTCCCAGTTTCAATCCCAGGTAGAATTAGGAATATCCCTAGTCTGAAATCCCAGAGAGCTGTTGCCAGTCACTGTAGACAATACTGAGCTTGATGGACCAATGGCCTAATTTGGTATAAGAAGTCTGCAATGATTTGTACTTAGTTTGTAATGAGGTGAGAGAGTTGAATCAGGCACAGATTTGGACACTACTGGTCTCTGAAGCTGCTTTAAGAGCATTAAACTCGAAGTCGTGTAAAGCTTCTCTCTAGGGGTAGCAAATATTTGGCCCTCTAGATCTTCCTGGGCCTCCAATCAGCTGCAGCCCTCATGACCAATGGTCAGGAATGATGGGAATTGTAGTCAAACAACACCAAGAGGGCCACAAGCTTTCATTTGAAGCATAGAAGCAGACTCCTAAATTCCCCCTCCCCCAGGATCAGAAAGCAACAATAAACCCAACATACTAGGCCTTTCTCCTTTGCAATCCCAACTGATATTTAGTAAAGCTTCTGCAAGAACACAATTGTTCAATCAATCAATCAATAGACTTTATTTGCGTAGCTGACAGGCCATAGCATCAAAGGACAAATTTCAGTAGGGCTTGCAAGAGCAAGTTTTCCAATAATTTGTACCTTGTGAACCATAATTCAGTAGTAGATTGTCTGAGTCACATGCAGCAGGTCCCAAGTTCAATTCCCTAGCAAACCCTGTTAAAGGCACCAGCTTTCAGGAGCTTGGAGAGATTTCTGAGGCTTGGAGAGTTGCTGCCAGTCAGAGTGGACAATACTGGGTTAGATGGCTATTCAGTGTGACCAGGTAGAAGGTGGGTGGGTATGTGTGCCATTTTCTACCTTGGAGTGACGCATGAAGATGCAAGATTGACAAGGCAACTCTTGAAGGCATGAATGCATTAGTGACTGAGAAGTGCCACGTTATTCCCAGTTAATCCCAGATAGGAGTTTCACTGTATTTTTTACACACCCCAATACAGCACCACCCAAAAGAGAAGCTCTCTGAGTTTACCCTCCAGAATGCTCAAAACTGGGACTGCATAGACCAGATCCATTTTCAAATTTTCTTTCTTTCCTCAACCCCCATAAGGAGCGCAACCCCACCCCCACCCCCGCTGCAACCTCAGGGTAAATTTACACCCACCCACTCAAAACGCAGCTGCTTACCAGAATAGCAATTTCAGCAGTAAAAAACCAACCAGCCTCGCTTAAATAAAAGTTTTCTAGCGCCAGCGGCATGGAATAAAGCATTTCAATACTTTATGGGGACGAGAAATGCGTTTCCCCAAACTTGTGTGTTGCTCCAGCTGCTTTTTTGGACTACAGTTCCCATCATCCTTGACCACTGGTCTTGCTAGCTAGGGATGACGGGAGTTGTAGTTAAAAAAAAAGCCAGCCGAAGACCCAAGTTTGGGGAAACGCTGCTTTACAGAGAAGTACTTCTGCACTGCCAAATAAAAATAAAATAAAACCAACGGGGGTGGGTGTGGAATAAAACTCCCCCTGTTCATTTCAGTGCATCCTCCGCAAGCAAATATTTCACAATACCGTTTGAGAGGCCTGGCGCGAAGGAACCCTAAAGCTACCTCCCTCCAAAAAAATATTATTATTAAAAAATCTCGTTTCTTCGGCCTAGTCACCCCTGAGAAGCGTCAGGACTCGGAATAAGGATCACGTCCCGCCGAAGGGGCTCAGGAAAAGCTGCCTCAGCCCTAGCGAACACGAGTGGGAAGAATATTCAAAGGAAACGAGGGGTGCGCCTCTAATGGCGGGACGGGAGCCGCCGGCCCGCGCCGGGAAAGAGCGCCAAAGTGGGCGCGGCGGGTCGCCTCACGAGCGCTCGGCCACTCGCCTCAGTACCTCAGCTCCTGACGGGCTCAAGCGAGGCCTCTCAGCAACCGGCAGCGGCGGCGGCAGTGGCAGCCTCGGCCGCTTCCCCCGGCGCGCCTCAGCCAACCCGAGCGCCGCTCCTCCCTAGCGGCGTGACTGAGGGAAGGCGGGCCTAGTGGGCCGGCGGGCGCCTGCGCCTTGTCGGCGGCCGGTGTGCCAGCGGAGCGGGCGGATCCCCCACGACGGGGCCCGGCTGACGTGTCTGCGCTACAGAGCAGCCCGGCCCGGCTGTGCCGGCCTGGGTTGAGGGGAAGAGAGGAGAAAAGAGGAGGCGGCGGAAAGCGGGCCGGCGCCTCTCGAAGACTCTGCCTTGCGAGGAGGCCCAGGCGGCGGCGGCGGCGGCAGCTCCTCGGCTGGAAGAAAAAGCCCCGCCCGGCCTGCACCATGTTCAATGTGGAGAGCCTGGAGCGGGCCGAGCTCGGGGAGAGCTTGCTCACCTGGGTGAGTGACCGAGGCTTGTGGCGGGGGGGAAAGGTGCCGTTCCCCGGGAGCTTTTGCCCCCTGGGCCTGTGCTCCTTTTCTCCTTCCCTCCCTTTCCCAGTTTGGTGCCTGGGCGGCTTCCTTCTGTCTCTAACTCGAGCTCCCAGTTGGGCCCTGCCATGCCTCGAGCCGGTCTCTGTTCTTTTGAGGGGCTCCACACGCTTTGCCTCGCTCACCCCGGTTATGGGCTTCGGCCCCCTAAGATGTGCCCAGCCTCATCCTGCTTATTCAGATGCAGGCAACCCGCTGGATTCATCCGGGCTGCTTAACTACCAACTCACTCTGCGTATAGTGAGTGGTATGATTCTGTGTATTTATTTGTTTTCATATGCAAAATTCAGAGTGCGAAGGTGGCAAGTAAGTTTCTGCAAAGCATGTGTTGGGCAGGTACACAGTCTCAAGGAACCAGCCACTGGTTTCCCTGTGAAGGTCCACCTGGCTTTTGTTTTGTTTTTTAGTGTGTGAAAAAGCACAGTAGAACACCTAGTATCTCCTTTCTTCTCCCCGTGGATTGTATCCAGCAAAATTTACTTAGAGTAGACCAGCTGTAATTAATGGATTTGATGTCCATTAGTTTCAATAAGTCTGTATGGACTATGACTAATAATTGGATTCCGCCCCATCTTTCTTGTCCTTTGAAGGCATTAATGTCATCAAGCCATGAAAGGGCTGGGCTTGCTTATTTCGACATCTCTCCCTTCACAGCTTTGCTGTAAATGCAGCTTCTGCTTCCCTTTAAATCTCATCAGTCTCTTTTAGTGTTTGCATAAACTTGTGCAAAACTTCGCACTTGTGGCTACCAGTGGGACAGTTTGCACCTAATTACATTTCTTGGTGAAAAACTACTTAAAGGCTAGTACTTGGACTCTACAAGACTCTTGGTTGGTTTTTCTCCAACAGAATAACATAGCTATCTGTCTCTCTTGAAGGTGGGGTAGTGCTTATAATCTGTTAATTTCAGAGAAGTGAGTATGTATCTAGTTGTGGTTTTCAGATGTTGACTTCCAAGCAACTTGGGCATTGGGGGGAAATCTACCCACATATCCTGTTGTAGTGTGCTTTGTCTATCTAAAATCAATAGGTTGTCTTTGTTCCATTTTAAAGAGACTTCAGGCATTTGGGCCCAGAGGAGCATTATTTCCACAGGTCTAGAGCGAGGAGTGATGGAACACAGAGATACACTGTTGGAGATATTTGGGGTATACCTCCATGTTGTCATACTTTTCAGTCTTTTGTAGAGCACTGTGCAGGGAGAAAATAAAGGCAACCAGCATTGCTAAGAGGCAAATAGTTGTAGCTAATTTCATATCTGTATTTTTCAGCCAGATGTGTATGCAGACAGTTGGGATCCATGCCTGGTTTCCTATGCTCTTGTGTGTGAATCCATAATCAAATACCTTGGAATACAATGCTTCTGAAGATAAAGTTTCCATCATGTGCAGGAGATAAAGAATAACAACTTGTATCAGGGTCCTTAACTCTTTTGTAGGTAGTGTTCTTATTATTACTTCAATTAAAAAGAAATCTGCACCCTTGAACTTAAACAAATTCAATTCTGTTGATTGCAGCAGGGCTATTTAAGATCAAATTCTATTCTGAAAGATGCTGTTGCCTACAAACGAATGCTTTGTTGATTAAATTACAGAGCAGTCTTAACTGGACAGATATGCCAGTGTATATTCAATTTAAGGTGAGGTGTATCCTAACAGCCACTGTGTGGGTTTGTGGGGAGCAGTGTAAACCTTTAATTTCCGACCTACCACTAAGTCCCGTGGACTGAATTTTAGTTAACCTTAATTCTTGATGGTGTAAGTTACACAGAAGTCTGTGAGTGGGACCAGTGAATGGAGTTAGGATGCAGCATAACTTAGTTTTTCCATGACACGCACCCTTTTTGACCTTTACACCAGAGTAACGTTCCACTGCCTTAATTTATGCCAGCAGGGATTTTTGTCAGCCATTGTAAGTAGATATGCCAGGGTAAGCCATTTATATTGGTTTATTCTGGGGTGAGAAGATATGCCACAGCCTAACCTCTCTCAGCTGACATATCTCTGGTGTTAGAATTGCCTCACCAGTCAAGAACATGTGATCTGTTATCCCTAGAACTAAATTACCTTCAGGTTGTCAGCAAAAAGTACATGGACACCAGGGATAATACACAACTTCAGTAGGACTTTGCCAGGTGAAAATTTGTCTCTTACACCTTAAACCTATAAATAAATAAATAACCAAATGAATGTATGCAGAGTTTATTGTGCTGTCTTACTGCACTTTGATTTTTAACAGCTACATATTAACTGTGTTATGTTCGGACATAGTTAGTTTTGTGGTTTCTGAAAAGGGGCATAAATTGCCTCCAGTGTTGTACTTGCCACCCAGATACTTTGTCCATTTCTGTGTTTGTAATGCTAGGTGTCTGGAGGGTGACTGTTGCCAGTGCAGGCTTGATTCTGCTGTATTAGTGCAACATCCTGTGATGTTTTCCAGTTAGCAAAGTACAATATTCCTCACCATGCTACAGAAGATCACACCAGTACACTCTTCATCGGACTCCAGCTAGTTTAAGATACTGCTTTTTTTTCTATCGAAAGGTTTGAGAATGCATACTCAGATGTTATGCTAGACTGAAATACCTGTGCTGGCTGCCAATTCATTTCCAGGCCGAGTTCCTGGAAACTAATATTTTTCAAATGAGATTGCTTTCAGTTTCACCTTATGTAGAGGCCAGATTTGACTTTTTCTGTTGCAGTACTATCGTATTTTTTCCATGTATTAGACGCCCCCATGTATAAGATGACCCCCTATTTTGGGGGGCTGTAAATTAAGAAAGTGGGGGGAGATTGTCCAGAGTTGTTGAGCACTCCTGACTGACGCAGCGGCAGCCAATAGACAACAAAGCTTGCCGCAGTCACCAAGCACCCGCCCAATCGCTGCTGACAATCTCAGGCTCGCGGCAAGAACCAATCACATGGGCAAACTACACACTACCAATGTATAAGACACCCCCCCCCAAATTTTTTTTTGAATTGATTTGGGGTAAAAATAGCTCGTCTTATACATGGAAATGTACGGTATATCTCTGGAATGCTGTCCATACATGCTGACTTTCAAAGGGAGCTGGACACCTTTATTTTCCATGTACTGTAATCTTTAATTTGACTGGTTGTTTCATTTTACTGCAACTGTATTCTGCACTTATGATTTTTCTTTGTTTTAGTTAATATGCATCTTAAACTTCATGTGTTGGTTCCAAACTTAAGTCATGCTTCAACTAGACTCATTGAAATCTGTGGGACTTTACATTGGTTATCCACTGTGAATTTGATTAAACCCCTTTTAAAAACATCCAGATTAGTAGCCATCAGCTACAACTTGGGGTAACGATTTTTAAATTCATTATGCACACTTTTGTTTGTTCTGAATCTTTCAAAATTCAGCTTTATTGAAGTTTTAGTGTTGTAAGAGAGAGAGAGAGAGAAACTTATCGTTGGGTGTAAACTCTACAATGTGGAGGGCAGGCTTTCTGTCCCACTGCTTTGCATTGAGTCCATATTTATTAATTGCTAGTATTTTTCTCTCCAACTTGCTGCTTTCTCTAGAGAAGTAATTAATAAGGAAGTGAATACTTATTGCATTCTACATTTCCTGGAAACAGAAGTAAATAACGGTCAGTGTTTGCACCAATCTTAACTGGTAGAAAGTCCTTGCATGTTGGAACCTTTAAATGGCCCTGGGATACACATAAGATCCTATTACTGTATTATTATTATTATATTATAAAAATGCATTTCAGAATAAATTATTCTCTTTTCCCTATTTCAGTGGCCTTTTTCCCCGTATTTACAGTGCAGACATATGTATCCCATTTGTGCATTGTCTTTCTTGTTGCCTAAATCAGCATAACCTTTAAGGGAGAGAGAAAAGGGATTAAGCAAGCCCAGTCCATTTACAGTTTAATTCAAATAAGTTTTTAAAATTATAATGTATAGTTATGGATGCGTGAGTAGCATAAATTGCAGAAGGGCTGTAGCTCAGTGGTAGATAATCTGCTTTGCATGTAGAAGGTTCCAGGTTCAGTCCTCTGGCATCTGCAGGTAGGGCTGGGAGAGAACCTTGTTGGTAATCCTGGAGACCCACTTACAGTCGGTATGGACAACACTCAGCTAGACGGACCAGTAGTCTGTGTAAGACAGAGTCCTAATAACACTTTAGTTCTTGTCAATGAGAATCATTTGATACATCATGTCTTATGCTGCTTCTGGAAGAAACTTGGGTTTTAGTGAGTCTCTAGGGGAATATTTTTTTTTTAGGTGAGGGTCAGCTACCAGGAGTGCTTTTGCAATCCTATGTTGGTGTTTAGCTGGTAGGTTTAAGAGGAAGCTCTCTGTTAATTTTGTAGATCATACTCAGCACTTCCGAAGGAAGCAGAGACCTAAATCCAGACACACTGGTATGATGTGTTCTTCAAGTCACACAGTTGTACTTGTTCATAAGCTTGTAAATACACAGGACTTTATAGTTAGTTTATCTTACAAATTACTACTCTGCTGCTACTTTCACAGGTTTTGACATGACCACAGTGTTTCTCCTTAAACTGACTTGTCATCAGTATGAGAAACATTTATGGGTTGGATGCGTATTTAGTTATTCTTAAGAGTCGACCCAGCGAGATAAATAGCACTTGCAATACTTACTTGTTGCATTTGTTATATACCATTTTTATACCAAGGCACCTGAAGTAGTATACAGTTTTAAAATACCGAAAGAATAAATGGTATAAAATGTAGAGCAACAGAGTCTTCTAAGGCCAAGTGGTGGTCTCTTCAGAAACAGATGACTCAAGGACTCTTACCTGGGCTCTTTCTCTTCTGCCTTTCCAGGGCTGTCTTAAGCATATGCGGCGCCAGGGTGCAAAGATCCACCCGGCGGCGCCCCTGTCCCAGGCACGCAGGAGGGCAGAGATGGCCGGCCGCCTCAGCGTCTTGCTGGCTCAGTCACCCCCAAACCCGCAGCGCAGAGCCGCCCGCAGCAAAAGAGCCCACTACAGCGCTCTGACCGATGGGCGGGCTTTTCCCCAGACTCAACTCATGGGCCCTGGACTCTTGGCCTGGATCCCCTGAGAGCCTGGTGCCCGGGTGCCCCACACCCCTAGCGCCTATGGGTAAGACAGCCCTGTGCCTTTCCTCAGTTCTCTCAGGACTTAAGTAGCTCCAGGGAAGATGGAGTCAGGGACTGCCCCAAACATCAATTAAAGTTAACTTGCATTCATGAGTCTGGATCCAACGCTATGTAGCATACTCTCTTGGTTGCTTTTATTTATTAGAACAAAAGCATTTTAAAATAAAGGCATTTGCAGGACCTTTTTGTTTTGATGATAGATTCGTAGTTCTCATGAAGACCAATATTAGAAGTATTTACAAAATCTGTGTGTGCTAATTGGTACAGCCTGAGGAAGACAGTATGTGGTTTGTAACTAACAACAATCAGCAATGAAGACTTTTAAAGTAATGTGGTTATTGGGTTCAGATTTGGAATTCTTCATGTCTGTGAACTATAGCACTATGGACTGCAGCACTACTTTGAAAAATGTTTCTCAAACATATTTGCAGCAGTCCTACTATAATTATGATCTGTAAGGTGGCGGCTGTTCATTTTATTTTAAAAACTTAAATTTTTAGGGTTCTATAAAGCAACTTATTTAACAGATTCCTATTCTATTTATCTATCTATCTATCTATCTATCTATCTATGATGGGAAGAAGGTATATTTGCACACACAATTTAGTAAGTTGTAAGCAAGAGAGAATGATTTTTCTTCAGAATATTTGCTTGGTAGGAATGAAATTGACAAAAAGGAGTCTGTGTCATATGTCTGTTACACAAACTTGAGTCATTCTGTCCCTGCTGTAGCCTTGAATTCTGCTTAGAGTTGACTAGTTCAGAAGATTTTCTTGTTTCACTGACATGCCTATGTTGGAATTATGGGCTGGGATCCAAAGAAGAAATGCTATGAATGTACAATGGAGGTTACTGCTGAACAGTGCGCGCACTCTTTCATGCACATTCAGTCACAGTGTGCCTGTAGCACTGTAGGCATCATCATCATCATCATCATCATCATTATTATTATTTTATTTTATTTATACCTTGCCCATCTGGCTGGGTTTCCCCAGCCACTTTGGGTGGCTCACAGCGTATATCGGAACATACTAAAACATCAACATTAAAAACTTTCCAATTCAGGGCTGCCTGCAAATGCTTTTGAAAGTCAACTGTTGGAGCGGGTTGTCAGTTAAAACATAATTATCTCAGTTTAAAAAACCATAGTTTATCGGACTGAGAAAAATCCATTTATCTGTTCACTTATCTAGTGTGCCTTAATTCAGTATTTCCAGAGGTGGGAGAGACCACAGTTTCTTGTGCTGTCTGTACAGGTGATTCCTATGGCCCAGGATATCAAACCATGATGGAGGAATCACAAAGTAGGGATTACTTAAACCAGCTTTGCTTAACCTGGTGTCAGTGTTTGAAATTAGCCATGTGCCAGGTGTGTTTTGTGACTGGTGCGGGTCCAGTTGTGACCATGTGGAGATCTCTGGATGCCAGTTTGGCGGCTGACATCTCCACCTGGCTGGCCCCTCCAGCTTTCTTAAGCAGGTAAGCAGAAGAGCTTATTTATTGCATTTAAATCCCACCTTTTCCTCCAAGGTGTACTTGGTTCACTCCCTCCTCATTTATTCCCTACAGTGACCCCATGATGTATGTTAAGAGGCTGTGACTGGCCCAAGGTCACCCAGTGAGTTTCATGACTGAGTGGGGATTTGAACCCTGATCTTCAAGGTGCTAGTCCGACACTCTCACCACTATACCATAGTGGCTTCCTAGAGTACTTCTGCTATGGGGTAGATATATAAATTAAGTAGGTAAATAAATATGGAGAAAGCAAAATGTTACTTACAGAATGATCTGAAATATTTTCATTGAAGCTTGGATTTGTTTTATTTGGATTGCTTTATTTGATGTTTTAATGTGTTGTAAACCACTGAGTTCCCCCCCCCCTTTAAAATATGAAGCAGTCTTGAAATGAAATGAAAAATAATAATAACAATAATAAATCTTATTTGGGGTGCCTAGACATTCTGCTGTGGTGACTGCAACCTAGTTTTAAGGTGCCATTTGGCAATTAGCTTATATATCTGAGTTTCTAACATTGTGTGGTACGCCTCTAGTTGGTTGGGAATTAAAACTCCATTAGCCCCAGGAAGCAAGGCCAATGGTCATTGGATGATGGGAATTGTAGTCCAAACATCTGGAAGGCAGCATTCTGGGTTAAACAATAGTTTCCTTGGTTTCAAAGTCACAGACTATGGTTAAATTAAGCCTGTAAATATTTAAATAACAGAGGGGGAGCATGTGAGCACAAAGCTTGTCTCCAATTACACAAATTGTGGTTCATTGGACTGAGATGGTAACATCTGAACCAAACTGGAAAGGAAAGGGCATGCGTAAGGGTGTTTCCTGGCCCCAGGGCATCTGTTCACATTGAGATTAACAGATATTAATAAGTCATAGTACACAGTTTATTTTAAAATATGTACTGAAACCTGTCAGTCTTCCTTTCAGGGCACCTAACAATGGATAATAAGAATAACAATGTGCAATCAAAATCAAGAAGAAGCTGCATACAAACAGAATGCTTTCCTGTTGTTAAAGGCTTTGAGCCACTTAGATATCAACTGAAAGGAACAACTGAAAGGAAATTTCCAGTGTAAACATTTGTGTCCAAAGCGTGTATGTTAATTATTTGATGGAAGGCTGTTCCAAAATGTATTTTTGATAACTTGGGTGAGAAAATTAGTTAAACCTGTCCTTGAGCTGCTTGTGAAACTTTCCACATCCACCCAAGCACTCTAACCTGTTTGTGAACATTTTAAGAACTGGTTAGGGTAGATTAAATGATCAGTAGGTCGACAAGCTTGTTTAGCTGAAACTCTCCATATATATAAAAAATAGCAGCTGGGTGAAGATGGGCAGGCTGAAATGTGTTCCCATTCTTTTTCCAGGGTGTTAACTTCCTGTTTTATTATAAAGAACTGGTTGGATATTTCTACTCTCCAGGGTTAGGAAATAGGTTTGAAAATTGTTGTTCATGCACTGTAGAATACTGCATTCTACAGAAGGACTTAAGTTCCTAAACTAGTTTGTGTGTTGAGAGTGTTTGTTTTTTTGGGCAAAGTTTCAGAGCAGCCACTTCGTTTGCAGTATAACACATGCCAGCATGCCTTGGGTTTTAGGATTTCTCATATGTAAGAGTCCAAAATATCCTCCCTCTCTGAAGCAGGAAGTAGGCATCCCTTATCTATTCCAGGTGCTTCCCATTCATTTGCAATCTGATGAGGCCCAAACTGGCCTCTTTGCAACTGGAACTTTGCAACAATAAAAATAAAATAAAAGATCAGCTGCTGCCAAGGAACATCCCTTGCCATAACGTCTAGTAAAACCAGGGATGGGGTCACGGTTGTACGGGCTCTCAGCGAAAGTAGTTACCTTGTAGGCAGTACGGTCATACCTTGGGTTACAGCCGCTTCAGGTTGTGTTTTTTTGGGTTGCGGATCGCCAAATCCTGGAAGTACCGGAACGGGTTACTTCCGGGTTTTGGCAGTCGTGCATGCGCAGAAGTTCTAAATCGCACTTTGCACATGCAGAGAGGCGCTGAATCGCAACCCACATGTGCCCAGACGCAGGTTGCGAACGTGCACCCTGCACGGATCACATTCGCAACCCGAAAGTCCACTGTACTGATCACTGTCAAGTGTCTTTCAGCTGCCATTTTCATTTCTCCCCCCACCCCAAGTCCTAGTTCCCATTTTCCCCCCAGATATTGAAATACTTTATTGACACTTGTACAACTTGTATACAGTGAGATAATGTATGTTAAGAACATGGTTGCCACTACAAAAACACACAGTGACCAGAAAACTGAAAGTTTTAAAAAGGAGGAGCCAAGGCAGGTATTAGCAATACTAGCACCTATTATGAAAGGGGAGGAGGTAGCTGTGTTTTTAATCACCATTTTTAACATAATGCACAAGTATTTTGGAATGTTTAGTCCTTCCCAGAGTGCAAGAAGATGATGAGCTTAAATGTAGAAGGGATCTTGTGCCCACAGCTAAGTCCACTGACTCAAAACTTTTTGGAACAAGGAGTTATCTAATGTTGGGAGTAGGACTTCCATATGTTGAAAGGATGGTTTCTTTTTTAATCCAAGGCTGTAGCAGTGGGAAAAACAGCACTTTGTTGGAGTGATAATGGTGTGAGCCCCTCTATCATAGCCGCAGGTTGTATATGTGTGTAAATAAACTATATATCATACAGATACCACGTTTCGAGACTGGGGTGGCATGTAACAACATCATTGAGTATTGTTAATGTTTTGTTTTGAGGTTATCTTTTTTGAGCTGTGGGAGAAAGATCACTTTTTAAACAAATTCTAGCTAAAATTTTCAAGTTTAGAGGCCACTTACTCCTGAATATCATATACTGGGAATGCTGAGACTTAGTTTTGAGAAGACATGCACACACTAAAAGGAGGAGATGATGGGCAGACATTGTCTTAATGTCGCAATCACCACTATTATCAAATATTATAGAGTTGGTGTTGCACACTTGGCTAGAAGGCAGGGAAGGTGGCTGCTGCAGACAGGGAAGAGGTGAACTTCATTTCCATCACAGCACATCAGGAAGACCAAAACATGTATTTTAAAGGTGGAAAGGGGTGTAATTTCAAAGTCAAAGAAGCTTAGAGTGGTTATTTATAGCATGTCAATGTGCAGAGAAAAACAACATTCACTTTTAGGGGAAAGTACGCAAAATACTTAACAAATTTATGATGCAATCTTCTGTTATGCACACTTCCACCCTGTGGAAATTGCTTCTAAAGGTGTGTGCCTTCAGGTATAGAAATACCTGTGCATCTCCAGATAAGAAAATATGATGGACGGTATGGAAGTTTGGAAGTATTAATTGAGGGAAAGAGCCAAGACACAGCATGCAGAAGTATCCTGATAAGGGCTTCTTATGTATGGATACTCTTGCTCAAATTCACACATAGATACATTGGTTCTTGTGTGAGATAATGTTCCCTTTGTCACTGTTGTTGGATTTGATTGATACTAACTTTATTTTGCTTTTGCTTTTTAGTTTGCATTTTTGTATTTTATTCTTGTGAGTCATGTTTGATTGAAAAGTGACATAAAAAGAAACTTTAACCTAATGTGCCATTATATGATCTGTGCAGATCATATAATTTATTTTCTCTTGAGTTAAGTTCAGTTGACGCATTTTACCTACTGTGATTTTTAACAGTCACCTTCTAAGGGCATCTTTATAGCAGAAGTTTTATTAAAAGGGCCAAGATGTCATTGGCTCAGCTACCATACCACCTACAGAAAGTAAATTTCATAGTGACTGGAGGGCTGGGGAAATCTAATGTAGATACACTGTTACAGGATCCATCACTTTATGACTGTTCATGACTGTTCACCCCTAAAGCTTGCTGGGTGACCTTCGACCAGTCATGGTCTCTCAGCCTAACCTACGTCACAGATTTGTTGTAAGGATAAAATGGAGAGGGAGGAGAATTGTGTATGCTACTTTGAGCTTATTGAAGGAAAGGTGAGATATAATCAATAAATTGTAAAATAAATAAAGGGGCTGAGAGATTTACTGCCTTGCGGAGGAAGTCACTAGTTTTTTATTTACAATTTTGATTACCAGTAGGGACAGTGTATTTATCCTTTTGGGCTAAATTGTTTTCGTTTGTTACTTTTCTCTGCATTGTATAAATAATATAACGTAGTCAGCTAGTAAGAGCTGCAGTGCTTTTGAAATATCTTGATGTGCTGGCGTGATGCAATACGGTGTAACTTGACTAAATGTACCTGTTCCTCCTCAGATCCAGACATTTAATGTTGAAGCACCATGCCAGACTGTGGATGATTTAACCAATGGAGTCGTGATGGCCCAAGTCCTGCAAAAGATGTAAGAGAACACTTTTTAAAAATCATTGTGAATGTGTTTACTTACTCAGTAAGTAAGTAACTTCCCCCTTGCTCCTGACAAGTATCCACCTAATATGAACTTGCTATGTTATCCTCTGTTCTTAAGTGTTCTTACTGCTCAACAATAAGTTTTGTTTAACAACAAACCATTAATTACTTTTATTAATGAATGTAATTGTTGGTGAATCAAGCTTTTGTTTTCAAACACAGAAAACAATTCTGTGCATGAGCTGCGTGCTTCCCTTTGCATGAGCAAGTAAACCATAGCTTAGTGTAACATCCAAACCTGGTTTTCCTTGACCCAGGAAACCACAATTGCCAATCCAACAGAAAACTGTAATTCAAGACAGTTAAAGTGAAACAAACCACAATGCCAGATTGATCTGGTATGTTAGGCTATCTTTATTGTGATTTGTTTATCCACTCTCATAAAGGGAGGCGTTTCTGCACAGTATAGTTTACTAACCCAGGTTTTTATGGTTTAGCATTATGTGCAAACATGGCCAGTTCTTAGTAGTAGTTTTTTAAATTAAAAAATATATATATTTATAGACTGTGACTAATGTACTGTATATAGTGTCTTGCAAGATAGCATATTTAACTAAAGAATAAGGCTCTCCACCCAGAAGAGCATATTTTGACAGTCGTGTTGGCAATAGAGGAAGGGAATGGGAGAATGGATGTTTAATGTATTTGGTGGGCTTTTATATAGAGCATACACAATAAAAAATAAAACTGCTTGTTCAGTAAATTGCACTGTAGTGAAAGAAATAGCAGAGCTGATGTGACTAAGAGTTCAGTTAATGACGTCTCCATATTGCTGTTCTTCATAAGTAGCATTGTTAATGACCTTGTTTATTGAAAACTGTCTAAATTACCCTTTCACCCCCCCACTCTGTGTTAGCCTTTCAGTGTCATGACTCTGTCAAGGCAGTGCTGGGGGAAGTGCTGTTGCTTACATAAGATGCATTCTGTTAGAAACAGAGTGGCTCTGTTTCTTGCACTTCTACATCTAGCATCTTTCAAGGACATTAAATGTGCTTGAAGATGACTAATCCCCCCCTGCCCCCAGTACTTGGTTTTCTGTTGAGGGTAATATTCATGAAAAGCATTTAGAATATAATAATGTCCTATACCTCTCTGTCACTGTTCCACCTTTTCCTCCCAAACAGCTCTCCCTTTTATCTGGGAGAGGTATAGTCTGAAATCAGAGGGAGAGAAAAGTAGCAGCTTATGTTTGGGGGGCCTACAACCGTTCATCTGCAAGAGAGGCCTACAAAAAGACCCTTTCCCTTCAACTGTGAAGGGAAACAGCACAGATTTCTCTTGCATTAAGGATGAAGAACTTTCTTTGTGACGTCAGCAGTTGCTACATTAATCCCTACTTTCGGCGTGGATCTGTATTTAGCAATCAACATACGTAAAGAAAGAAAATCATTCATAAAAAATTATTTTAAAAAAGAAAGAGACGTTGACTTCCTGGTGGGGATTGGTTGTACTGGGCTTTTCTCTGAATAATGTGACAGTGTGGGTGGACTACGGTTTAATGGGAGTGAAAAAAGGAGTACAGTGGTGCCCCACAAGACGAATGCCTTGCAAGACGGAAAACCCGCTAGACGAAAGGGTTTTCCGTTTTTGAGTTGCTTCGCAGGACGAATTTCCCTATGGGCTTGCTTTGCAAGACGAAAATGTCTTGCGAGTCTTGAGATTTTTTTCCGCCCCCCCCCCTTTTTCTAAGCTGCTAAGCCGCTAATAGCCGCTAAACCGCTAATAGCGCTAATCCGCTAAGCCGCTAATAGGGTTGCTTCGCAAGACGAAAAAACCGCTAGACGAAGACACTCGCGGAACGGATTAATTTCGTCTTGCGAGGCACCACTGTATGCAGCTGCAGTAAAGCAAAGATGAAGCAGAAGAAATTGGCCCGGAGAGTGAAATGAAGTGGGGGTATGCCAGATAAAGACAGATCAAAGCTATCAAGAAAAAGAAGTTGATTTGTTCCTTTATCCATTCTTTTGGCTATATCCCAAGTTGGATCTACATTTCCATAAGCATTCCCACTATTTGGTAGACATCTTGCTAGTTAATATATGGCATAAAACATTTGTGAATGTGAAATTGTGAATGTGCTTTCTCCACAACATGCCAGAAATGGAATGGAAGCTAGCTCATTCACTGCTTGAACTAACCAAACCAGTTTGTTGGGGCTTTGTTACCGGCACTTCATCTGTACTCTCTATTTCAACCATCCTGTTATTCACCACTGAGAATCAAGCTGTACCTCAGCAGGTTTAACTTGCATCTTCAAAGATTTTGTGCTACTAATATCTTAACTCTCAAATTCCTACAAATTAAAGAGTGGTGTGTGGAATGAGATGAACTTCCTCTTCAGCGGAAACAAGTTAAGAATATGGAATTATGAGATAAACGAGCCATAGAGCCTTGGCTTAATGATGGGGGTGGGGGTTGGGGGTGGAGGGAGGATCATAGTCTCTGAGGATTCCATCACACTCACCAGGCTTCCTGTCCTGTTGAACTCCAGTTTTGAAAATTAAATCTTATCCCCCTCACCCAAAGCAAGCCTTTCCTGCTTCCCGCCATTCTCCTACCTGACTTGTTCTAGAGTTTCTCGAAATGATGTTTGTGGTCCACGAGGAGCCTTTTTGAGGCAATTCAGAGTTTTATATCATTGGCTAACCACATTTTTGCATATCACACTTTGGATCTCATGTTCTAGAGCAGAAAGATGGTGATCTATGTTTGAAAAGTAATGTGTGCAGTCTGAACCAGAAAAGAGTGCACAGGGCAATGAGGTCAGTACAACTCTGACCTTCACGCTGCTACAGTATACAAACATATCTGCAGATTTCAGGTTGTACTTTTCTCATGTACATTCCATATAAACTGCAGGTATAAGCTCCTAATGGATCTACATTCATTTATTCTAGAAATGAGAGTGACAGACAGAGCTGAAGCACTGATATCAGGGTGGGGGACCTTTGGCCTTCCAGATGTTGTTGAGCTACAGCTCCTGTTATCCCTGTCTGGTGCCCATGCTGGCTGGTTCCCCACCCTTGACTTATATGGCAGCTCTTTATATTCCCATGCCACTGACTTAAATAGGAGTGTACAAATGAGTACTCATCAGTTCTTTTGACACTGCTAACATCATTGGCTCCCAATTCCTTGTTTGTCCTGCAACACAATTCTTAAGAAGTTGCAGTAGATGTGAGACCATAAGCCTTTAATATAGATTTTAACATTAATTAATTATCATTACAAGCTATGTACTTAGGGAAAGTCAGTTAACAGAGGCATTATATTTAACTGTGAATGTTCCAATTTGTGTAATTTGAGAGTACTGTAATGTCAGATGTTTTCCTTTCAGATAATAAGAGTATATACTAAATTCATTTTTGAAGATGGATCTGCCAAACCAATTTCTAAGAGACTTCTAGGCATAGAGAATATTCTGGATGAATCTTTTACCAGAAATGCTTCATAACAGATTATTTGGTCTCTATACAATGGATTTTGTATTTCTTAGTTATTTTTAATTGCAGCCTGGCACAAAGCTATACTTGATGCAATAATTCATTCATTGTGAGTTACATTAATCTCATAGTAGGAACTTCCATAACTTTGAAGAATAGATGTTTTTAGAGCAAAGAAAACAAACAGCAAAAACTGAATTTGAATCCTCCCACAGCATAATGAAACAGAAAAATACAGAACATGTTTTCAGAGCATTTTAAAAAATGTAAGCAAAAAAGTTCCCCTCCCAACAATGAATTAAAAAGTGATTTAAAAGCATTATGAACTGCTACACTATATCCAAATTATTCTTCCTTCTGCTCCTCCAAACAGGTACCACAGAAAAAACTTAGTCAAGAGGCAGGTGAGACTGTTCAAGTGAAGGAGAGTGTCCAAGGGATTGACATGCTTCTAGATCAGTAGCATAATTTGCTATTTCAAAATCAAGCAGTTCTGGGGGGGAACCTGCAAGCGTAAAAAGGCATGACAGCAGGAAGGTAGGTGTTAGACCAAATTCCAAATATGTGTGGCGGAGTGCACTATCACGCTATGAGAAAGAAATTAAAGATGGAATACATTTGGTGCTGTTGTACTCACAGAAGGGCCTTTCATAGAATCTGGTTGGAAGGGACCCTGGGAATCATCTAGTCCAGAGCTTTCCAAACTTTTCATGCTGGGGACACACTTTTTGGACATGTATCATTTTGCGACACAGTAATTCAGTTTTACTAGCAAACTGGAGGTTAAACTAACCCCTTTTCAGCCTCGGGAGGAGTGTAGGGAACGTTTGCACGACACACCTACACACTGCAGCCGACACACAGTTTGGAAAGCTCTGATCTAGTCCAACCCCCTGCAATGCAGGAATATGCAGTTGTCCCATCTGGGAATCAAACTTGCAACCTTGGCATTATCAGCACCACACTCTATCCAACCGAGCTATCCTGGTGGATGCAGCCTCTGATGGAAGAGGGGGGAATTCAGGCATGAAGGTAAATCAGCAAATTCACCTGCCCCCCTCTTCCATTAGAAGAACTGTCCTCCAGATGAAAAATTCTTCTGTGAGCACAAAGTATCCAGTTGAATTCCACCCTGAATATTTTAAGGGCCTGTAGCCCAAAGTACCCAGCTGCAGCAAGGGCTTCCTGCTTCATCTCTTAGCTCTTTCTCGTTAGGAGGCACACACTGATCAATGACTTGTGCAGAAAAAACTGTGAGTAGGCTCCTCTGTGGGTAAGTAGTTCTTAGTGGTGTTATACACACTGAAAGTAAATTTTGCAGGTGTGAGTGAAGTGTAGGACTGATTTTTATGTCTGAAAAAGGATGCCTCTGCTTCCAAAAGCAAGGAAACACACTGTTAGAAACCTTCATAAAGAAAGTGAAGGCGAGTTATCTAGCAATAAAGTATGAACAGGCAAAGGAACAAAAATGTTTTTAAGTTGTAATTCCGTAACAGATCTAGTCAGCCAGTGTGTGGATTTTCAAATAAAATGAGAGTTAGTTACAAAAACAAGAATGAAACAAACCCCACAAGTCAGTAAATACAATTAAAATAAACATGCTCAGTTAAAGCACCCTAGGGCACCAGAAAACTTTGTGATGCAACTATTTCAGAAAACTGCAGTAGAGGACTTTAGGAAATGTTCCATTCATTCAGTTATATAAGTTGTCAATCATGTCAGTTGGGCTTTCCTCCGATGAAATGGGGTGTGTTCTATTTCCCTTCAACTGTGCATTGGTAATTGTGGGCAAGGAAGCTGATCTTGTAGGAATTCTAGGGCTTCATAGAAACATGAGAGGGCTTAATGGTGGTTAATGAAAGCAGGAAAATCTTTAAATAAAGTAGCTTTTTTTAAAAAGGGGGGCTGCAAAAACATTGTGATAGGAACCATAAGACATTAATTAATGTTCTAGAACTTTTGGGTGAAAGTAAACATATAACATATAATTGAGACATACATCTCATAAATGTCAATAATAATAATAATAATACACTTATGAAAGCTCTGTTGGAGTTGACAATCGTGATATCTATTCCAGACAGCCAAATAGAAATGAAATGAATAATATTATTAAGTAATAGCCTAATATTTTATTTAAAAACTATAGATGGTGGTAAGAGACATTGCTAACTATTATTCTGCTTTTGTTTTTTCAGTGATCCAACGTACTTTGATGAAAACTGGTTAAACAGAATCAAAACTGAAGTAGGGGACAACTGGAGACTAAAGGTATTTTCTTTTTTTTTTTTATATATAATTTTTTTATTGATTTTACAAACAAGTTTTATACAATACAAACAAATAAAAAGACATACAAACATGTATAATTTCATAACCTTTTTTTCATAACCCTCTCTTCTCAGACTAAAGGTATTTTCACAGTTTAACTCTGATTTTAACTTTCAGTACACAAAGTATTGCAGTTATACGTGTGTGTGCATTATATGAATTTTATGTTGCCTTTTCCGGAGTTTTAGAGTAGGTTATGGAATAATTCTGAATCAGGGCTGATTTTACCTAACCGGTCCCGTCAGCAAAAGCCTTGCTGAAGAACTTATGCTTGCACAATGGGACTCTCTGCACCCAACTGACACGAGATCAAGCCAAAATAAATATATAGGGTGGTATTCAGTGACGTTTTATGCAGTGTAAACCCCTTGAAATTAATGAAAAGGACTGGGCTAGGTCCATTAATTTCAGTAGGCCCACTTTGAGTAAAAATAAGTTAAATATCATCCATAATACTGAAATCTTCTTAAGTATAGGTGTGGGGTTTTTTACCCCAATGTACCACTCCCTACTCTATGCTGATTCAAAAGTGAAGTGTTAATGGAACAAAAATTCTGAATTCTTTGGGGAGATCATGAGTTGAGAGGAAAGTAGCACGGTAAAGGGGATTCTGTTGGACCACATGGAAACTAAGAGACCCTCAGCTAATATCCCTATATGCCATATGCCTCTGAACTTTCAATGTTTGCATGAAATCAGAGACTTTCATGCCTAATAGCTTTATTGACTTTGCTCATCAACCATGCTGGCATCGTATTGGCCCTGGGGTACCTTTCCTTATGGTGTACATTCTAGCGAAGTTTTTGAAATTGTGGTTTTGAATAACCCCCAAGGATTCTGGAGAGATTTGACCCTCTTGACTTTTCTTTTCAGATTCCTTTTTACCAATCCTTCATTTTCAGGAAGTTTCCTTTTTTGAAATAAAATGTGATTGTGTGAACTTTCTTGGCAGTTGTCCATATACATATATGTTAAATTTGATAGCACTGTGGTCACGGCTCCCAGTCAGTTCAACAGCCAAAACGCTCTTCTCTTACTACCCCAAAATGTACAGCTGGCCCCAAATTGCCAGCCTGGAGGCAGGAACATGCATGGAGGAAGTGGAGGTTGTGGTTTCATGACTTGCTTGGTGGGGATGGCCTGTCCCACTGCTCTCCACTCCTTCTTCCACATGCCATATTCATCATACCAGTTGCTGACGAGGAGTCTACACTACAGGCCAAAAGACTGAATTAATCCTCTTTATGTTTGCAGTTCATGTTTGCAGAAGGCAAAGGCTTAAAATTCTTTCCATTGGAGTCTTTTTCAGTCTAACCTGCTGATCTGGAGGTAAAATGGGAGCTTTTGCCTTGAATCCCAGATTCCTCTTGGCTAGTAAAAATCAGATGGGAGGAACTGCTACACCTTACTCTCATTATTCCACATTTGTTGATTTTCAAGTCTCAAGAGCTTTTGCTGAAATCTTTGCTTCTTGATGGTATTGTTGTCAGGGGGAAATGAAATATTACGAATTACCTTTTTAAATTTGATTGAGTATAATCTGGCCTTGTGGTGATTCATGGATGAGAAAAACAGAATCCTTGACAGTTCTTGTTTACTTGCACAAATGGCTTTGTCCTTGTAAGACTTATGAATGTAAAAAGTTGAGAGACAATTGCATTGATGGTGGAAATACTTTTTTCTACCCATCTGTTCCCAAATGAAAATGTTCTAGTACACATAGATGTTTGCATTCCTTATGTATACAGAAGATTAAAAACTTGCCCCTCTTACATATCTGAGGAGGTAGAAGATGGGAAATTTGACAGGAAAGTTCAAGAGAATTGTATGGAATTTTCAACACATGAATAAATTTTCTAAACAGTTAAGGTGCTGCTGCTGCATTTTGATCCCTGAAAGACATTTGAAAACAAGAGCCGTTGAGACCCACAGCCAAAATATCTGTAATGATTTCAGGGTTGAGGCAACTTGAACACTTCTCCATGAATTAGCAGCCTCTCCATACGTGGGCAATGTTCTCATGAAGATGTATCAAAGATTTGCATTTGGCCAGGGATCTTACAGCTTTGCATATTTCTTAACAGTCGGATAGAATCAGTAGAATCATGGAAGCAGTATTGTCAGTGGGTCACCCTAGGTTGTCTAAATCTGTCTCGGAATTCACACTGCAGGCCTAGGCAGCAGCATTGAAACCCAAGCTGCATTATTTCTTATGTACACAGTTGCTTGCAAGGAACGGTTTGGTGGCTTTCCCTTTGGGGAAAATGGCAGAAAACAAAAATTAAGATGTTTCAGTACAGTCAAAATGTTCTGCCTGCGACTATTTGAAATGATACTTCAGTATTTTAAAAATAAGATATTGTTGATGGTAATATGGAGCAACCAATAGCATGCCAACAGAAGAGTAGAAGATAAACTGCCCCAATGACTGCTTTGTGCGCCATCAGGGACATTAAATACTTTGCTCTTCTTGGGTGGAATTCTGTTATGATCTTCTGGCACTCAAGACTGCATCCTATGTTGGTACCATTTACTCCCCAACCCCTTGTGTTCCATTTAGAAATAACTTGTCTAGATAATTTAGAGTTGTTGTTTTTTTTAAAAAAAGAAGCATGTTGCCTGGGATAGCTCCCTCGGTAGAGCATGAGACTCTTAATCTCAGAGTCGTGGGTTTGAGCCCCACATTGGGCAAAAGATTCCTGTATTGCAGGAGGTTGGACTAGATGGCAATCATGGTCCCTTCCAACTCTACAATTCTGTGATTCTATGATCTATCATCTGACAAAGCAAGCATTGTGCATGATCCAGATATACATTTCTGATAATCAGTTTATATAATTTTCTCAGTAAATTATTTCTTCCCATTGAACTGCACTCCTTAAATTCTGTCTAATTCAAAAAGTTTGGTAATGAATCTTAACTTCTCCTGTTTACACTATAATTTATCTGCCCAATAAAGTTTTTCACTTCAAGTATTACGCTGATTTGCACAATCATTTCAAGCATTTTATTATCTTACTGGCACATAGTATTGAATCCATTCTCGTGGGTCCTGATTCTTGCCTAGGGTATAATTTTTGGCATTGCCCATTTAAAGAATTTGAGAACGAGAGCAAGCCTAAGTACTGATTTTTGTTGGCTAATGAGGAAATCTAAATTATTTGGGAGCTTGTGGTCTTGATAACCTGAAAACAAGATGTCAAAATGCCATCCAGCTTTTAAAATTTAATGGCATTTTGACATCTTGCTATCAACTTAAAAGGACCGCAAGGTCCAAAGAGTTTCAGAAGTGGGGTAGAAAAATGAACATACTTGTTTCAAGCCTGTCTAATGGCTCTGTTGTGTGTAAGAACTTGTTTCTGTCCTCCCAACCCCCGACTCCTGTTGCGTTGATGCTGCTTTTGAAGCTCTGCCAATTTGGACAAGCAGATACTGCCAAGAAAGGGCTCAGAAACCCTGCTGTGTGCACAGTGTTCCCAGTGTGGCCCAAAAAGAAATCATTATATTTGAGAAGCACCATGGGGGTATAAGGCTGAGCCCCCAAACTCATTGGTGTAGGTAGTTGCTATATCTGTTTGCTTTCCTGTCCTTTTGAAAATGCCCAGAGACAATCTATAAATGAGAAATAAAATTAATTGCAAAATCTTGATTTGATGATTGGCTGCTTTAGGCCGAAAAAAATCTTAACGATTGGCTGTTTTAGGCAAAAATGGCTTTTGGCTCGAAAGATTAATTCTTGTAGACAGCAACGTAAGATTGTGCTTCGGTGTGGCCTTCTCTCACAGTTTCTCAGTATGCAATTTTTCCCCTTCCTTTTTTAAAAGGTGAGCAATCTGAAGAAAATTTTAAAAGGAATTTTGGATTACAATCATGAGGTAAGGTCTTTTGTTTGCTTATACAAACTGATTTTTGCACTTCATTCTCCTTTCAACTTGTTGTGCTTCATTTTCATTATTCTGTTTGTGTAACAGGTAAATAAGGATTACTAAAGATAAAAGTATAGCTCTTTAATTCAGAAAACTGATCTTTTATAAATATTTTAGGCAATCTTTCCCCAAATTTGTAATTTACAGAAAAGGAATTGCACACACTCACTCCCCCTCCCCCGTATGCTGTCCATTGTTTAAGTACCTCCTATTAAGCTGATGAATGCTTCCTCACATAGCTTCTTTTTCTTAGAGCAATTAAAATAGATACTTTAGGAAATCTCTCGATAAAACCACAAAGGCTAAGCTTTATTATCTCAGCAATAGCTATGCCTTCCCATCAGTAGCAAAATTCAAATTTATTTTGGAAAGATAGGGAACATTAAGTGTTTAGCATTAATTGATTTTGTAGACAGCTTTGTAGTATTAATAAAAAAAAAGTCCTTAATGCAATTCTAGGAGAGCCTCTCACTTCAGAAAATTTCTTTCTGCTTTCTATTTTCACAAAGAGAAACAATCTACAACAAATACATTTAAGAACATTTACCGTATTTTTCGTCCGGCCCATAGGATGCACCTCCTTTTTTGGGGGGAGGGAAATGAATACAAAAAAATTATCCCCCCCCCAGCCGCGGCTGCCGCCCCAAGCCTTGCGCACACCTGCCCGAACTCCCGCCGGGCTTGCAAGGCTTGCGGATAGCTTCCTGAAGCCTGGAGAGCGAGAGGGGTCGGTGCGCACCGATGCCTCTCGCTCTCCAGGCTTCAGCGAAAGCCTGCATTCGCCCCATAGGACACACACACATTTCCCCTTCATTTTTGGAGGGGAAAAAGTGCGTCCTATGGGGCAAAAAATACGGTAAGTATGCCACTATTTTGGACAAATAATAATAATTACCCATGTAAGTTGCTTTGAGTTGCCGTGGCAAAAAAGCAACCAGTAAATGTAAACAACAACAACAACTATTTATGGAGCTAAGTGTTTGAACGTTGGTGGCTCAAGAGACTTGTTAAAAGTCAGCTGTAGCTTAGAAGAGATACTGTGCTGTTTAAGTAAGAGAAGACTGTTCTCACCGAAAGAGTGGACTAGTTGGTTCAATGTGCATGTGCGTCTAGACCAAATGAGCCGCCCAGCTCATTTTCCCCAGCATCTTGGCAGAATGGGTTGCTGGATGAAATTAGCAGGTAAGGGAAGGGTTTTCTTGTTCCTGCCTTCAGTTTTTCTCCACTATAGATAAACCCCTTCTGTACTGTTGGTTAGTACCTTTTTGGCCCAGACCTGGATCTGAAGATCTGGTGTCCTTGAGATATGGAGGCTTGCCAAGTTCAAGAGATGTGCCTTCTCCCTATACTATTCACCATGTCTGCATCTTTGTATTTTCACAGATTTTGGGGCAACAGATCAATGATTTTATCCTTCCTGATGTCAACTTGATTGGGGAGCATTCGGAAGTTGCTGAGCTTGGAAGAATGCTTCAACTTATTTTGGGCTGTGCTGTAAACTGTGAACAAAAACAAGGTCAGTTAAACTTTGGTGGGAAGGGTGCATCATTCAAAGTGGACACACAAACAACTTTTCTTGTTTTGTTTAACAATATTTATACATTACCTAATAAAAACAAAAACCCTCTTAAGTGGTTTACATAAAGTAACATAAAATACCTGTTAGAAAATATCAATAAAATTAACAGACTTCAAACATATGTAGACATAATAAAATGATCAAAATATAGATAAAATCAACAGGTTGTTTTTTTTATAAAAAAATGCATAATAAAACTTCATGTTTGAGTAGGCTTGCCTAAGCAGCAAGGTTTTCAGCAAGCATTGAAAACCATTCTCCTGCCTCATTTATGTTTATAAACAAAAAACTTATCTTTACAATATGATAGATGGAAGCTTTGAATACTGCAGGAAGCACAGAGCTATTTATCCTTTTGATTGTTGTAAGTATGGATGATTACGTGCTCAAATTTATCTCTTACAGAGTATATCCAGACCATCATGATGATGGAGGAGTCTGTTCAACATGTTGTCATGACAGCCATTCAGGAGGTAAGGAATTGGATGGTGGTAAATGGAAGGCTGAGACAGCAGTTTGTTACAACTGCTTCTTTCAATTTAGCAGAAAGAAGTAATTTAACAGAAAAGGGCATGGTATGTAAAAATGAGAAATATTGTCACCCTCTGATAGGCAAAATAAAATTTCTAATGTATATTGAATATTTAATAAACTGTTCCACTTTTCTTTAAATCTAGAAGATATAACCTTCTGGATACCAATACTAGGTTCCCTTCTTGTCTTTCCTTCCCTGTGGTTCCCACAACAATTTAGAACTACTAGTTTAGTTTGCAGTAGAAGATTTGGCGATTGAACTTCATTTCCAGTAAGGGTAACTAGGCTCATAAGTCTGTAATTCAGTGCACACATCCCTGGAAGTAAATCCCACTGAATTCTATGGGACTTTCTTCTGAGTAGGTATGCATAGGATTATGCTGCGGTAATCATTAAATGTTATTTGAACATTGTTTTTAAAACTGGATGACTAGTTTCCAGGTTAATTGTAATTGGATTTGATAGCACTATTTGCAGTATGCTAGCATAAAGGTGAATTATGAGTAATTAGTAGTATTGGAATAAGTAGGAAACCCAATGATCCACTTGAACCAAAGTTAAGCACTTTTAAGTCCCCTTAATTTAAGAGAGCATGTTTAAAAATTTGTTTAAATCGTTACCACTGAAATTAATAGGGATGAAAAGTGTTTTGATCTTGGTTGGATTGTGTCCCAGATTTCAGTTTAGCAGCTTAAGAAATGCTAGAAACGGATATCCTCTAATTGAAGGGAAGTCATTTCAGCTTTCTGTTTTAATGTTGCAAGTGGTGCAATTGAGAATGATGTAAATGTTGATTTGGATACTTCATAGGGCGGTGTGTTAGGCAATGTTTTCTTTGAACCCTGCTGCTTCTGAAAGATCATTCGATTTATGAATTTAAGTGGAGTTATTTTTTCAACCACTGTTGCGTATTGGTAGCTCTGTATATGGCACGAAACAGGATTCATAACTGGTTGGTCAACACTGAGCAGGTTTTTCTGGGAGGGGCAGGTAATTTTATTGAATGTCTTACCAGCCTTAAAGCAAACTAGTCCATATGAAACAGCCACATTCCTACTAAAACATCATCCGACATTCTTAGAGAAAATGAACAGCTTAGTAAGCTGCCCTGTGACTCCTGGAGACAAAAGACGGACTCTAGGAGTGCTTCCACACTTGCAGAAAAGGGCTCTACTCTAGTGCACTGCTTTTCTGCAATTAGCTGGAAGTAGAATTTCAGCAAAGGTTTGACATAAAAATTAATATTCCACTGTATATTCCAGCAGTGCCCTTCCCTATCCTTCTGAAATGTCTGCTTGCAGGCTCCATTCAACAAAGGTCCTTTCAAATGCCAGTTGAAAAGTTTCCTGTCTGCAAGTTTCAGCCTTTGTTTTTCACTTCCTCTTGATCACATCTGGGAATTAGTTATGAGTAGACTTTGATTTGCACCTTGAATAGTCTCTCTGAATTGCCCCAGTGTCAGTTTCTCCTGCCGGGGTTTGTGTGGCTTTATTTATTGATTTCCTAACATTTTTCTTCGTACTGTTTTGCCCCTAAAAATATAATAAATTGTGAGAGGAAACAGTAAAACAAGAATATAAATCAAATCAGTAATTAAAACCTTCTACCTTTTCACAAGGAAAAAAACCATCATTGGAGTTATTTCAAGAGGGTTTTCATCATTAATCTCCAAGCCCAGAGCATGGAATAGTATAAAAGGGGGAAATTGCAAAGAAGAACGGTGGGATTCATTGTAGCACTAAGTCTCTTGCAAAGGATGGCAATTGTAAAGAAAACAGCATGGAAGCAGTCTAGGTACTATGAAGCTAAATCACCTTGGCCCTGAAGAGAACATTCACTTATTATTCAGTAACTAGTTTTACTGGCTCTGGCTTTTGTCCAACATGAGTGCAATGTTGAAACAAGCACATGCATAACAGGTGAGGGAAAGTCAGTGCACTGCACTTTCAGTGTTGGACCCTTTATAGCAGGAGTGGGGAATCTGTGGTTCTCTAGATGTTGGACTGCATTACCCATAATCCCTATTGGCCATGCCGTCTAGGGCTGATGGCTTTTGTCCAACAATGTCTGGAGGGTCACAGGTTCCCCATCTCTTCTTTATAGCACTTGAGGTTCTTCTGCAGTCAACAGGGAAGGTACTAAAACCATTCTGGTGTAGAACAGTATGCTTACTTTTCAACATTGTGTTTTTAAATTGTGCTTTAAGATGCTCATTCCTCTAGACCCCAGAATTTAAAATGTTTGGAACTTTCTGGGATCCAGGAAATCTAGGGAAAGCCTTAAGGTAAAGAAAGAAGGCAGACACAATTCTGAAAACTACTGAAGAAGAATTATTATTATTATTATTAAAACACACACTTGAAAGTACATTGAGCAGGAAAAGCAGAGACCATTGCTGTGATGGAAAGCTTTATACCATACCTGAAACTCATCAGGCATCACATTTTTTAGATTGCTTCAATAAATGACAAGCAACAAATGGCAAAGAAATAACAATGGATCATGCGTGAGTCCCTTTGTAAGTGTCTAGACTAGAAATCTAGGTGTAATTCAGCCACTTATTTGAATATTGCACAAAATGCCAAGTAATATCCTTGATGGTACTGTATATAGTAAAGTATAATATTTATATTAAAAATAAACTACTGAATATACTACTCCTCAAAGAAGTGAACTTTCATGCCATTTGTAAGGCATTGGGTAGGATCCTTAGTCTGTTGATGGGGTTGTAAGTCTTTTCCTTCACCCTCTATGGTAACAGAGTATCCTGAACCTTGGGGAGGTGCTTTTCTTCGAACATCTAGATAGGGGCTGAGGGCCATGGCACACCTCAAAAGGTAGCGTTCTTGATAAGTTGCCCCTATTTGATGTGTGTCATAGGGGCTATCCTTTACTCAGGAGCGACCCCCGTTGAGCAGCCAGCAGGTGGGCTGGCTGGTTTAGGAAGTACCCAATGCCTGAGCCAAAATCTCACCTCACATCTATAGTCAATTAAGTTGTGTCCTGTTTTTATTCCAAGATGGTGTATTGTGGTTCTTCCCCTTCATGGCACACAATTAATATTAATATTAAAACTACAATACTGCTCAGAGAAGTGAATTTCCTGCCATTGGCACACTTCATTCACGTGGTGACCTCAGCTTAGTTTAAAATGCACATGAACTCCACTTCCGGGTTAGCGCCATCGCCGAATGGCGGACTCCCTCCGAGCTCCGGAGGGAGTCTGCTCGGCAGGGGCTGGGTCCTACCGCGCCGGCGACGCGGGGACCCTTAAAAACCACGGGCACGGAGTCCGTGGACATGGGTGACTCGGCTTGCACCATTAGCGCCCTCCCGACTCGTGAAGGAGCCTTTTTAAAGGCTTCGGATCGGGTGCCGGGGAGTGGCGTGGTGCTTTGAGTCCACTGCTTTCCCTGCCGAGCGCAGCCGCATGCCATTCGACGGAGAGCGCTGACTTCTTCTATTGAAAATTTGGACTTTTAACAACAACCCGTGAGTAATTGGGAAACCGGGTTTAAAATTTTGGATTTTGGATTTGGCACGAGCGGGGGCGATTTAAAAAGGAAGTCAATCCCCCCCCCTATTGTAAGCATTCCAAAACAAGGACTGGGTAACCAAGGTCCAAAGGGAAGTATGTTTCTGATAAAAATCATTAATTCCACGATGGGAAATTATAAGAAATGTGCTGGAGGAGAAGAGTGGAGGATGAGAAGAAAAATGCAACCCCCCCCCTGGGAACCGGGGCGATTCGTGGAGCCTGGTGAAGAGAGACGGAGACTTTGACAGCTGTCAAAGTGGCTGTCAAAGCTGGAGAATATAAAGAGGACTTTATGAGGACTTTGCTGGTAAATTTTGCTACAATTTGCTATAATATGGATATAAACTGTTGGAAAATAAGCAACAATTTGACTTTTGGATTAGAGGATACAAAGTTATTACAATCCCCCTAGAGGGGTTTCAGGATACTACAAGAACGGTCGTAAGTGGAAAAATACCCTGGGATTCGCACAGGATTTGTTATCTTCTGGGAAAGCTGCAAAACTGAAAGAGTATTTTGTCTACAGAGGAAGACAATGGAATTTTTATTGAAGAAAGAAAGGGACTGGACGTAAGTTTTTGTTCCTGAATAACAAACCTCTGCAGAGACACTAGATTTCTGAATTAGAAAGTTTTAGCAGCTGAACAGGACAAGAAACCTGAGAAAGTGAGGAATAAGAAGAATAAAGGACTGATTACGACACGGAAAGAACAACGGGAGGAGTGGTAAAGATCAAGGAAATTAAAGGCCTTTGTTAGATTGGACATTTGAAGTCAAATATTATTTAAATTAATAAACTAAAAGAAAACCGGCAAGATGGAATCGGGAGAAATTTGGTCATGAAATGAGATTTCTAAGCTGATAATGTATAGACTGATGGACATGGGGAATTCAAACCGGGAAGGGGGGAGATCTGAAATCCAAAGGCTGTGTAACCATTTTTTGAACTTTTCTATATCTTTTATTTTCTATTTCTTTACATAACTTACGCATGTTATTTTACTTTGATCGGACGTGTTTAAAAAAAAGGGAATTTGTGGAAGGAACTGGGGTGGATCTTGGGGAAAATCTTTTTCTTTTTCTGTTAATGATGTGGGACGGTGGTAAGATTTGTACAATTCAAATTGGATAGTGGGTTAAACAAATTAAGCTTTAAATTTGGGAGTGAGAGCTTGTAGAACCAAATTAAGGAAAGGGGAATACAACCGGGGGGGGGGGAGTTCCAGAAAGTAGGGAATGAAAGTAAGGTTTTTAAATATCTTCTTTCTTTTATCTTTTTTCTTTGTACTTTTATATTTTTGGAAACTTCAATAAATATGATTTAAAAAAAAAAAAAAATAAAATGCACATGAACTCCAACAATAACAATGTCTTATATACATCTTCATCTGTTACAGACCTGTCCTGATCATAAATACGAAGGTTCTGTTTGCTTCTGCAGTTTTTCATACAACCCGGTCTTAATGTTCATTATATCCCATGAACTGGCACTGTATGAGCTGTGGCCCAGGTGCTCATTTTGCAAGATCAAAGGGGGAAAAGACATCCAAGCATCCTAGCCTTCCATTTCCCCTTTATCCTTTACCATTGGAGCTGGTCATTTTTGTGTGTGGGCGCTTTTACACATACCCATTCACATACTGAGTTGTCCAGCTGCACCTGCTAGCAGAAGCTGACAACCTGGCTCTTCCACAACCTTGGATATGGTCTGATTTATGATCACGCCTCAAGGTAATCTCTGCTTTTGATCACGACACAGCATAAAACTAAGAACGTGAATAAGGGCATACAGTTGCAGGCCCAGTTAGGAAATCTCAGTGTTGATAATAAAACAAAAGAAAACTCCTTGCCCATTCCGTTCTAGGAGTGAGAAGTGTTCTGTCTGGTAAATGTACAGTACAAAGATAACTTTGGAATAGCAAGGGACTATAAAGTAACAAGGAATGTGACAGCCTTAGACACATAGACACAGCCTAACAAAAAGGTCTCTTCCCCACACCCAAACCCGCTCTCCTAGCAATGATGCAAAAGCGTATTTATTCTTGTGAAATCAACTAGTAAAAGTAAGTTATTTTCCTGATTGCTTGCTTCTGGCTTTCTTTTTTGGGTATATATCTACAAACTCCAAAGTTTCTGAACATTTTAGACTGCCCTGTTTATTAAACGAATAAAAATAAATCTTTTGCTTTTTCTAATCCAGTGTAATCTAATTGCAGTTGATGAGTAAAGAATCTCCAGTCTCTGCTGGAAATGATGCTTACGTTGATCTTGACCGTCAGGTACCTAATGCCAGATGTTTTCTTTCTTTCTTTTTATTAGTGGAACTCAGTATGCAATTTTCTTGGCATATTGTAAATGAGTACAGCTTGGGGATTTTTTGTTTTGCTTTTTTGAGTTTGTATCTTTTTTAATAAAATCAAAGTTAGCAGCATACAACAAATCTGAATCTAATTGTATATAAGCATTATGTGTAGAAACCTGGATGTGAACCATTTTATTTATAGAATATGGGTGAACGCTGCAACAATTTTAGAAGGAATTGGTAGCTCGGTTAGTAGAGCACATCCTTCGCTGGCAGAATGTCCCAGATTCAATCTGGGATGATTCTACTTTAAAGAGGATCAAGTATCAGGTAAAAAGAAAGGCCTCTGCCTGATACAGTTTTGGACTAGATAGACAAGTTGTGTGACCTGATGTAAAGTGGCTTGGTATGTTCCTAAATAACCCAGCACACTGTCTCTCCTAGTAAGGATAGAATATCTCCTAGTAAGGATAGGGGTCTATGCAGGTTTTACCTTTAATGTCTATTCCTTGTGTTTTGTTTCCCAGTCTTTTGTGTTGTGTGAAAAAGAGTTAAAGCAAACAATATTCCTTTCATGCAACTATAAAGAAAAGTGGTTTTTAAAAAGCTTTATTAACTTTGCGTGGTAATGTTTTTCTGTAGCGTTCTTAATGTACAGATCGTAGGGCTCAGTGTGAATATGTAAAATACTTCTATTTCTTGTTTACATATAATTAGTGGTCTAACCATGATAGTAGTTGCCCTTTTAAGATGCTGTAACTATGCAAGTTGTTACAGTGGTGCATTGTAATTCCAAAAAATCGTTTGTGTATACGTCTGGTGCTTTCAGACATTTCTCTGCAGCATCTCATAGCCCAAAAGAAGCAAGGCTTTGTCAGTTTTTTTGCCTTTCTGTGGGAGATTTTGCAGAGAAATGATTAAAAAATAAAACTAAGCTGTGCCTTGCATGCCTAGTTTCTTTTACTTGTACATGAATGGCTTCTTTGGATCACAGCCTTAGAAAATTATTGCATCATAATCTTTTTAGCAAATGGAAATATATTGTGTTTTAAAAAATACAGTTGAAGAAAACAACAGAAGAACTAAATGAAGCCTTAGCAACCAAAGAAGAAATTTCCCAGAGATGCCATGAACTTGATATGCAGGTAAGCAGACTATTGCACAGTAAATGTAAAATAAGATTTTTGACATTATAAATCTCAACCTGTAGGAAATAAAATATTTTTGTATAACATATTACAGATATAATTGTATATTTAAAGTGCATTTCATGATTGTGTGTCTTGATTTGAGCAAGGTCAATTATGATTTGGCATGGAGTGACTGGGGCAACCCTGTCAGGTGGGTGGCATATAAATAATAAAATTATTATTGGTGGCTTTACATGAAGCAGACTCAAGCTTGTGTGCTCACATCCCACTTCCCTTGTGCTCTCCCTGTCTTCTCCTTTCATAGCAAACCAGTCTGCTCAGTTTCAGTATTGCAGCAAATCATTCTTTGTTGCAAAAGAAGAAGTTGGGGAGGAGGGAATATGTGATCTGAACCATGTCTGTGGTGTTCCCATCTGTCCACCCATTACTAGTAGCTTACAGTCCATACCAGTGAATATATTTTAGCCAACTAAGTTTCGCTCAGAGTAGACACACTTAAAATAATGGACCTATGCTAGTTATGTTCATTATTTTCAGTGCATCTACTCAGAGTAGGACTAACATTGGATACAACCATATATATTGTTGGTTCACTTGTATTTGAAGTTGCATTTACTTTCCTTATTGATAAAAGAATTTATCTATGCTCTTCCTGCCTTTGTAAGGCACTATTCTTATTTTTCTTCCTTCATACTCCATTGGTTGTCCCATAGTTGAACTGTTTCAACCCCTGTTTGAGTTGCTAAGTGGGCATAGAGTTATTTTTGGTGTATGCTATGAGAATTACACACATGTACCCTGAAACAATTTCCACCTGATTTTATTGTTAAATATGTAGTTTGATGCTGCACCTCTACATTAGTTTTTAAGACTTACTAGTGGCACCATCATTTGCTTTTAGGTGTACATTTGTCTGTTGTTGTGTTTTGGTAATAGGTTGCTACACTGCAAGAAGAGAAGAGTAGTTTGCTAGCAGAGAACCAGGTCTTGATGGAACGCCTAAATCAGTCTGATTCCATAGAAGATCCCAACAGCCCAGCGGGCCGTAGACATCTGCAGCTACAGACACAGTTAGAGCAACTCCAAGAGGAAACTTTCAGGTAAGAATTGCATGGTGGTGCAAAGTCCCAGCAGCCACCATGTATTGGAAGATATTGAATTCAGTCCAACTATATTAACTTGTTCAGTTATATTTTAATAACTTCACATTAGGTCATGAGTGGGGAATGTTTTTGGCCTGGCAAGCCAGATCACTATCTGTCCTCACCTCCCTTTCACAAGCTTTGACAGGTGGGTGGGACGATCCACTTTTGAACCATCTGATATCCCACCACCCAAGGGACTTATGAAATAGGGAACACAATGGTTTTTCTTCTTTCTTTTGTTTTAGATCACAGATCATGAAAACTTCCACAGTGGTACATAATGTTGACAACGAAAGCAATTGAAATGTTCACTGAAAGCTTACTATGAATGTTGCATTAAGAACTAGCACAATTTCACTTTCTAAACTAAAGAAATTAAAGTTGATCAGAAATTCACTTGTATTCCCTCCCATTTGTTAGATTAGGGTAGGCAACCTTCAGACTACAGGCCTAATTAGGTCCAGCGCAGTCCTGATTTCTCCTGCAACCTTCTCCAGACCATACCCACCTGTCTCAGACCTGGCATTATTATGTAATTTGTTGAAAGGTAAAGGGCAGTTGGAGGAGGCACAGCTTCCAGTGCATAGTGGGGAGCCGTAAAATACACTTCTGATTGTACCTTGTACCTTGGCAGGGGAGGCTTGCTGAGAGCAAGAGAGCTGGGATAGACCACTACTGATTTCCCTGTAGGAAATTCTGTAGCCAGCTGATTGCAGCAGAAAAGCTTATTGGGCTTGGCTGCACTACTGAATTCCCCATGGGACCGATTCTTGAAGGGCCTTGCAAAGACATGAGCAGGACACTTTGAAAGCCCCTTGCTCCTTGCAAAGAGTCCTGCTCAGCTCTTTGAAGCCCCAGTAATCAGTGGCATTTCAAAGCACCGTGCAGGGCTCTTTGCAAGGAGTGCCCCACCCACCTCTCATCTGTTCTCTGGCAGGGTGAAGGGAGAGGTAAGGATCTGGCCTGCTGACCAGCTACAGTTCCCCACTCCTGTGCTAGATGGAAGTTTATCAGCTGGATGTGGGCCACAGAGCAAGGCCCCATTATCTCTTTCCTCACTTTAAAGAAAGAAAACTATTTTAAATGCCTGCATGTGAGAGAAAGAAATTCCACACTTTCATGTTATGCTGCTCTGTTTCAATTTTGTGTGCAGCTTGGCCGAATGTGCTGTGTAACTGTGAAGTTTTTACTACAAGATGGCAGTTCCTGATGCAAATAGATCAATTTATATGGCAAAATATATTTTGGGTTGTGAGGTCACTGGAGGATAGAGCTTGAATGAGGCAACTCTGGCAAACTATTTTTGGATTTTCAGACACCGTAATCTAAGCTTTTTTAAAAGAAACAAACAACTCAGTTGTGTCCTATCTATGTTTCTTTGTTTTCAGGTTGCAAAAGAGGAAAATTTGAATCCTGCCTAGGAGCTGCTAAGCATTTTGTGTGTGTTGCCTTATTTATTTGTTTATTCAAAAGAAATCTGTTGTGGTTTACAGATTAGAAGCAGCAAAGGATGATTATCGAATTCGTTGTGAAGAGTTGGAAAAGGAAATTGTAGACTTGCGGCAACAAAATGAAGAATTAACAAACCTGGCTGAAGAAGCTCAGTCTCTGAAGGACGAAATGGATGTATTAAGGTAAGCCAGTTCTCTGCCCATAAGAATGCATATTTCTTCATGGGGCTGATTCTCAAGAGCAAAGTTCAGTGATACATTCTATACACAGCTTTCTAAAGGATATACGTTGCCGGATCTGAATAGGCTACACTAACTTCCTGTCCATTACTGAGACAATTCAGTGTGCTGGTTTTAAACTTTAAAGCCCTAAATGGCTTAGGAACAGCCTGCCTAACAGCTTGCCTCTGTCTGTAGAAGAAGAATATCCCGCTTTATCACTACCCCAAGGAGTCTCAAAGCGGCTAACAATCTCCTTTCCCTTCCTCCCTCACAACAAACACTCTATGAGGTGAGTGGGGCTGAGAGACTTCAGAGAAGTGTGACTAGCCCAAGGTCACCCAGCAGCTGCATGTGGAGGAGCGGAGATACAAACCCGGTTCCCCAGATTACGAGTCTGTCACTCTTAACCACTACACCACACTGGCTGTATGACTCCCTCAACATTTAAGATCTGCCTCAACGTCCTCCCAGCATCTGAACTAAGGCTAGTGGTGTGATAACTGAGACAGGGCATATTCAGATGTGTCTTCTGCTTCTAGAATTCCCAGAGAGATTGCCTGGTGCAATCATTTCCCTCCTTTTCTGACAGGTGAAAATATCTTTGTTTGTCCCTTTCTTTTTGATTACTTGATTTTATATTATGCTGGAATTCTGTTGTTATTTTGTAGTATGCTTATTTTTTAAATAATGCTTTCTAAGAGCTTTGGCCGAGCAGCCGCTAATAAACGCTTACATTAAAATACATTCAGTAAAGGTTTTCCACCTATGGAATCTGTGCAATATCCCTCCCTCCAGGCATTCATCTGACAAAGTGGACAAGTTAGAAGGCCAGGTGGAATCATACAAAAAGAAGTTGGAAGATCTTGGAGATCTACGGCGGCAAGTGAAGCTCTTGGAGGAGAAGAACACAATGTACATGCAAAACACTGTCAGCTTAGAAGAAGAGTTGAGGAAAGCCAATGCAGCCCGCAGTCAGCTGGAAACGTACAAGAGACAGGTGAGCACAGGAGTGAGTGAAATTGGAGCTACTACATTTCCCATTACTTGTAAATCGCTTTATGCCAGTCACCTTACAATTTCTTCTGTTCCTCAGCCAAGCCAGTGACCAAAAAATCCCTCATGCAGTTTTTCCACAGAACTGCTTTAAAACACTATTCCAAATTTCATAAAATCCATATGATATTTTGGATTGAGAGTTGGACTTGGACTAGGGATGATTAGGTTATAATCCCACAGCTACAAAACTCACTTGGCGACTGCTATTTTTAAAGGATCAAGTCTTAGAAGTGAACTTAGAAATAGTGGTGAATTTGTTAACAAGTAAAAACTAGAAGAAAAGCAATCCCTGTCATTAACAGATGTGTTTGATAGAATCTGGTCAACTATAATTATGATTAAAATGGCACATTTTAGATGAGTGTGTAATGAACTGCCAATAGTTTTTCAAACGGCGGTCATTATTTATAATGTTTTGAAATTATAAACATAAATATAAAATATAATGCCTTTTGTTGTAATTATATTCTTTTGTACAAACATTCTCAGTTGAATCAATATTTTAATTGTTTTAAAAGTAAAATGGGGAAGGGAGTTAAAATGGGTTATTTATAGGGCACTTGGGGCCCATGGTCCAAAAAAAGGCTTCCAATTACCACATTTTGGTTTAGTTTTATCCTTCGTTGCAAAATCATCCACCTGATATTTCTCCATGTATCTGAGGAAACAACAGCTTTGTCTTTCTTAAGAGTCCCTGATAGGGCAGAACAAATATTGCATTTATTTTATATATCTGGTATAATAACCAGAAAAGCAAGTCATACTCTGAGACATTGTGTTGAAGAGAGTGAATTGAGATTCAGCTGCATTAATGTAGCTGTGTTATGGAGGAAGTTGTGAGATATCAGTAGCAGTCTGCTTACACCTTTGGGTAATTAATTCTGCAGGAGACAGCAGCTGGACACCAGTTTCATTTCCATTAATACTTGCTTCTCCATATCTACTGATATTACCACCAGTAAAACAACAGATTGAGTAGTAATTGTATTTATCTCAGTTTAGCAATTTCAGTATTTGAAAATGGAAGGCAGCTATGATTGCCATTGAGTGAAAATCGACCATTGATACAGCTCCCTTATCAGCTGGTTCGTTTCAATGAATCATAGTAAAGTTTACCAGTTTAGGGTGCGATATAAAGCTAATCTGCACTTAACTGAAATCAGGAGCAAAAATTTCTGAACTTGTCGTTACTGCATCCGAGGAAGATTGCAGCGGGGAGTGCACAAGTCCAAGACTCACCTGGGCTCATTCTTGTAACAATAAACAGTTTTTTATTGTTGCAAATGAACGTGCCATTGGCTCTTACGATGATTCATACATTTTTGTGTTATTGGTGATGTGATCCCTTCTTGCTCTTGCAGGTAGTTGAACTCCAGAATAGATTGTCTGAAGAATCCAAGAAAGCAGACAAATTAGAATTTGAGTACAAGATGCTGAAAGAAAAAGTAGACAGTCTGCAAAAAGAAAAAGATGTATGTATCTAAATGTTGCTTTTTCATCCTTGATAGAAGCAACTTTATTAACTCTTATCTCTTAAAAGAGTTGGTTTTTGATGTTGTCCCCTTATAAATCCTAGGTTAAATGTCTTTTTCTGTGCTGTAATGTAGTAGATTTCTGGAGTGCTTCTAAAAGCCTCTTCCAGCTCTTCTATTGGTTTCCTGCCTTCTTTATCTTTGTCTACCTTCTTTGACCTCCTCTCCCGCTCTAAGTCTCCATAACAGTTCCTAGTAACTTCTTTTAACTACTGCAACTGATCATGTTGTCTCACTTTCTGCGTGGTTTTCTACAAGGCTCCATCACTGTTTCACATGTCAGTTCATATGTAATGCCAAAACATGGTTTACCCTGTCTATGGGTTGAGCTTGCATGCTGTTCGCTCTCTCACTCCACAGTTTATTTGTATGTTTAGAAGGCCTGTGGAAGCCATGGTTTGCCATAAACCAAATAACTTAGCAGTTCAGACAGGGACGAAAGAGCATTGTGAGCACAGGGCTCTTTCTTGTTGGCATAAAGCCATAGCTTGGAGTTACATGTCAACCAACCCATGGTGTCTGTTGGTGCTTGCATTTTCATCTGTAGTTTTAGGTTTATGCAAATAATTCCCAGATCAACTTTCTCATATCTGACTTTTTGTCTTCCATGTGATTGTTTGATGTATTATGTTTCCTTCTGGATGTGGGTATCTCCCATCTCAGATTTAATGTGGTGAAAATTGAAATGTTCACTGTCTACCTTAATCTTCCTCTATCCTATGCTTTTCCATCACTGTTTGTGATGCATTTATCTTTCTTGTTTACCAGAACTATAGTTAGTTAGCTCATCTCTGCATTCTTTTTGACACACTTTCAGGCAACGCCCCAGAGCTGACATTTTCTCCTGCCACTTTCACTATCTTTTAAAAACTTCAGAATACCTTTCACAAAACAACCTATCACTAAGGTCATTGTACTCTTCTATTTAAAACTGCTTCTATACTTCGATTCTCTGTTGACAAAGTGCATAAAATAAACTTGAAAAAGCTTTCAGTGTGCAGGGAGAAAATGGATTTGGCTGTAACACCAGAGCCAGCTCAGCTGTCATCAACACTTCTTTTCCCTTCTTCAGATGATATACAGGAGTAGTTGCACAACCTTAGGTAGAAAAGCCCTTATTTCATTAACTAGAGCAGGCTCTGTGGAGAAAGGGAGGTTTCTCTGTACATCAACATCTTCCTCTTAGTCTACTCGTTAAAGACCTGGGTCACTTTCCATCTTCATCTCTTCGGCTTGGCACAAGTTTACCCTTTCCTGCTGCACATATTTTCTCCCAACATCTGTGTTCGTTGCTTTTCCTCCCTGCTACTGTCTGTCTCGGCCTCGCCTTCCCTATGCTTGGAGGCACCTCTCTGCCTCTCCAGCCTAATGCTGTCTCTCCTTCCTCCCACAATTGCAACTGCTGTGTCAAAGCCTTATCTTGGTTCTTGCTTCATCGTTGTCTGCTTCCTAGGTAGAAATTAAATCTCTTTTCAATGTATTTCAGCATGATTCCTTTTTTGTTGTTTATTGTTGAGGGCCCTGCTACCACCATAGTGTAGACCTGCCTGGGCCATTTCTGAACCTACATACCATTCATACATTGAAAACATAAAACGTATATTAATTTCAGGTTCTAAAGGGCCAAGCATTCTAGAGCAGTGGCTGTCTAGCTTTTTACATTCAAATACATTACTAAGTATATGTTAAAACACTGAGATATGGCTGAAAATGGCAGCCCCTTGCCAAGTCTCTTCCCCAGCCCTTCAACCCTCCCTCCACTAACAACTAGTTCAACTTGTCTGGCCCTGACGCTGTTATGTTGTGCATTTTGCTGCATCACTCCATTTCATAAGTTGACAGTGGGCAAGGAAATGCACATTGTAATGATGTTGGAACACTGACAAAAATTGAACTAGTTGCTATGGAACTCTTGGTTTTGGCAACAACCCCTCGTTCAATGTAAAAGAGGGTTTGACTGGAGGTGGTGGTCTGTTGGGACAGTGTGTGCAAACATTCAATTAATATATAGCAGGGGGAGGTCTTTGTCTTCTTTCTGTTTAGTAGATGGAGCTCTAAACTGCTAGGCACGCAGGCATTATTGCTCTGGGGGTCACAAGGAGTTAATGCCTTTCTGCTTTAAAGCAATGCTGCTGATGTCCCCCAAAAAGTGGCATGGGGAATATATCAGATACTTCTTCACTGCATTACCTTGCCTGTTTTCCTTCCCCATAACTTTCTGGAATTGCTAATACAATTTTCCAGTTAGTGCAAGGAACTATTTGACAGTTGGCACTGGCATTTTTCCTGTGCTGTTCAAAGCCCTGCATGATGTTGATGGGTTTGAGATTCCACAAGTCTGTGGAGTCTGGATATATTTACCTACTGCATAATAGGCCCTTTCAGAAGACAAACTAGCAGATATTTCATTTCATTTCTTTGAGTTTTGCTTTGAAGTTCTTCACATGGAAGACTTTTTTTGGATACATAGATGATTAAAATCCTGACATGCAATGGTAGCCATTTTAGCAGTGCTTCATGAGTTGACTTGTAGAATTGTCACATATTTATCTATGTTTTTCTTGTTATGTAGCGGTTAAGAACGGAGAGAGATTCCCTGAAAGAAACCATTGAAGAGATTCGATGTGTACAAGCACAAGAGGGGCAGCTTACTACTTCAGGTAAAGAAAATCAAGATGATGAGATTTCACCTAAAACATCATGTAGAGAGTGTGGTGTGTGAAATACAAGATTTTGTTGTGGCATTTCAGGGAATAGGTTGGTGCTGTTATTTATGAGTATATTTTAATAATCTGTGTGCCCCAAGTTAGTATCCTTTGCTGGGTCTCTTTTCCATTAATATTCCTTTATTGCTCTTCCCACATTTTGGTTTATATTACATGGAATAAATAAATTGGTTGACGTTGCCAGAGAAGAGGGTCATTTGCTTTATGGTCCTACGGTGTAAGAGTAGGTTCCTTCCATATGGAAGATAAAACATGCAGGGAGGGAGGGAGAGACTTCAGATGTTATAAATAAACTGTTTTTTTCAGAGCATTTGAATTCTAGAGAATTGGAAGATTAGACTGTTGTTTCTCACAATATCATAAAAATCTCACAGTGGTTTGCTTCATAGGTCATAAAAGGTGTATCAATCTATTGAAATATAGTTCATTTGCCTGTTCACCTGGAGCAATCCTGCAAGGGTGCATGCGGATTCAGCAGTTTGAGCTCAAAATGCCGTAATTCGGAATTCTTGTCAAGCACCTGGGTTTCATTAATCAGAATTAAGTTATAGATTATATCAGTTACATTTTAAGTCTTTCTTTTGTAGCATGAAAGTTGGAATATGCATAGAAATACATTTGAAATAATTTATTTCTGTCACATCCTAGATTAGCCCTACATGATCTAAGCATTTTCTTTTTCACTCTTTAAAATAGGATTGTTGCCCCTGGGAGGTCAGGAATCTTCTGACAGTTTAGCAGCTGAAATTAGTACCCCTGAAATCAAGTAAGTCTGAATTATACGATCCTCTTTATGTTAGGATGTATAGGTATGCATTTAGCATTGTATTTCATTAATGTTTTCATTAGTAGTAAGAGAAGCTGTTGTTATCAGTCTCCACTCAGTTTATAATATTCCCTCCCCCCGATGTTTGGTAAGGCAGTTCTTAAAATACTGTTCTTTCTGTGTTAATGTTACTGATGTGTTCTTCTGAGTCCCATTGCTGAATTTCTAATCCTGGCTCTCATCTTGTTTATTCAAGGGAAAAACTCATTCGCCTTCAACATGAAAACAAGATACTAAAGTTGAACCAAGAAGGATCTGATAATGAAAAAATTGCCTTGTTACAGAGCCTTCTGGATGATGCTAATCTCCGAAAGAATGAATTGGAGACTGAGAACAGGTAAGAAAGGGCTGTTTTCCCTTCAAAATGGGGCCATGTTCCTCTTTTCTTCAGTTCTACTTGCCCTGTGACAAAGGTTATGGGCTCTAATAGCTTTATCTTTCACTGATCATATGACAGGACAAAAGTTCTGTTTCTGCAGTGAATTCCACAATATTTTAAGGGGAGATGCATGTACCCATGGTAAGCATGATAATATTTGAAAGGAAGAAGAATGTACTTTTTGAAGAAGGCCATTGTGTCTGCAGATATTTGGTAAACACACTTACAAGCCACAGCTGACCCCGGGATATATTTATTGCATGTTTAAAGATCTTTGTGTGCCCCCTTCATATGCTGCTGTGTTCATCATGGGAGACACCTATCGCATACACCTGCGTTTGTACTGTGTAATGCATTCCTAAATCTGTACAAAATGCAAAAAGACCCATGTTTGAAGTGAAGGTCTTAGGGAAGTCTTATGACACATGCTGTATGTTTTTAAAGGTAGCTTTAAAATTCTTCAGGCTTGAAGACCCAGTTTCTCCTTTCTTTTCTCGATTCCACAAAAGATCATACTCTCTGGTGAAATTATGCTTCTAAACTGGGGCTCTAGGAAGTCTTCTAGCCACAAGCTTTATCCCTGGTGGTTCAAAGGCATGCCCTGCTAAGCTCTGCTTTCTTGCAGTCTGAGACAATGGGATTCTGGAAAAGTTTTGATGTCAGAGGGATTTTTTTATACTGTGTTAATATTTTCTTATTGATTTTCCTTTGGAAGCAGCTTGCAAGGTGCTGTATTCAGCAAGAGATGGCAATCAATATTGTTCTTTTAGCTACCCTTTAATTCATCACACTATAAAGTTTGTTTATTGTCAATTCCCCATTTGGTTGGAATGACAGAGAGGGTCTTTTCTGTTGCCATGCCCTGACTTTGGAATTCCCTGCCAACAGAGGTTTGTTTTGCTGCCTCCTTTTTGGCCTGCCACCTTAGCGTTAAGGCCTTTGGCCTTGTTATAATTACTTGTCTATTAGATTTTTATTGCTATGTTTAACTTCTTCAATTGCTACCTTGCTATTTTTCACATGTTTTATGATTTCTATTAGCCACAAGGAAAGGTGAGGCTATCAGTGTGTTTAAAAATAATACTTTGTGCCACTTGTTCAAATGCTATATGAATTGCACACTGAATTGTAAACAAAATTGGGTGACTATGGTTTTCTGTTCTTTTTAAGGAGAATAAATAAGACTTAATAGTTGTGTCTGAGAAGAAAGTGATGTTTTTCTTCTTATTATTTCTAGGCTCGTAAATCAGAGACTGCTTGAAGTACAATCTCAGGTTGAAGAACTGCAGAAATCCTTACAGGAGCAAGGTTTAAAAACAGAAGATGTAAGTGGAAAAAGACAAACTTCTTGCAATCAGTTTATAATAATGCTGACTTTTCCAGCGTCTGGTATTCTAACTCAACCAACTTTAAATTTTCTGCAAAGCTTCATTTGCTTTCACATGTAAAAATAAAATAATGTGATTCCCTGGTTCTAACTATTTTTAAATGGGAGCAGAGTTCCCAGTTTCAGATAAGAAGCTTCCTGCTGGCAAGTCTAGTCAATATGCAGCAACTGAGTTGATCATCTGTTTGGTGTGTTCACTGTACAGGACCACCATGTAAACACTAAATCATAGGTGGCTAACTTGTGGACCTCCAGGCATTGTAGAACTACAGTTTGCATCATCTGTGGCACAATGAGTCAGTGTGTCTGGCTGTTGACAAGAAGTTTGTTGGTTCGAGCCCACGCAGAGATGGTTGTGGGCAGGATATTCCTTCATTGCAGTGGGTTGGACTAGATGACCCTCGGGGTCCCTTCCCACTCTGAGTCTTTGGAGTTGTGATTCAGCAATAGCTGGAGGCCCACAGATTAGCAGCCCTTGCTGTTAAAAGCATTCAACAAAGTGTGCCAGTTTTTTTACTTTTCCTTGGATGTATATGCTGTACAACCCCAGCCACTTTTGAATTGGGGGGGGGGGGAGATTTGCATTTTGTATCATTGTTAGGTGGGCTGCCATTCACCTCATCTAATTACTTCTGGTTGCTTTCGCATGTAGTCCTTACAGTGACCTCAGCCACCATCTTTTGAAAGCTTAGGTCGAGTTGATATTCGTGTATGTGTTTTATTGAAAGATGTCTCGTTGCAGCATTTGTGTTTGAATTAGAGCACTTATTCATATACTTGAAACGGGTTTGTGCTAGCTTTCCACAGCTCTCTAGAGGATGAGACAGGAGGAAGAGACCTTAGAGAGCAGAGAGAGAAGAAAATGTGCATGCTCTGAGAATGCCTTGCTTTAAATGTGTTCTCTTCAAAAGATACTAAGTAGTTTATTCTGTTGGCTGCTGTTTGCTTCGTACTAATCTGTTGCCTCTGTCTCTCGGCACGGGTTTCTGCTGAAGGCTATTGTGAGTATGGCTTCCTATTTACTTCAATCTGCTCTTAATCAGTCAATGCCGATTTGTGGCTCTCTTTTTTCTTTTTAAGAGAAACGTAAATGGATAAAGTTTTTGTTCTTATTCATGTTATGTTTCACACTTTCTACATGTTGTGCACCTGTGGCTTAGCAGAACCTTAGGGGCGTGCATCTCCCAAATATTTTTATGTGTGTTGTCGTCATGGCAATGCTTCAGCTGCGTTTGTTGCATGCTTCCTTAGACACAGGTGACGAAGTTTGCAAGTACTGCAATCAGCCACAATTTCAGTTATTTAATTTGTAGTTAATGCTTTTACACTATTTTCATGTAGGTGTTTCCATGCAGGACTGAGCCACATTAAAATTTACATTTATTGTGGTGTTCTCACATTGTTCTTATGACAAAAATAATGACATGGGCTATAAATCCCTTGTTTCTTAAATAGGGGTGCCTTAATATTTTATAACATTCCTAAATGAACACACTTCTGTGTAGGAATTGGCATGAAACCCATGTATGATTCAGCTGCACCTTCTGAAGGGGAGGGCATTGGAGATCATCACTGCTCCTTTGCAAATGTTGCACATGGCAATGTACATGTCAATTGCGTATACAAGATTTTTACACGAGACTTTCAATATGCTCATCAAAACCTAGTTATACCTTTTTGAACAATTTGAAAGTGGTTTTAACAAATTTATGTACTATGCATCCTTATATATTTAGAAAGCAAAAAAAATCCATACTTGGTCAGGTTAGTGCATTTAGATCAACGCTGCGCATATGCTATGAGCCTTGTCTGAATAGGGCAACATGGCATGTATGTAGCAGCTATGGTTTTGACTTGAGTGGCACCGGTTAACTTCCTCGACCTTATCTCATTTTTTTTACAAAGTCGCTGAGGGTAGTAGCTGTCTGACAATTGACAAAATTGCTGCCAGAACAGAGCAGCCACATGCCCAGCCTGTAACATAGCATGCCCAATGCAGCTGTGGGTCAGTTCATGCAGCAGGCACTAAATGAGACCATTCTGCCTGGCTACGCATACAGCTTGGAGGGTACCACTACTTTTCACTGACCTTCCAACAGCTTCAAGGATTCTTTCATCTTTCGAGGTGGGTGAGTGAACAGGTAGCTGCAACAGATGGAATGGGTCACGTAGGACCTTGCTTAGGGGCTGCTGTGTGAACTGGACTCAAAATGAATTTATTGATGCACATTACATTGTACATGAGCGGTACAAAGCAGAACAACCTTAACCTTTTTTTAAAAAGCATTTTGTTAAATTGTAAAAATGTTAGTTCTGCCCATAAAATATATCTATATGCTAATGTTGGCAACAAAACCCAGTGGTGGTAGTAATAATAATAATAATAATAATAATTTTATTTATACCCCGCCCATCTGGCTGGATTTCCCCAGCCACTCTGGGCGGCTTCCAACAAAACACTAAAATACAATAACCTATTAAACATTAAAAGCTTCCCTAAACAGGGCTGCCTTCAGATGTCTTCTAAAAGTTTGGTAGTTATTTTTCTCTTTGGCATCTGGTGGGAGGGCGTTCCACAGGGCGGGCGCCACTACCGAGAAGGCCCTCTGCCTGGTTCCCTGTAACTTGGCTTCTCACAGTGAGGGAACCGCCAGAAGGCCCTCGGTGCTGGACCTCAGTGTCCAGGCAGAACGATGGAGGTGGAGACGCTCCTTCAGGTATACAGGACTGAGGCCGTTTAGGGCTTTACAGGTCAGCACCAACACTTTGAATTGTGCTCGTGGTGCACTTTTGTCAGAGAAAAGCTACTTTTGGGAGGGGGGTGATATTTGGTATAAGAGCAGGTGGTCCTTAACCTTTCCCTGCTCCAATTCTCACCCCTCCCCTGGTGGGATTCCAGGTTTATATTTGTTTTTCCTTGCTTTCACATGTCTTGCACTGTGAGAAGAAATAAACTTAAGAGGGTCCAGCTGAAAAGTATTAAGTACCTGAGGCTGCCCATTTAGGCTTTGTTGCACACATTTGCTTTAACTTTTTGTTCTACCCTCAGTTTTCAAATCTATGCCACAATGAATGCTTCAAATAACACTTTTTTTTCTTTTGTTTTTAGTCAGTCATTCTGAAAAAGAAGCTTGATGAACATCTGTAAGTAGTAAAATGTTTTCTGCTACTTATATAAGAATAGTAAAACAATTATTCTTATCCCAGGCAGCACAGTTAGGAGTGAACCAGCTGAAGATGGTTTATACATTGAGCATTTAAAAGCTATTTTTAGATCCTAACCCTAAATATTTTTATTGAAAAGTTAGTACCACCAGTTCAGGGTATCTTGGGACTGTATTGTTAGCTTAATGAGTTTTACCGATAGGGATCAGGTGGCATATATTTTGTTAAATTTGACAGAAGTTTTAGAGTGTTATTCTGAAATAGGAATTTTCCAGGGAAAAGTAGTTCAGCAACCGGTCATACTCTGGCTCTATCTTTTTTAATAGTGAAAAGCTGCATGAAGCTAATAATGAGCTTCAGAAGAAGCGAGCTATCATTGAAGAGTTAGAGCCTCGATATAACAACAGTTGTAAGTAGTTTTATATTTTGCCTTGTAACTGATTTTTATTGTTACAATCGTAAAAACACTTCTTTCAAAACAAATAAATGTCTTAACACAGCTAATTTAGGACTCTGCATTTGGGTTTTTTTTACAACGCAGCATCTAGTTGTTTTCCTTTAAATCAGCTAAACCCTGATAATTGGCTCTTTTCTTCTTTTAGATAACACAGTATTGTATGTTTGTAACTGACACTCTAAATGGCAGAAATGGAATAGTCTGGCATAGGTAGCCTCCACTTGTATTATATACCACCACTGTGTGGAGACAGGTAATTAAAAAACAAAACAAAAAGACAGGTTGCAAGGCTGTCCCAAGACATTTTGCTGCCTGTAGCAAAACAGCAAATGATATCCCCTAACTCCCCCACCTCCCAAAAGAAATTGAGTCAAGGATCATGGTATGTAAGATTGCCCATATCATTTTGGCACTTGATGCAAAAAATCCCACAAACACCTCTCCCCGGGAGTATAAATAAATAAAGAACATTTTGCTGCCCCTTAATTACACCTCAGATCTTCTGCTTGAGGTAGACACTGCACTCTCCTTGCCATGAACATTCCCAATACATATGCCAGAATTAGGCTTGTCAACATCTTAGTTTTGAGTACCCTGTCCAGCCTCGGAAATCCATTTGCACGACATCATTTAAATGGTGTACTAAACTCCCTAACAGCAGTTTAATTGCATATGGGTTCATGGTCCTTGAAGAACTCGCGATAAAAAACGTCCACACAAATGAAACCCAAAGGAAGAGGAGGACACAAGGTTTGCTGTACTCTGCTGCCAAGTTTTCCTCTGCATCTCCATTGTTACGCTGGATGGAGGGGTTTCAACCTCCCCACCCAGAGCGTGCGTGTGTGTGTGTGTGTAGGTATAGGTATAGAGAGAGAGAGCTGTCTGACTTGAACATCATGTTTATGTGCAATGGGTGGGGGTGGGGGGGTTGTTCTAGGGTGAGGGTGTTTACAAGTCAGCAATCTTCCCTGTCAAAAGAATTGGATTTCCATTTTCAAATATTCTTAATAGCCCCATAAACACACCTGTCTTTTCAAACTTACTTTAAAAAGTGTTCCTATAAGCTGTCGGCAATATCTGAAATGTGACATCTTCTCCCAATAAAGCTCTCAAAATAGAAGAGTTGCAGGAAGCTTTGCGTAAAAAAGAAGAAGAAATGAAGCAAATGGAGGAAAGATACAAGAAGTACTTGGAAAAGGCTAAAAGTGTGAGTATCTTCTGTTCTCCACCACGTTCCTTAGAGGGCTGAGACTTGTCCTCCCTCTGTAGCCTCACAAAATTATCAATTGGAATTAACAATATGCCAATACCAAGAATGAGTTAGATTGGGTTTTAAGATTTTTATTTTTTTTTAACTCTGCCAGCTCTGTGTATCTTGTTAAGGATCCATAGCGCAGTTGGTAGAATGCATATTTTGCATTCGGAAGGTTCCCAGGTTCTCTAGCATCTCAACCTAAAGGAATTGAGACGTAGATGATGGGAAAGACATCTGTCTGTCTTGAGACCCTGCAGAGTCACTTCCAAGGATAACAGACAATGCTAGAATAGATGGGGAAATAGTGTGACCCAGGAGAAGGCATTTTCCTGCGTTCTTACTTTGTGCTGTATGGTTCTTGCCCCTTGCAGGTGATCCGTACTTTAGATCCCAAACAGAACCAAGGGTCGGCACCTGAGATTCAGGCACTGAAGAATCAGCTGCAAGAACGTGACAGGATGTTCCATTCTTTAGAGGTAACTTATGCTGGGTTAGCCTAAATTGTTTTAACTTGAGTTTGACACTGGGCAGGATTCAACCAACAAGTCCCGCCAATGGAAGCCTTGCGCAGTGGGGCTTCCCCCCACCCCCCGCCACCACGCCCTTCAAAATTGACTTGTTTCGGAAGCTGAAAAGCTTGCACCGATGGAACGATTGCCATGGGGCTACATTGAATTTCCCCCACTGTATTTTTACTCGGTTGTATCCTACCCTGAGACCTTATTGCCAAGGGTGGGTAAGACATCTGTAATAAATAGCAGTACAGTGGAACCTCGCTTTTCGAACGTAATCCATTCCGGAAGACTGCTCCACTTCCGAAACATTTGAAAACTGAGGATCAATGGGCGGTTGGCAAACTCCATTGAAAAAATGGAAAAACACGCAGCAGGAGCCATTCAAAAACAGAAGCAATTACTTCCAGATTTTCGGCGTTTGGGTTCCAAATCGTTCGTCAACAGAGACGTTCGAGAACCGAGGTTCTACTGTAGTAGTAACTTGCAGATCAGTTCTATGCGTGTTTTCTCAGAAGCAAATTCCACTGATTTTCCAACTGGCTTATCCTCGGGCAAGAAAGCAATCCTGTCCCTCCCCTGATGCTGATGGATGAGGGCGAGATTTGCATTGTGAGCAGCTGCCTATTCATCACAGAGAGGAATATTGCCAGTCAGAGGGACTTCTCCTCTGCGTCAGATGTCCCAGCTTTGCCCAGGCAGGCAGAAAGCCTTCCAGTGGTAGCACTTGGAGTGCCAAAAAAAGCGGAGTGCAATGCCTGTAGCTCTGGAGCTGGCATAATGAACAATTACAAGAAACTGCTTCCTCACACGCCCACCTCCACTCACAAACCTTTTGCCCTGGTTGGTGTGAGTGCCAGAGCTCCAGATGCAGCAGAAGATCTGCCACTTCACTCTTTCCTGGCCCCAAGTTAGGATTGCTCTATCCTTGTGCATAGAATTGCTGCACTGTTGGCAATTATATTGTGCTCCTGAATGTTCACTCTTAGCTTAAGTTTTCATCCTGGGCTCCTGATTTGAAGGAGCAGCCTGAATGTAAAAACAGGCAGCCATGCACCATGTAAAGGTAAAAGGTAAAGGACCCCTGGACGGTTAAGTCCAGTCAAAGGCGAATATGGGGTTGCGGCGCTCATCTCGCTTTCAGTCCGAGGGAATCAGAGTTTGTCCACAGACAGCTTTCTGGGTCATGTGGCCAGCATGACTAAGCCACTTCTGGCACAACGGGACACCGTGACGGAAACCAGAGCACACAGAAACACTGTTTACCTTCCCGCCACAGTGGTACCTATTTTTCTACTTGCACTGGTGTGCTTTCGAACTGCTAGGTAGGCAGGAGCTGGGACAGAGCAACAGGAGCTCACCCCGTTGCACCATGTGGTCACTAATTGAAAATGCTTTCTTATGATGGCTTTAATGACATGAGGTGTCTGTGGCCTCTAGCACATGTTGCTACAACTAATGGGGAGTAAAATTCATGCACTTGGACCTGCAATGCTGCATAAATACCTTTAGCACAAATGCCAAATAATCAAAAGCTCTTGATAATGCTTTTCTTAATTAGAAAGAATACGAGAAAACGAAAACTCAAAGAGATATGGAGGAGAAATACCTTGTCAGTGCCTGGTACAATATGGTAAGTAATCCAAAGTGAAAATAAACAGTCAGATATGACTTGTGTTTGTGATAGGTTTTCCTGAACAAGGATGACTCTCAAATTTGAGAGTGTTAAATGCAGGGGCGTCAATTTGATTACCATAGAGATTTGCAGTTTGTGGTATGTTTCTACTCTTTGCTGCTTCAGGACCTCTGCTCCAGGCCTCAGGAGGAAGTGTGTGTGCTGTGATGCTGCAGGAAACAGGTGGGAGAGGGGTGGGAGAGCACAGCATTGGTCCTAAGCCCCAAACATTCCTGGAAACTAGTGGCTAAAGTCACTTTTCACACGAAAAGCCTACCTTCTTTCAGGTTTTTTTTGGAACCCATATTTGATTTTTAAATACTACTTTTCACCCCTCCTTCTGATTAGTAGATCAGTTGCAGGTGTAAGCTAGAGGAATTTTTAAAATTCTTTCCGTAACATGACTCATCCTTCTGTGGCTTCTGTATCCAGGCCTATTTCTTTCAGCTGTCTCATTATAATTGTCAAACATAGTTCAAAAACCCTTCTGAATGGCTGGCTGATTTTGCCTGAAACAGCAGGGTACAAAATCTAGCTTCCTGAGAATCTCAGCTTTCATTTTTTAAAAAGAGCTTTTTTTCTCTATTTCTTGGCTCTGAAGATGCACCTGAAAGTACGTCAGCTATGAGCCTAATAAAATTTCAGAGGCCTCAATAAGATTTCCGGTCATTGTAGTGTAGGGTGTATGTGCTATACATACTTTCATGTATATACATATAGATGTATAAAACCACCTCCTGCTTTGCACGCAGACAGGACAGACATATGCATAAATACACATTTGCAGCCCCATCATGTCCAGCTTAGCTGTTGGATGGGAAAAGGCAAATTTCTGTGAGATTTAAACAAGTATTCAGCAGCACACAGCAAAGCTAAGGTGGAAAGCTTTTGAAAAAATGGTGTTCACGGTGGCCCTGTGATGCGTTACGTGCCTTTTATGAGCATCTGCCTTCTCCAAAGTCCATTTTCTCTCTACAGGCCAGGAAGTGAGGCTTGCAAGTATTCCTACCCTAATCAGAAAGCAATCATGGAAATAAAGGGTGGCAGGTTCCTACTGTCGTAGCCTCCATAATTCAAGAATCATGATCCATTTGTGAAGCAGTGTGAAAGGAAAGGTTTTGATAACCTTAAAGCTGGGTCTAGGGGCATGTTTTCGTCTTCCTCCAGGAGTTACCCATACGTAGGGGTTGGTCAGCAAGCGTCAGCTCATCTGTGGAAGCTTTGCACCTGTACACAGGAAGCAACCTCGTCACAGACATGCCACTATAGTTGCCATACCTCTGAAGTTTAGTTGTTCACTACTGCCGCTGGAGAATTGATAGAGGTCATGCATGCTGGTGCAGTGTGGCTAAGATTGTCACCTGGGAAGTTGCCAGTTCATCTCATCCCTGCCATGAATTTATTAGATAGCCTTAAGCAAACTGCTCTCTCTTAGCTTTAGCCAGAACTCTCAAAACGTGCAGTGGAAATGCTAAATTTGATGATGAACATTTGGGTTTTACTATGGACTCTTGGCTCCCTGCCCCAAATCTGGGTGGCCGTGCTTGGGAAAGGGACGGTCCAGCGCAGCCAACACACCATAGTAGAGCAAACTTAATGCATGTTTTAGTTATTACCTCTTTCATAATATAGGAACCCAGGGTTATTGATGAAGCTAATCCATGGCAGAACCAGGACAGACCAAGGAATTACTGCTCTGCACAGCACATGGTTCAATTCTGGAATTTGCTACCACAATTTATAGTGATGGCCACCAACGTGGACACCTTTAAAAGGGAATTCGACAAATTCATGAAGGATAAAGCTATCAATAACTACCAGTCATGTTAGCTGCATTAGTTCCAGTATCAGAAGTGCTGTCTCCCTGAGTACTGGTTGATGAGGAGCATGAATGGGAGTTTGCTGTTACACTCATGTCCTCATAGTGGGCTTCCCATGGGCATCTGGCTGGTTAATGTGAGAGCAGAATACAGTGGTACCTCGGGTTACATACTCTTCAGGTTACAGACTCTGCTAACCCAGAAATAGTACCTCAGGTTAAGAACTTTGCTTCAGGATGAGAACAGAAATCGTGTTCCAGCGGCCCGGCGGCAGCAGGAGGCCCCATAGGCTAAAGTGGTGCTTCAGGTTAAGAACAGTTTCAGGTAAGGACGGACCTCCAGAATGAATTAAGTACTTAACCTGAGGTACCACTGTACTGGACAGGAGGGGCCTTTGATATTATCCAGCAAGGCTGCTTTTATATCTACCTGCCTTTTGTCTTTCTAGGGTATGGCTCTTCATAAAAAAGCAGCAGAAGACAGACTTGCTACCACAGGTTCAGGACAGTCCTTCCTGGCTAGACAAAGGCAAGCCACCAGCACAAGAAGAGCCTATCCTGGCCATGTCCAGCCAGCAACAGCAAGGTAGAAGAAGGCCCTGCCTTTTGAATGGAAGCCATCCTGGGATCAAGGCCTCCTTCTGTTACGAGTGACAGCATTTCAGGAAACTTTAGCCAGCATCCTTTCTGTATCTTTGTTCCTTGCGGTTGCTGTTAACCATTTCAGGAAGGTGGTTGTTTTTTTCTTTTTTCTTTTTTAAGAAAACACTTTCTCAATGTTTTTAGTCTTACTTTCTGGAGCCTTCCCTTTGTCTTTTGATGTGCCAAAATGTTGGAAAACACCTAGTGGAATGTAATAATGGAATCTCCCCCTCTCTTCCCCTCGTTTATATGGAATTGTCCTGTCTCACCTGAAAGCTGATGATGGCTAAGTAGCAAACCGAAAATGTCCCGTTGGCAAATGATGTTGCCATCCTTTCCAAGGCTACCATTGTATAAAGGGAATTACCTTTTCTTTCTCAATCCAGTCTGATCTGTTTAAATTATGTGATGGAATTTGCAATGGTGTTGCATAGAATTGTTATGAAATGTGTTAGCAGCAATAGTCAGATGCTGGCAGAAGCTGTAACCTGGCTGCAAGTACCTGATCGCGTGTGTTCATGTCCTTCTATTTATCCTTCTCTTGGCTTTAATTTGGAGGGGCAAGCTGATTTTTGTCCTTATTTGCCCATGTTCTTTTTTTTCCTTTTAGCATCACTAGGGTTAAAAATGATTTGATGTTCCTGTTCCGTTCTTGGTTAGTTCAATCACCGTGGAATATGGCAACCATTCATTGCATGGCCAATTGCTTTAAAGCTTCCCTCTCTGCACTCTAACCAAGTGGAGCACCCATCCTTTTCATTGCCATGTTATCGCAGTTCTCCAACTGCTTGGAAATCCTAGGAGATGGGACCATAGTAGTATTCTACTTACTGTGTGCCTTGATCCTACAGATGCCTAGTATTCTACATGGTTAAACCATCATGGAGAAATTTTATGAAGCAGTGAACTGTGTAGAACAGTGCTCTCCTGATCCCCCAGATAACATTTGACTCAAAGTCCTCTGAGTCCCAGGCAACATGATCAGGCATGATGGGAGTTGTAGTTCAAAAACTTCCCCCATCCCTGGTGTATCAGGGTTGATTTTGATTGAATGTCTTTGGTGGATGCTGTCCTCAAATTGTCATCTACCACTGAGGACTATTTTTAATAGGTCAATAAGGAGGGAGAGTCCATTCATTGCCTTACAGATGGTACCATTGCCTTCAGGCTTGGTGATTCTGACATGAAAGCTCGCTGTCCTTTTGTGCCAAATCTTCATACATGCCTGTACTGTTAATGGGTCTTTGTCATGAAGGAAGGCTAGCAATTCCCCTTCAGATTCTGATCCTTCCAAGTATTGCGTTCTAGATGTTGAGCCACTTGCACCCTTTTCAAATTAATGTGTGAGAAGTTTGGGGTTGCTCAAGACGAGTAGTTCCATATGGATCCGCCATGGAAGTAGTTTAGAGGTTTTGTTGGAAAACTTCACCTTAAAATAAAAATTCAGTGTGTCTAACGTTCAGCAGAGAACAGCTTTTGTTGTGTATCCTTCCAAGTGTAGATCATAGTGACCTTTTCCTTTCGAGGAGGGGAAAGGAATCAGAGATGGCTTTAACTTGGAAGTCCTCCTGGTTTTTATGGTCACATTTTCAGTATAAAATGTTTTTCTTCTCATCCTCATTTTGTGCGAGAATGCACAGCACAACTTAATTTTAAGAAAGGAATTTTGCCTTTATTCAGCACCACCCTAGTACATAAAAGGAGTTCTTAAAGTTCAGTAATGTGTAGAATAGTAATTAAAAGGCAAGGTGTGGTTGTTAGCCCTTTGTAGTGTGGTTTCAATGTTAGATGAAGTAAGTCAGGTATTTCCCTCAGTAGGCATAAAAGTAAATAAAAAAATCCTTCACAGGATCATTCACTTGGTAATCTGCCTTTTTTCTGCAATGGTGAATTTGAAGCTGGAGACAAAATATGGGAGGTATCTATGCATAGTTTTCAATTGCACTTACAAGCAAACGTGTTAGATTGGCATCCTGTCTTTTTTTGCTGGTGGCAAGTAGTGTACTGGAAGCAAAAGAGCAGTGATTAGTATTGAGTTAACCAGTTTTAGAGTAATGCATATTATTACACTTGCTATTCCGGGTCAGATAACATCTCCAGGAGTCTTAATTTTGCCAGCTGAATGCTTCTGTAGGCAAAAACTTCTTATTCTGTTGGGAGTGGCAGGAGAGTGTTTTTTCTTTTCCACAGGCTGTTGTGCATCTTATAGAACTATTCCTGTTTGTTCTGTGCCTGAAAGAAACTTGAAGACAACTTTAATTTTACAATTGAACCCGCATCTTTTTCTTTTTCTGCTTTTGATTTCCGTTCTTGCTTTCCTTTCTCTCTTAGCTGGCGCTGGGGTTTTGCCTGTCTTCCACAGCATATTTTTGTTTCGTTTTTCATCTAGCATGAAAGCAAAAGCAACTTCTTTCTCCACTTTGGCTGCAGTATTTCTTGTTTGCATTGAAGTGGGAGGCAGGCTTATTATCAATATTCTGAAATGTCAAGAACCCTTCATTAAAAACACAATTAAATTTTACTTTGATGCATTGAGAACCGAATATACATTCTTGTTGATCATTAAAAACCAAGGAAAGCAACAGTCAAGGACGAAATTCCCAGAACGACAGTTGCACTTAATTCCTTTTGAAATGAATAAAGACAGTTGTGGTTAAATTAAGTGTCTCTAATTTCTAGAGGACTTAAGTGCAACTGACTTTCTATATATCAAGGTCATTGTGTCTTGCTGCTGTATGCAGATTTTGTGGCAAAGACAGAAATAAAAGGCTTGTTTCTAAAATATTTATATCGGGTGGAATGGAAACAATTCATAAACCAAGCAAGTCTGTTAATTTTTTATAAACATGTTCACTGAATTTTCCTCGGATAGAGCAGCAGTAATGTTGGCTTGTACTTCCTTATTTGAGATGTGTTCTAACGATGGATAAAATTTGGGCTAGGCAAATGGAATGGAGTTCATATTTTTCTAAAAGAAACATTTAGCAGCAAGTTGTGTGGGCATTACCAGGCTTGTATTTAAATGTATCCCTCCAACTAAGTTGTCTTCAGGCAGTGAAGGCTAGGGAGGCGGAGGGGGCTGCTGTAAAATGAGTTGCCTTGATGCAAGAAAAAACACACCCTACAGTTGTGTGGGTTGTAGCTTTTGCTTGTATGATTTTTAACTTAAAAATTAGGCAATGTTCCCTCTTGTATTCCAAAAATTTCCATTTCATGTTTGTATTTTTCTCCAAATTTAGGACATTGGTAGATTTTTATCTGTCTCTTGCATTCTTCCTGTCGAATTAGGTCTTTCATCGGTTACAATATTCGGTTGCAGTTGAATACTGGAAAGTGAAGGGACGCTCTGAAAGGTGTATCAGATTATTTTTATGGCTTGCAAACAGATCAGATATGCGGCATTTCTGACGGTGTCGCCTAGTAAGTCATAACTGGGAGGGTTAAAGAGAGGAAAACCTTCAGTCTCCTAGCCATTAAAATAGATGATACTGGAGGAACATAATTCTCTTTGGCTTAGCTGTGCGCACACACCCCACCCATAGGGTAATGTCTGACAAAGTTCTTTGTGTGAATCACTGCGTGCAAGCAGGATCAGGAACTGCACCTCCACCTTGCAAAGAGAAAGGTGAATGTGGAACTCATCCCTGGGACACCTTTTTTTAAGAAAAAAGAAAGGGACATTATTCCTGAATGGGAGTGCTCATTTTCAGACTGATACACATTTGAACCTGCCTTTATCCTGCAATGAACTTCAGGTTACAGGTCACTTAACACAATAGCCCCAGTCCACTTCCACATACAGGGGAAGTCTGAAGATGTGTTTGTGGCTTGAAGACAGACTAGAACTATCTCCCATACTAGTTCTGTGTTGGATGCTGGAAGTCTGGGTTGGAGAATGGTTCAGGCTGAACCAATAAAAAAAAAAGCATCATCTAAAATGGACACTCATCTACAAAAGCTTATGCCATAATATATCTCTTAGTATTTAAGGTGCTACAAGACACTTAGTTGTGTTTACTGCCAGCAGACTGACACTGGTTGCTCTTTTCAAAACACTGTCAGTTTGGGTTGAATTTTTTATAAAACTACATGGATAGAACCCCAGCCAGAGTTAGGAGAAAAGACGTCAACCTCAATGTCAGAGAAGCCTTGACGTTTCTCCATTGGAAGCAATTCTGAGTTTTTAAGATGTACAAAATATCTTTTAGTATATTAAAAACCAACTTCTACATGCTCTCAACAATGGTTTTTTTTTGGGGGGGGGGAGCATATGGTCAGGATCTCCTCCAGTCAACTAGTCAGGAAAGTTTTAAATTGCAAGAGCAATTTATTTTCTTTTTCTTTCAGCACATTGACATCCTATCTAATATAGGGGTACACAGGTAGTCAGCTGGTAAAATCCTATGTGGATTTATTAGCAAATGAGCTTTCACCGCTTAATACTGTAGCTTATGTTTTATGAACCATTTCCTTGTCACAGCAATGTTGCAGTGTGTAAGTCCATAAACTATACATATTTGCTAAACTTCTTAAAATGTCTCTAAACAGGGTAGTCATCTTTTTTATGTCTTTTTAAAAAATACATTTCGACAGCAATTAAATATTTGCTGCTTCTAAGCCTCCTGTTTTATTTTGGATATATGCGATGATATATGGCTGCTTAACCTGCTGCACTGTTTATCAAACAAGGGCTCTTTGGTCTACGCCATCTCTCTTTTTATCTCCTGTTCAGTCAACATAAGCAAAACCTCTCATTTTAAAGGTCTTGGCACCTTTTTATCCAAAGCAAAAAGTTGCTTGCAAAGATGCTTATCTCCGTGTGTGCGTACGATTTTACCACTTTCCCATCCAACATTATAAAGCCCCCAGTTCTTCTCAGCCACCAAGAGAGTGAAACTTGATACAGTATTCATAAGTTCTAAAAATGGGTGTTGGGTAGGTTGTTGAGCTCCTGTAGCACTTAGTATGCTAACATCCATTGCCGCTGCTACTTGATTCTTCCTGTTAACAGTATTAACATGCAAGTCTCTTGCAACTTCTTCCATTTACTAAGCTAACATTTAATCTTAAATGTATTTTATAAATGCACCTTTGTTTACTGCTATTATTTTAAAAGTGCACTAAAGGAGCCATGTTGTTCAATACTATATACATACATATAGATATTATATATATATATATACTTTTTTTTTTTAATGCCAGCAAAGTCCAGAAAGACATTTCCTTGGAGAAAGCAGATAGGAAGTGGTGCCTGACCTCTTCCAGGTTTTTTATTTGAAACTCCGAGGCTTGACATATATGCAATATTTTATTTATTGATGTTGCATCCTGTCTTAATGTGTATATATCCTTTCTTGCTTTCCCCCCCTCGCCCACTGCGGACTTGTACATTTCCTTTTAAAGGCTTCTTTTCCCATCTGTGCAGATGTGTACAAGCAGCTCCAGAAAGGAACATCAGTGGAGATCACAAATATCAAAGAAGCATACTCTTCCTTGGTTTCAGTATTATATGTGACATGGCCTTTCTGGATTACATTTAGGGTTGTCTGTATTTATCTTATGTTCTCTCTTCCTCATACCTGCGTTAACTTCCTTTCAGATTGCACTAATATCTTTCTTTACGTTATGAATTATTGCTATCATACATGCAATACATGTACATTATGTTGACAGTGTAACTTGGAATGCTTTGTGCTGCCTTTAAACTATTTTTAAAGCTGCTTTTTTTAAAAAAAGAAAAAGGTTATACTCTTTTAAGCACATGCTTGTGCTGCTCTAGATTCTGTTTTGTATTGAAGCAGACCTAGGAAATGCAGCAGCGTGATAGAAAACCCCGAGGAAAGATTGCTTTGTGGCTGCATTAGTATCTTACTGTTACGTTAGCCGTCCTGCGGGATGGTGAATGATCCTTCCAAGCCTCTGGTCAGCAACCATTTTTATAGGAGGGCTGCTTTGAGGATGGAATAGAAATTGGCAGGCCAGCTCTCAATCCCTGTGCTTCCAAAATGCCAGCAAGTCCCATTGGCACTCTGCATGCCTCTTGGTTGACAGCTGGCCTTCATCCTGGGACTGCTCAAGGGGACAGACTTGGCCTCAAGGCGTGCAGCTGCTGGTCTCTGCTTTTAAGCCATAGGAATTGTCTACACATACACAGTCAAGTGAAAAAAGAAACTCTTACTAAGCGCTGTATGGTTTGATTAGCAGGCCTTTTCTAGCACAGCCTTACACTTTTAGTCCTGGTGTTGCCTGCTTAAACAGAGAGGAAGACTTGTGTTCTGCAGAACCAAAGCCTCTCTCTCTGTGTTGTGAGCATGCAGAGGGGGATTAAATTGAGGACAAGTTATTTGATCCAAGACTTTTGCTGAGCACCAGCAACTTCTAAACGTAGTCTTTCCCCCCCCCTAGAATGTTGGTTGTGCTCCAAATTTGATGATTCAAGGACGTAGTTTAGGTGGAAATAAACTAATTGATCAGTTCCAAAGTAGCAGAGCAGCTCAGTGAAAATGTGCAGCTCTCCCAAGCTGCCTCCAAGATAGGCGTGGTGGCAAAAGTTCTCTCCATTGTTCGCTCTCACCCCAACTTGAGTAAGGAATGTGTGCGCCAGGGGAGGGGGAAGATTGAGGTCCAGTTTGAATCCTGGTTCCCTTGCAGGCTCAGATCGAATGTCAAGGATGATCAGGCCTGCATGTCACTCACCATTGCCCACTTGGATGTGGGGATCTCTAGCATCGAGAAGCTGGGTTGCTGTTGGCTTAGGATTGAATTAGGCAGACGTGTAGGACCTGGTAGTAGGAATTTGATGTTCAACATTTGAATGTAAGACTTGCCGGATACTTGGATAGACAAGTACTATGTAAGTTCCGAACTCCTTGCAGTTTGAGGGGGAGATGTCCGCTGCCTTCGTTATTCCAATACCTAATCATGAGACATCAATATCCTCTCCTACCTTTTCTTCTTGCACAAACTTTTGAGTTGCAAGGAATTGCCTTGTAGTTGGTCTGGTGTGGTTGCTTTTGGAGTCTTCTTGTTTTGTGTTTGCTGCTGCTCTTAGCATACATGGCTTGAGGTCAGGGGCTTTTTTGTATCTTGTGTCTTTTTTCCCCTTGCCTACTAAAACATCTCAGACCACTAGCTGGAGTCATAGAGGAATGTGAGATTAAAGTATAAACTCCAATAGGCACTTTTGGCTGTCTATTTGAAACGGTTTGGGTTTGTGCAACTGCAACTTTCTGAGATCCTAAGCATGTTTTAAACATATCGGTTACTGTGTGTTATGTAGTTTTCGCGTTCTCTCTCTCTCCCCCCCCCCCCTTTGTCCATTTTTCAATAGCAACTTGACTGTCCTGATCTAGATGTTGACTGGTTACCAAAATTACTGTTTATGAAACTGCTGGTGATATCCCCCCCCCCCCGTAAGAGTGTAAACTCCTCCAACCACCAAATATTAATTCTCTCCCCACCTATGAATCTTACCCTGTATCTACCATCTTGCCATGGTAGAGGTTTTAGTATGAATGTGTGTAAAGACAAGGTAATATGGTCAGGTGTTCAAAGCACCCTCCCCTTCCCCATTCAAATAATAATGCTTCCAAGGCTACAAAACCAGTGTACAGTTGTTAAACAAGTTGTAAATAAAGGCTTATATAAAACTTGGCGCTGCTTTTTATTACATGAAGCAATTGTTATTTATCATACACATATCCCGGCATTTCTCTGGAAAACTCAGGTTGTTGCGCACGGTCTTTCCCATTTTATCCTCAAACTAGTCCTGTGAGGGAGGGTCAAGACAATTCACCACTAAGAAAAGAGGGGCTATTTGATATGATGTATCCATGTTGAAAATTGGAGTTTGAACATGTTTAATAGTGCTGCACACTCAGTTTAAGGCAGTGTAATTATAGGTAGCAGTGGGACAATCAAAGTTATCAACCTAGAACCGTGATAGAGGGGAGAAAATCTTATTGCACAGAAGAAATGTATTCCAAAGGAAAGAGAACCAAATGTCAACCAACATGCTATCCTAGCCCCAAAATGCATCAAACCCCCAGTTTGGAAGGGGGGGATTTGTCTGAGGAAGTTGCAACATCACACTTATTTACGTTACTCATTTGTTTTCCTGCTGATTTTTTCACCCCCGTTTTGAAAATGCCTTTTATAGCAAAAGTTTCGTTATCTTGGTTTGGTTACAAACTTCCTCTAATGCAGGTTTTGCAGAACTCTTCACCACCACCACAAATAGTCTATTAGCACTGCCCCAAGAGCTGTCTTGGGATGAGTGAAGAGATGTAGCTGGGTTGGGTGGTAACAGCTTTATGTTGCTTTGAACAAGCAGGCTATAGGTAATTTTCATCTACGCAGATGGTGAAGGTGCTTGTAATTTGCATTGTGTGAAGACATCCTCAAAGGCAGTGATAAACTTCATAAAATAGGTAAGATTATAGACTTCTCTTTACTATCTCATTCTCAAAAAAGCCTAACCAAAAGTTAGCAACGTGTCAGATGGGCTTGAACTTAAATAGTGTTGAAAGAGTAGTATGGAGTATGTCAAAACACTAAGCAAGCATTCACCAATAAATAGCAGATTGTGACTACTCGCTGGAGTTGCTAAGTTGCCTCTCGTGCTAATATGGATTACTTCTGATAAAAGTAGATAAAATCACTTTCCATAAACAATACATAGCCCTTCTGGCCATGATACAAATTTCGCCAAATAACCTGATTACAGTATTATACCCAGGACAGTAGCAGGTTGAAACAGATGGGCTGTCAACTACAGTACATGGAAGAGGCCGGCCAGGTGTTTTTTCTTGGACGCAATCAGGGGAAGCAAAATGTGATGGTGTTGTGCTGGCAAAAAGGGCCCCCTACCTGCAGCCAGCTCAGAAGGGTGTATATATATATATTTCACCGCCTAGGCACTGCCACTGGTGATCCTGTGACGTGACTTCTATACCTTTTTAAAGATCTTAAAACAGTACATAAAACATTACTTCCAACAACTGCACACTTCTTTAAAACGTAATTCTGTGCAAGAATTTAAACAGTGAATAAGTAGAGCCATCATTGGAAGGGAATCAGCACCCAATGGACAACTTTAGCACATTATTTTGGCCACTGTCCTGTACCGTGAATGAAGCTTTGCACCAGGAACAAGCAGCACTTAGCAGTGCATCCAAGCAAAAATGGCACGTGACCCATTCACCAAGAACCTCTCAGAAATGTGGAGCTAATCCCAATATTGAAGGTAGGTTGGAAGGTCCCCGAAACCGCATACAATGCCTGAAATGCATTTCTGAGAAGTGCAGTGTCACGACGACTGTATTTTCAGCATCAGAATCTATACACCTACTTGCAAGTTTCACCGAGGTGTTGAAAGTGCCTTGGCTCCCCCACAAACCTGTTCAGTTAGGTGAGTGAAGGCCTTTGTGGGTACAGCTGTCCATCTCTGGACCGCTGTCCCCAGAAATGCTTGGGTTAGTGCCCCCACTTCTGTCCTTTTCCTGCCAAAAATGGGGGTTTTTTAAAACAAAATTGTCAGTCACTGATAACCATTAACTGAATCTAATTTTAGTCTACTTCTGTGATAGCCATCTGCTTTCATGTGCTGAATTGTGTTGATTGGTAGTGACACTGCCAGCATAATTGAAGAGCAGGATGCCAACAAACATCTAACAAAGCCTGGAAAAACTGAAATGTAACACACCTTTCCACTCTGGGGAGTTCGCAGTAGTTGAGGCTTTAGAGACTGGATCTGTCTTTATCAGCTGGTGAGGCAATGCTGCGGGTGCCTATGTTCGGCACAGTCTCAAACCCGTACTTCTGCCACAGATGCTGCTCCCTCTTGCCCCGACACATAGGGATACTGGAGATTTACATTTTACAACAAAACAAACTCAAAAAAAACCAACAATGTCATCTTATGAGCCAAGAACTTCTCCAGTGTAGGTCTTATTAAAATATCACTGAAAAAAGAATGCCTGGCATCAATGTGTCTGGATAACACGCCAACACCAAAGAAGAACCAACTGAACAACAGTCTTGAAAATGCTTTATTGAACTGCGTGTCTTATTGTAATGTGCAGGTGTGTTTGAAAAGACTACAGCTTGAAAACTGGTTTTGAAAATCCTCAACAATTAAAAAAAAAATCCCTAGCTGGGTTAAACTCCCAAGATAACCAGAGGGCTGCTGTAAAATTCCCCCTTAGAACATTCTGTTGCAGAGACTAAAAAAAAGAACCAAATCTAGTACTGTATTTTATATAGAAATAACTGGAGTCAGAAACTAAAAACCAGTGGGTGGGGCTTTTTCCCATTTTTGATGAGAATCTGTCCTTTTAAAACCCCACCATACTGCTCAAGTCTGCAATTCAATTCTAAGATGCTTGCTATGTAGCACAGGTGGAAAGGGTTGAGAGGGGAGATAGAGATGAAGAAAGTGAGAGAACCAGAGAGAAACATGATTATTGTCTAAGCCTAGTTTAGATTTAATCAGAAGCTGTGTGCAATTTTGTCTTTATAGTCTAACTTTACATTCCCTTCCCCACCACCCCAACCCCCCAAAACAAAAAAAAACCCTCCTGTCCCTGCCTTGGGGCTATTATGAAAGTCTATGCACAAAAACACTGTACATTTTTATACATACAGGATTAATAGTATAGGCATGTAGGTGGCATGATTCAATTAAAAAGGCTTTTTACTTTTTTTTTATACCAGGAAAAAAAATCAAGAAATAATAAATAAAAAGGTGCTAGAATTAGCATTAAGAATGCAGTTGTACTATATTGACAAAAGTTTGGGAAGTCAACCTCCTCAAGCTCTCCTGTTGCTGACAAGTCTCTGCAAACTAGGTAGCAAATACATAAATAACTCAAAAACATATGATTGAGACTGTGAAGGTTTTTAAAACTAAGACAACATAATCCAGGTTAACTTTTGTTTTCTTTTAAGACAATGAGCAAATGAATAATCTACACCTGAATAAAACATGTTTTAACAGTTTGAAAATGGTTTTCTTTTAACAACCACAAAAAGGAAAAAAAACAAAGTTTTTTGTTTTAAACTTGTTTTAAACAAAGTTGAACAAGTATTTTGATTATAGGGCACACAAAAAGCCCCCTTTGCCAGAAGATTTTGGCAGTGGCCTTACTTTTGTGTCTCCTAGAGATGCATAAAAAGCAGGCTGAAACTCCAGGTGGATGTGCGGTGGTTAAAGAGAGCAACGCAAGGGTCACACCGAGCAAAACGTCACACCCTGGAAACAAGCTGTCCCACTGCAGAGCTTGCATGATGTGCAAACGGCACATGTAATAAAAGTGGTTCAGACGTACATTATTCAAAAGCTACTTGATGGCCACACAATGCCAAGTGAGCATTAACTTCTTTGCCTTGTAACCTTTGAATAATGGGAAAGCTTTTGGGGGAGGGGGAGGGAGTCGTTTATAGTTTTACTCCTTGTATTTAAATTTTTTTAAATGACAAGGTCACTAAAACTCATGCACGCTGCAAAAAACCTCATGCAGTAAAGGTAAACCATCCAAGCAGTTTTTATTCATTAATATTCATAAATACACACAGCAGCTTCATTAGAGATTTCATTTTTTTTTCCTCTTCAGTTTGAATGTGGAGTATTAGGAGAACCTTTTTGCATGTCAAAAAGTACAGGGCACAGAGGATTTCCCCTCTGATCTGCAACCTACATTTACCTGCTAGAAGTAAAAATTATTTTTAAGTGGAAATGATTATCATATATATCTTTCTCTCTTCCTTTGAATGTACACAATGTAACAAGAGTGACAGACCTGAAATTACAATCACCAAAACAAACCCAAGATAGTTGTTGTCCACTTTCATTGGCAAATACAGCACAGAGGACATTGTCTGCGAAGTGGGATGTCATCAAAGAGGAGGTGGAGGAGGCTCGTTTCCTTTATTACTCTCTTTTAAATTTAGATTTTCTAAAGCAACATCTAAAGGCATAATATCTACACAGCCCATAGCACCAAAATCGGCAACCTCCCCACGCTCGTCCTCATCAGAGGAGGAGCTTTCTTCCCGCATTAAAGTGGACAGCAGAAGCTCTTGAACAAACAGGCTGCGGTCAGCTCGCTCACTCTCCATTGACTGACGCTCTACTTCAGACATCTTGGGATCGTTCAACCTGCACAAGAAGGGGAGAGAAAACAGGATATAGCTGAAAATTCTGAGGCTTGGGAACACTGTCTAATAATCTACAAGATCATGAAAAGACCTGTGGATGTCTTGGGTTCAGAAAAGATGCATCTGATTTATTTCTACATTGGGAAAGAGACGATCAGACTGCCAATGATCACTCCTTGATTATATCCAATACCCTGAGTCCCTACCACCAGCACTCTGAGACCTTAACTGCTCCAATGCTGCTTCTATGGAACCCATTCAGTTCCCCTGAAAAATTCTCGGTTTACCGCAGGGTAGTACAACTTTAGCAAACCTGCATAGTAACTGGAGGGATTACTGCTCAGATAGTTGAATGTATGCTGCACACGGCATTCAACTTTCCCATCTTCTGCTATCAGATAGTTTGCCACCTTGGTACTTTTTGTGTGAAAATGTAACAAAATGGAATGTTGCTATGACATTATGCTACAAAGGGAGGACCCCAGGAACCTATTCAGGAGATGAGATTAAAATCTATTTCCCAGGAATCTTCACACAGGGATTATTCTGACCCAAAGATGGTATTGGGTATCTTTTAGAATTTATCTGATCAAAAGTATAAAAGTTACCGAGATGTAAGCAAAGAAGAAGACCTTTTTAAACGAAGGAATCACAACAAACGAGATGTTTAAAACAAGGTTCCTTCTCTATTTTTTTAAAGAAGGCATTCCCTTAAGATAAAATTGAGAAAGGAAAAGTAATCTTACAGAGGAAGTAAGCAAGGCAAAGTTGAAGGGCCAAACTGAAGGGGCCAAAGTTACTGAGGCCAAAATGAGTAAGTGGGAAAGGGGCTTAAGAATTCTCTTTTCAAATATGTGACTAAGTTTTTCAAAATATGGCAACTGTGTATATCTGTGTAGATTTGAGAGGCCCATGCCATGGTACTCCATATGTGGTATTTTACTCCACTGGGGTTACCTAAGACTTCTAATGGTACAAAAGCAGGCTGCTGGGAGACAGTGGAAGCTGCTAATCATATGTAGTGGGCACACGTGGCAAGCAGACGATTATTAGTCTCAGTTCTACAGGATCTAACTTTCCTTTTAGGCTTTATAAACTATTTCAAAGTTAGCATATAATGTAAATTGTGATGGCAGTTGGCCACAGCTTGATACTGACAACACACTCAGTTTCCTTCAGTAAAATAATGTCTTTGGAATGTGTCAGAAGAAATGAAACTGATTTAAAAATAACATAATATTTAAAATATGATAATCAGTCTACAGTGGAGGACCATTATTAATTGGTTCCCTTTTGTTCTATATTATGAGTTCTCATAGAGATTTTGTTTAAAGAGAAATTAAAGAGAAATATTTGATGAATCCATTACTATATCGGTATTTCTACTTTACAACAGATACAATTTTTGTAATGCGTAGATTTGAGAATATGTATATGAAGGATTTAATTTGTTGTAATATATTTTGATTCATAATATTTTTTAAAATACGCCAGCATCTAGGAATTCAGAGATAAACATAATGAAGTGCATCTACACATAACAGCACTGTATTAAACGGCCCTCAGATTGCTCAGTAATTTTCTTGATTTTTCCAGGAATGCGAATTGCAAGAAAAACTTGTATTCAACGCCTCCTTTTAAATTACAGTTTGAGCCACTTTAAAACTCTATCCCCTCTCTGCCCTTTGCCACTTAAGCCAACAATTTCATTTTAGTAGATACAAGCGGTAACAGAAAAGGCACAAAAGTTTACGTGTGATTGGCTGCAGATAATGACTGCTGAAGGAGGTGGCTAAAAAGCAGCTTGTGGGAAGGAGGAACATGCCACCAAAATACACAAATTTCAAAAGCGGGGATGAATTCCTGGAGTGATTCAGAACCAATAATTGCAATTCCGACCCTCTAGAACGAGTTACCTTGTAAGGAGGAACTGAGAGTTCTGGATAGCCTGCTGACTGTTTTCTGTGTTGGATGTGTTGGTTGTTGCTGTGGATTGTGTAATAGTGGTGGTGACGCCACTAGTGTTGGCGCGCCTTGTCGCGTTACGTGCAGTCTCCAGTTGTTGCCGTGCCGCCTGTGCATGCTGCCGTTCTAACTGCAGTTGCATCTGCAGTTGCTGCAATTGAGACGCGGAAGGGCCAGAGGAATTGAGCTGTCCCCCTGCAGAACGCCTCACACCGGACAACTGAGATAAAAGCTCTGCCAATATAAAAAAAAGGATTAAGAGTGAAATCTAATGTAACCAAACTATCTCGGTATTTCAGTCCTCTGCCACTACCACCTCACTCTCCCACAATATCTATTCCATAAGCTTCCCATTTTGCTACTACAAGGTAAAACAGATGAAGGTATACTCACAGTCCCTAAAATGCAGCCCCAATGATCCCCCTACCCTGACACATTGTTAGTGTTTTAACAGCACAGTAGTACATTCAACAAGCCCTGAGGATACTTTTGAAGTGGCCGGAATTATTGCTCAAAGCAGCAGTTCCTTAAAACTTTCTCAGCCAGCCCAAATAGTTCATCGTTGCAGCAACTTCTTAAAAATATAAACATCCATGTGGATGTTTAAAGCTCTGATTCACTGAAGACTATTCTAGAGGGAACAGAGATAAAATCTAACAACAGATATTCCTGCTTTTGGGGGGCAAGGTGGAAGAATTTAAATCATGCAAGTGCACAAAAATACAAAAGGATATGTAAATGTTCACAAATCTTACCAGCTATAGGATCCATGGCTTCCCTATTGCTTGGAGAATATGAACTCTGCGAAGATGAAAAACCACCAGTGGAACTGCTAGTAAAGTGCATGTTGGATCTACGTGCGCGAGGGCCACCCAAACCCCGGCCTGGGTGAAACATTCTACGTACATGCCGAACACCACTGGATTCGTCGTAAGCAATGAGTTAAGGAAGGAAAGTGTCAACACGCAAACAGGGACGCCTTAGCCACTAAGGCAATGTACTTGTAAAGAACAGGAGCAAAGCTTCCTTCTTAGTTTAGAGGAGCAATGACCACATTCAAGGCTAGCCAGCCCTCCAAGGCCCGTGCACTACACTCACCAGGCATCCATACTGTATGCAAACACACCTCCCCGCCCCAGCTCTTGTTAATGGGAACACACCACTCTCGTGGCCAGCGCTGGGCTGAGAGGCCTAAATCTCTCCTCCCAGCCTAGTGCTGCAATCATGGCATCTGAAGAGCAGACGCAGCAATTTCCCTCCCCATTGCATTACTTGCGTGGGAGGAATGGAACACCAGACTTGGTGAAAGGGCCCAATTATTCGACACAATTATGGTCACATAGAGCAGATGCACCGAGTATGCAGACTCTGCTTAGTGTAAACGCTGGCATCCCAAACGTGTTGAGTTTGGGGTGTGCTTCTCTGCTAGAGTTAGAGGCATGCTCCAGCTTGCCTGCCCCCAATGCTATAATACAGTGGTTCCCAATTAGCTAAGTATTGTGGATTTCTTGTTATTTAAAAGTCAAGCCATGGACGCCCCCTACTTTGGAAAATTTTGATTATCTCCAAGGTAGTTTTTGTTATGTGAATGGTACCACTGACCCCCTGGGTGGGTTAGGCAATTCCCAATTGGGAACCACTGCTATTTTGTGCCTTCTGAAGCTTAGCTTGGTGTGAACCAAGCACAACCCCAGTAACTAGCAAGGTCATAAAATTACCCTAGCAGTTGCATTTCTATCTTCAGATCCCCTTATCTAAAAAAATCACACTGGGTGTATTAAAAACAATTTTGCACAATATTAGCATTATAGATGCAAAGAGCAGGGCAATGCGAAGCAAATGCCAAATCAAGAGGAAGAACTGTGAGGGGAGAGAGACTTTGTTTGCTATCAGGGGGTGGCTAGTTTCACCCGCGTTGCCCCAGTTCCAGCCCAAGGAACCTTCAGAAGGGAGTTGCTCCCCTGGGCATTATGGGTATGTGTATTTTAATGAGCCAAATACAGTAAAAGATTATCAGTCATGGGGGTGGGGAGTGTGTATTTGTTAAATCATACATTTTTGCATTAATTGTGAGGTTTACCTTATTTTTTTAGTTGTTGCTTTGTTAATAGTGTTTTATAGATTGTAATTGTTTCACTGAGGATTTGTAAATTATTCTATATCATTTGTGCTGTATTGGTGATGTTCTGTCATGTTAGTGTCATTTATTGTTTGTAAGCCGCTTTGGGATATAGCTGAATGAAAAGCGGCATAGAACTATAATAAAGCAAATCAAGAAAATACAGTCTCAGAGGCAACATGCCAATGGAATTACAAGCTCTTCTTGTAATTCTTCTGAACGCTTTCTTGGAGCGTTCCCAAAGCTTGAGGAGAGGTTACTTGCTCAGACAGAACGTATTTTCTTTCAAATCTTTCCTCAAAAGAAAGGAAAATAAATCCTATCAGTTTACACTAGCCAATAGTGGTGCAATTAACATGAAGTGCTCCAAGCAGAGTTTTTCTTGCTTATCTAGCTATTCAAAGAAAACTATGTAACACGCTAACAAAAGCACCTATTTCAGAATCAACATGGGTGGCTATTAGTATAGAAGGCAAAAATTATTCAGTTGCTTCTTCTTGACTTAGGCAAGGATATTAAATCTCTTGGAGCTCTATGTTCCAGTGTAAGATGAGCTGCAAAGTCATCCGTAACATGATTGGGATCTCCTCCTGGTAATGCTGCACATATCGGACAAATCTGTAATGACAGAAGAAAGGCCATATGAGCAAGTGTCTTCAAGGCCAAAAAAACCAACACGCTGAACAGAAGCTACTATCTCATGCTGAGAAAATAGCAGCCCTAGTACAACTCACCCTCCAGTTCATAATGATTCTCAACACCAGCCTTCCAAATAATCAGGAAGTCAGTGAAAGCCCCCAACCAGATTCATTCACCTGATTGTTGCCTGAGCACTGCTCCCCTCCTTGCTGCCAGTACAAACAGGAAGGAGCTGCTATCATACAAACAGGTACAGCCCTGTGCCTTTCATGCTCCTGGACAGGGAAGAGCCAAGATGAGCAACTGTCCTTGGTACTTCATAGTTTCTTCACATACCACGGCTCTTAAAGCAACTGCTTCTTTTCTGACTCGCCCAGACGTAACACGGAGGTCTTTGTGTCTAAAAGGCGGCAAAAGAGCAGGGGGCTTCCATGGCACTGCTATGGAGACAGAGTGTAGGATGGTATATTCTTCCTTGCTAGAGAGGAAGTAGTTCATCAGCTCCACCTAGTTTATCCTGGCAAACTCCAGGGGAGGGGGCTTGCTTGGACTGATTCTCTAGCCATCTTTCCGTAACAGAACTACTTTTTGTCCCTAACACTCTGCTACCGAGAAAGGGAAGGAAAGAAATATAGGGTCAGTCCAGGCAACTGGGGCACATCCTTCCAAACAGAATTCTATATGAGAGAGCTTCATTCTGGAGGTTTGCACTTGCCCCGCCCCCCCTCTAGAAAGGCAGAGAAACAGAAAGCCTAGTAAGCAGCCTTGAAAGCAGAGGATCTTCATTCTGGAGGCAGCACACAGGAGCTGTTTCTCCTTTCCAGGAGATGAGGACAAAAGCAGATCACCTACCACTTGTACTAGTATTACAGGACAATACTAAACACAGGGCTGTCTTGTCTGAAAACAATTATTACCCCAGCCAAGAGGTTATTTTCAAGCCAGATAAAAGTACTGAAAGTCGGACTTGTGCAAAAAACAAACAAAACCACAAAGAAGATGCAACATCAAATATATTTCCCAGATGGATTAATGGGTGTTTACCACGAGTGTCCATTTGTTAAAAGTTTTAGTTCTGTTTTAAAGGCATCTGTTCTTTTTTGTGTTTTTAACTGTTTTTAATTATCCTATGTGCAAATTGCCTTGATTCAGTGGTTCAGAAGGCAATACATAAAACAATTGTAATAATAATTAGAAACATGGCACACAGCAACCACTTTTGACAGAAAACAGACGATTACAAAGGGACGATTTAACAGCACTTGTGTTTCAATAAATGAGTGATTTGATTTAGCTCAATCATTTTACTAAAGGGACGGGAAACAACTTCAGCCATGTCTCCATACTTTTAAGCTTGCTGTGTCTTCTTGTGCCATTCTGCTTTCAATAATGAGAAGTAAAACGAACACAAAATGCAGACTTATCTGACTATGCAAGAACATGCATCGACACATACAAAGTTTTGCTTCCCAATAATTCTTCCATCCCTTTATTCAGTCTCTTTAAACCCAAGCATTTTTATAAATGACAGATAATCCTGTGTGAGTTTGTCCAGGAGACCAAAACATACAAGACTTCAAAGCTTTTCTGTGCCACACCTATTGGTGCATCAAATCTGATGAATACAATTTTAAATAAACCTATATACAAGTTCTGATTTTGTTAGGCAGTGCTCAGGCACCTTTGCCCCTTCCAGTATTCTCTTTTGTTGTTACCTGAACTGCCTTTGCTAAGTCACCAGTTTGGAGCATGGGGGGAAAAGCTTAAGAGCTGCCTGCAAACAACCTGCCACATTTGCAGAGACAGAGAGACTTCTAAGTGAATGAGACAGGATTATGGATCCTCCGATTACTTCTGGAATAAGCCTAACCTCCCTACGGCATTGCACAGAAAACTCTCAAGAGCAATGCCTGGGATACCAGGAAGAATGGAGCACTTTGCTAAGCACTATCATCACCATTCAGACTGGTATAGTATTTCACATCTATGAAACATTACTGCCACCCTGTGGAATCAATCCTAACTATGTTACAGGCTGAATTGTAAGATCAGTAGTGCTGTAAGGTTTAATTGGTAGATTAGTCAATGAAAGCTTGAACTCTGAGTATTAACTGAGCTTTTCAATAAGGTATAAAAATACCTCAACTACAGAAAGGTGTGCTTGGTTACATATTTGGAACACCTTGCTATAAGGACAATAATGGAACAGATGTTCTTCGTCCAGTATTTCAAGCCAGCATATGGAGGTTTTGATAATGTGCATATTTAGTTACACATAATCAATTAAAAGGAAAATGATGAATCAGCTGAACATTCTTTAACTGAAAACTAGCAATTTCCACACCAAATTTCTTATTTAAACCTGCACTTGGAAGCAAAATTTGTTTTATTCTCCAACCACCAAACTGTCCACAAGCTGAAGGACTCAGAACATGCTGATTCAATGGCAACACTATATAGGTACCTTTACCTAGGTAAAAGTGAAACTGCACCCTACTAAGCTCAAGCTTGCGATGTTTACAAAAGAACAGGGATCTTACTGTAACCAAAGCATAGAAAATGAGAGAACCAGGTTTCCTCTGATGCTCCCCCCCCCAAAAGAAATCACAACCCAAGTATTTTTGAATATTCTCCCATGAATGCTATCCTCTGAAAGCTAGCATATTGCATAGTTAAGAGTATGAGCTACAAGCCAGCAAGTCTCTGGCTCAAATGAGCTTCATGGGCTGCCTCTGGCAACGCATGGATAGTAATAAATACTGGTCTACCTTAAAGGATAGTTGTAAGGATTACTGGGATAATGTGAGTGAAGGTCTCTGAACACCCTAAAGATAGATATTTGGCTGAAGTGTTTCTTTCCAGTGTTGGGTATTTTACTCTAAACAATGAAAATAGGAAGAGCCTGCTGTATCAAGCCAGTGGCCCATCTAATCCAGCATCCTGTTCTCTCAGTGGCCGAACTCATGCCTGTGGGAAATCAGCCCCCAGGATTGAAGCGCAAGAGCATTCTCCCCTCCTGTGGTTTCCAGAAGCTGATATTCGAAAGCTCTGCTGCCTCCAGCTATGGAGGGAGACCACAGCTATCCTGGCTACTAGCCCTCAATAGCCCTCTGTTCCATGAATTTGCTTGATTCTCTTTTAAAGCCTTTTGGTCACACGTTTCCTCCAAGTGTAAATAGCATGGCCTTGCATTCAGAATGGAGAAAGGGCAACTGCATTTGCTCAGATATGGTACATTCTCAAGGTAAAGTCTGTATTATTTTCCATGGCAGGATTTTCCAGGGGAGCGGGGCCAGAAGAGAAAACTTGAAAATAAAATTGTCAATGGGGGGGAAAAGACATTGGTAAGTGATCTCCTGCAACTTTTAATATTAAATTAGTATTCATACATTATAACTAATTTTCTATTTTAAAAAACCCCTACGATAGGCAGAATTTCAAGTTTCAAGTTATTGTTGGTGTTATTCAGAAGCAAGGCTGACTGTGCTTACCACTTCTGTTGATGTTTCTGCATGTTCTGAAGTAACGTGTTCTTGAAGAGATGTTTCCGTATACCCCATTTTTCCACAATAAGGACAAGTAAAAGACTGTGGCTGCTCTACAGAGAAAGCTTCTCCACCATAGTACAAATCTGTGGGGAAAATAAGATGTGAGAATTCCATTCATAAAAAATGATCATGGTTACAAATATAGGACACACCAAACTTAACTCAAACATACAGTCTAATGTACAATTCAATTAAGAAGAGTTGCATCCAACTAATTCACAGTATGTGTGGAACTTCCATGAGTACAACACAACTTTCCCTCTCTTTCTTCCCCCTGCAGCCCCCAAATTTGCTTTGGGTTTGCCCCCAACTCTCCAGAGCAGATTTTGGGGATGGGGAAGTTCTACTGTGTTTACACAAGTTGTTCTGCACATCCAATCAAACACAATTAATCATCTCTCACAATACAGGATTTTCGTTTTGTGTTTTGTTAGCCACATAATCTTTTTTAAAAAAAATATTATTCAGAATTGAGAAAGAATCTACAAGGCTAATGGCATTTTCCTACACAAAGTAATCCTAATAATACTATGCTTTGAAGTGCTAAGTGTGTCAATATTTTCACACCTGAAAACAAAGCAGTGTCAACAACCACTAAGGCATCTTACAGAATAATATACATCATTAGTTCTTTAAACAAGAAAAGCTCAAACACCAGATCCAGTTTTCCTCTGCTGCATTTGTAGCTGGTAGGAGTTTGTACACCTGGACTCACAAGAAAGCGGTCATAAAGCCAAGCAACCCCAAACAAATATACAAGCAGAAACACAAACTGCTGCTCTCCACCACCACAACTGTAGAATGACAATAAAGCCTTACTTGACATGTGTTTATACAAAGAAAATGTTATTTCCCCATTGAAAGCAGAAGCATTTTCTTTGTTCCCGCAGAAGTCCCACATTGAATGAATATACTATGAGTAGCAGCAACAACAGCAGTGCACTTGGCAGACTGGACTCAGCCAATAGAGCAGGAGAATTGATCTCAGGGTTGTGGGTTAGAAAAGATTCCTGCATTGTAGATGACCCTGTAGCCCTTCCAATTCTACGATAATGACAGACATAACCTCTACTAGAAATATGTGCTACCTCCCTGAAAAAACTCCCACCCATTCCCCATGTCTTAACTATGCTGAAGGAATCTGTCAGCACTAATATTAAACCTGGTTAGAACTAACCAACAATTCCCTTAAACCAGAATCTGAAACCAAGATTAACATCCACCAAACTGTTTAAATGCAGTCCTGGGGAAAGGTTTACTTCAGGAATGAGACAGGCTGCAGGGACAAAATGCAGGTCCTGAGGTTGGATTCTGATTTGCTGACCCCTCTTCTCAACAGGGAACAAATGTTATGACTGCACAATGCAAACATTAAAGCAACACGGAACGCTTGAAGCCGGATAATCCCACTCTCTCCACAGTGAAAGTTACTCCAATACAAGAAAGGGTGGGTAAAAGATCCAAGTACAGCTATTCTTCCTCAAACATACAAAACAGAAAACATCCTTGAATGCTGTTGTACATACCAAGCTATAAAAATTCACAAATGCTTATGTGAACTTGGAGAAGAGCAAGAACATCACTCAGGAATACAGACTGCTACTTGGTCCCACAGAAACCAACAGAAATAGGACAGTACTTAAGAAAGCTTGATCTGCATAGCTCTACTCTAGCACTTACGCAGATTTTAATGAGGCCACATAAGTGACATTAGTACGGTTTTCAAGTGAGTTCTAATGAATATCCCAGAAAACTATATCCATGGCAATAAGCTAACAAGCTCCCTGCGCCACCTTGAAGTCAACCAATATTTTCGTAAATGAAAATCTACTGAATACATGTGTTTCTCACTATAAAGGATTTTAATCTCTGTAGGAGCATGAAGAGTTTTTAAGAGTACACGTAGCCTCCCAATCAGTTTTGGTCTGCAGAGCAAAGCTTTTGGTACCATTACCGCTGTTTCTGTAAATGATGTTCTGGTTTAGCTATTTGCAACAGTCATCCCAGACACTAGCCAGAAACCTCTGGAATCCATGTCCGAATAGGGCAAATATTTAAGTTTCGCACTGCAATCCAGGCATCACAATGTATCTGTAACACCATAGATAAAGCCAGTGGTGATTTGTGGTTTTGGGGGGTGGGGAGTGGTGTCCTCCTGACAGCAGCATGGTGCTTGCCAGTAGAGCTCCAGGCTGAAGCAGTCAACCCTGCAGGTGAATCAATTTGCTGAGGCACTTAACTGCTGGCTTTAATGGACCTGTTCCATTTTATGCTATTTGTTTTCATTTGATGCTTATTCATATTGTTTTATTTTTCTTTCGCAAGCAGCTCTGAGAACCCATATTTAAAAGTGGGATAGAGGTCTTCTATATACTAGACCCTACTATCATAAAAAAGGTTGTTTCATCAGAGGGAAGGAAATGCAAAGAGTCAGTTCTGGGTTGCAGTTATGGGGGAAATTAGCAACATTATTGGTAACGTAGTCCAGCCAGTTCAAGTTCAGTACCTCCTCTCTACATTTTAAAGCAACAGCTCCTCAGCAACATTAAAACCATTTGTCCTTTATCTTGTAGCGGAAACCTGCCCTGCTGTGGGCCCAGGGATGGAAAGATGGTTTCAAATTTTACAATCAATAACTGGCTCAAAAGGGTTGTACATGCTGCAGTCATGGAAAAAATTGCTCATCAGCGGTGTAAGCTACAGGAAAATGCAGAGCCTGAGGATTATGCGGATATTTGTTGTAATTTTATTACATATCTCAGAATCGCCCAAGCTCAATATAGTTCCCACAAATTATTTATCTCAAAGTAGTTTTAGTATTTTCCCCATTTGTTTACCTTACCCATGACTTACCCCAATTTTTCTTTCTTAGTTAGAATCTGTTAACACTCTTTCATTATTTTAATCTAAATGTGCATTTATGTATATATATATAAATGATGCCATTTTTTTCTTTTATACACCCAAGATGTGTATTGTTCTTTTGTTCTTTTCTCTTTTCAAAAAAAGCAACACACATGCATACCCATTGATTTAAAAATAAACAATTTTAAAAAGGGGTTGGTTCATCAAAGAGAAGGAAATGCAAAGAGCCGCCTGTCCCTTTGTGTTTATGAATTGTTCCTGCTCCTCACTCCTGAATCATCTTTTAAAATGAAATGCAAAGGAAAATGGTATGCCAATATAGTGGGAAAGGCCCAGTATACTCAGGTCTTCCAGTGACACATGTCTGAACAAAATGTAACGCGGGAAAAATTATAAGCCACAGTAGACATTAGTCACATTTCACAAAGTGAAACTTGGCCTCCTCTTTTTCTGCAAGAAGTTTTCAACTCCAGAAGTCCTTTTCTACACTACAGCAAACAAACCAGAAAGCAGAGCAGGAGATGAGCTGGTCTGTAAACAGCAAGTTAGTTCCACTCAGGCCTGATTCATAACTCATACTTTGCCATCTCTCCCCTTGTGCTTCTGCTGCACAGCGCTGCAGAAGCAGCACAGTTCTTCTCAACGCTCAGTCCGGCACAATCACAACCCTCTGCTGGTTGTGCATATAGCTACCATCTGTAATCTATGTCCTGTGCAGACCCTTCTATAATAAAAGGCACAATACCAATGATACACTTCCCTGTACTGGCACGGGTTGTGGTGATTTACTATGCAAGCCAACCTATCCATGCAGGGGGGTGATTACAGATATTCCATGACTGGAACCCTGACATGCAACAACCACCACACTTCCAGGATGAACCCATTTTCTTGAAATAAGCACATATGAGCCTTTAGATTTCCCCTCAACCCCATCTTATCCTTGCAACAAGCTGTGAAGTAGCCAATGAGCTTGATGGTGCAGTGGAAACTTGCACCTGGGTCTCCCCAGTTCCCTGCTTGACACCACACAAGCTCTTTCACAGATCCTTTTCTCCCAAAGATTTGACAGAAAGTCTGGCTAAGGAATGGACAGGCAGAAGGGAGGGAATAAATTGAGGGAAATTTCTGGCTGGACTTTCTGCAACTCCACTCAGAGAATAGGGACAGGACAAGCTAAGGGCTATATGTCAAAACTGGAATACAGGAGACAAACATAATTCATAAGTGGATGAGGAGGAAACACTGTAATGTGTGAATGAAGAAACTGCAGCTCTCCTATTTTTGTCAAACCACCAAACAAGCTTGAGAGGAGGCAGGTAAACCACACTAAACAAACCTGTACTTGATAAGACATACAACCACATAGACTGGAGGCAGTATTCTGCTAAATATAGGCTCTGGTACTTGTCTGGAGAGCTATGCCCCCCCCCCATTTGAATACCACTTCAAAACAAAATATTGGCCTCAAAGAAGTCTTATCTCAGGCTGAAGAACGGAGTTTAAAATGCTTCAGACAAATAAATTTTGATCATAGATATTAAAAATAACTTTTCAATAATGATAAAGTCATAGAACCTCAAGGTAAGAGAAATCTATAAAATCAGTAAAAGAGAACCTGCTTACATCACTGGAAGGTATTTTATAGCTACACTCCTGTAGCACCATTATAACCCAGGTAGCAATATGTCCCAAGGAGATACAAGAAATGAGTAAGGTGCACTGAAGCTACGCAGGCTGCCCAAACCTGTAGTATGTCTAGCAAGGCAAAATTACATGGTTTAAGCAAGTGAATATGTTATGTATGAAAGCCAAAAGGTGTAGTGCAGTGGCTACAGCAGTTCTCCCCCCCCCCCCAAAAAAAAATGAGAGAGAGAGAGAACGAACAAGAAACAGTTACAAATTAGACATCTAATTCCATTTTGGTGGTCAAACATACACCAGCTGAGCTAACACATGTTTCGACCACCGAAATGGAACAACTGGTTGTTTTTGATGGAATGCTGGCCACTTTTACTCTGCTCTGATTATGCTGTGGGCTTTTCATATATATATTATTGGAATTTAATATTTGAAGTTCTGTACCACTAAAATGAGTATAGCCATATTGCACAGGTTTATACCTTCAGTTTTCTGGGGAAAGGGAGCAATTCATTTTTGAAATGTTTTCTCTCGCTCTCACATCTCCCTACACTTTGAATTCTGTATCTACAATTTGCATTCTACTTCCACTTGCCACGCTACTACTTCCTCTTGAAAGGCTAAGGAATTAACTTCACTTATTTTTCCTTCTAATTTCGGGTTCAACAAAATAAAACAAAACAAACCACTGATGAACAGCAACAATAAAAAGGAATTAACCTGTATTTGATGATTCATGTTTATGAAAATTCTCATGTGCTTTTTAAAAAATTGAATATCCCTTCCCATCTTCCTGTTTCTTCTTATACACAAAACCCAATTCTATGCAAGTTGACTCAGACGTCTCACTGAGTCCAGTTAGGCTTAACTCCCAAGTAAACATCGATTGGATGGGAGGCTAAAAATCATAAAGTGTCAGCAAGGGGCTTAACTTTTTTTAATTCCCTGTGAAGTGCTTGTCTGAATAGTGCTCATATTAAATGCAATCAAAACTAAATGAAGAAAAATAAAAGCAAAACAAAATAATGTATACATATGCCATCTGAAAAGAGCAAGGTTAGTTTGGGGAACATCCTAAGTTATATAAAAATCACTATATATGTATTGTGACACCCCCCCCAAAAAAAGCAAGAATCACTTACCAAAATCTACCCTTGTTAGTATGCACTGCATTGGATGGTCAGTTGTATGCCTTGTCGTCGTTGCACCACTTTCATAACAAGATGCACACAGATCGTAATCGTAGCAAATTAAACACTTGTATCTGCGACCTCGAAAATTTCCTTTTAAACATGCATCGCAGCTGACACCTATAAACAAAAAGAAATGGTTATTAACTATACATTATACTATATTTAAATGTAAAGTAGTGAACCTAGTAATACCTACAACTTTTAAAATTAATTTAACTCCACTGTTAAGTGTTTCATGTTAATCGTGTAGTTTCTATTGGGAAAGAAAAGTGGGCTATAAACTGGACGAACAAACAACAAATTTGGGTGTAGTTATTGCAATTATGTGAAAGAAACCCATTTGGGTTGCTTAGTGAATATCTTCTTAATTAACCCTGAAAACAAGAACTCAAAGTATGAAAATCACTGGATATCATTAACATACTAATTGTAGCATGCTTTAAGAGCTGTGTAGATAAATATCTGTGCTTCCTAGTAGTAGTCACCTAAAAGTTAATGGTAACTTTGAGTTTAACTATAACTACTATTGTGTCCACTTCAGTTGACTTGCAATGTGTTAATTCAGAAGAATGGTAAATAACAAAATGAAATAATGAGTTTCTAAAAGGAGAAACTTTTCAACAGAAGAATATGGTAGAAGGAAATTTTCAACTCCACATCTTTCATCTGACACAACCACACAACCTCTCTAATAGTCCTTGTTACCCAAGTAGCAACAAGTTATTCTTCTGCCAACATTTGTCAGATAAAACACAGAAAAATCATTCATCTTCCCTTTCAAAACACACAGTAACCCACAACAGGTGCAGCTGAACATTCCAGAGATCTCCTTGCTCTACAATACAAATTTTCTTCACATTCTGCAATGTTTCTGCAGCCAGGGATTTGGATGCAGACTTTCCAAGGATAATGCTGTTCCTGGAACACTCTGCTGGAGGAAGGGTAAGAAGACTTTCACCAATTTCTCATTCACCTACAGCCCTTTGAAAAGCAGCTCTAGAAGAAGAGCATGGGAGATGGTGCTAGGGGGCAAATCTGCAAAAATCACTTTCCCCCACTTTGTCCTTAAGGTGGAGCTACTGCTGGAGCAGAATCCCATCCACCAAACAGAATAAGTTATTCTGTTTGATTTTATATTTGCACAAGAGTATATCCTGATCCAGGGATGTGGGGGAAGGGGGCGCTGTGGGTTAAACCACAGAACCTAGGACTTGCCGATCAGAAGGTCGGTGGTTTGAATCCCCGCGACGGGGTGAGCTGCCGTTGCTCGGTCCCTGCTCCTGCCAACCTAGCAGTTCGAAAGCACGTCAAAGTGCAAGTAGATCAATAGGTACCACTCTGGCGGGAAGGTAAATGGCATTTCCATGCGCTGCTCTGGTTCGCCAGAAACGGCTTGGTCATGCTGGCCACATGACGCGGAAGCTGTATGCTGGCTCCCTCAGCCACTAAAGCGAGATGAGCGCCGCAACCCCAGAGTCGGTCACGACTGGACCTAATGGTCAGGGGTCCCTTTACCTTTACCTTTATATCCTGATCCAACCCAACGTATGCATAATCCTAAAGATAACAATTTGCAAAAAAAACCCCAACAACCCACAACTACAAAGTGTAATAACCTTCCCACTTTTTATTTAGAAGTTTGCATGAATAGGAATCTTATTTATGTATCTGTTAAGAGCCACATAACATTTAACCAACTTTAAAATGTTTCTAGGTATGTTTTAAAATACCTAGTAAAATCATAATCTCAAGCTTCTAATTTATAGTAATTGCACAATTGCCTGTCTGTAATTGCCATGCAAAAGTTCAAAGAGAACTGAACGTTCTCTTTCAGTTACAGATCTAGAGCAAAGATCGTGAGCAGTACCTCGCTTCAATCCACACCAATCTCTCAAAACCACAACTATTTTTCGGCAGACCCTCGCAGCTGGTTCTGTATTTCTACAATGACTCTCACACTTAACTGGCAGACACCAGCTCACAGCCTTCACAAGGGCAGTATTGCCACGGATCACTTATTACAAATCAAGGTACTCGAAATAGTGCTTACAGCAACACTGTAACGTAGACCACACAATTTGGTGGAGGGCAGGGAGCACTGAGGCTGAGAAAATATAGCAACTTGCTATGCAGTGAGCTTGTACCAAGAATGCACCGTGCATTTTCGTCTTTCAGACTACCTGGATGAACAACAGTAATGAGGACACCCCCCCCCAACGTTGCCAGCCCTAGTAAATTATTGATAAGTGAAATATGAATGTGCATCAGTGACAATACAATAGAACAGCTTTCCTAACAAAAATCACACCCATACTTTCAGCCAACAGTCCTCCAACTAAATGGCAGGCCTCAATCAACATACAAGGACTCCATTTAACAGCAATAAAACCACCTCTCTTTGGCTTTCCAGAACACTGACCCAATTTCCAACGTTGTTCTATGACCATGCGCCCTTGAACTTCAGCCAAGGTGTTTTCTGTCTCCCCAATCCCCACAAACACTTTTGCTTCCCCAACAGATTTAGATTGCCAATAGAAATAGGACAGAACCACTGAAAGCTATGCCACTGGAGGGTAGAAGGATAAAGATAAAAATGGCTCAGTCTAATTTTAAATGATGGAACAGACTACTTTCCTAAGACGTTTTCAGCATTATTCAGCCGCTAACGTTTCCGCATCCATATTTAAAAGGCTGCTGTTTCTTTTGGTATCGTCTAGAAATGTTAAGGTGAACTTAAAGGGGTTTGCTTTTTAACAAAATGTTCTAAGCTTTCTTATAATGAAGGCGTAAATAATGTTTATGGCAGAACAACAATATACAATATCACAGTATTTCAATTTTGTAATTAAATGCTCTGGAGCAGTGTTTACTTAATTGGATTCCTTTACAAGAGCACCCCCCAAAAAAAATTTTTTTGCAGGGCCAGGCTGGGCTCTGACGGTTGATTGGGACAGTCCTGAAGGAACCTTGTGCAGTTTCCAGTGCTCCTTTTGATGCTTTCTTTTCAGAATGGTTAATTGCTTCCATTTTTCAAAGGCCAAAAAGACACCTGAAATAACCCAAGGGAATCAAAACAGCAGCAAAAGTGTGGAAAAACACCACATTATGCTTTTTGGATTTTATTGTACTGATGATATACACAATTTATTTTCAGCATTACAACGGGGTGGGGGGTGGGGGTGGCGCCTAGATATTCCATTGTGGCGACTGTAACTCAGGTTTAAGGTGTCATTTGGCGACTGTATCAGAGTTTCTAACACTGATTTACAATTCATAAAGTGGGAATGGCCCAGTTTACACCACTTACACATCAGTGTAGGTTCAAGAACCTGATCACTTGTTGCAAGGAAGTTCAAGAGACTCCAGTAGCCAAACTACACCAGTCCATGAAGGTGCAAATCCTCTTTGGTTTGAGGGATCAATTTTAAATTGGCAGATTGAGCTAAAGTGTCATTTGACCAATCATTCTCACTTTTTTCGCTGTATTTTCCATAGGCCACTTGAAAATTGCTGAGGTTCTTTGTGAATCTTGTAATGAACCAGGCTAGACTGCTAAGATGAGTACCTTAACTGGCAGGTGTTTAGGGAGAAATCAGTAATCACCAGCAACATACTATGAAGGTCATGGGTCCCACACCAGGGCCTTGTTATCTAGTTCAATAAGCTGGCACAGGTCAAAACAGCCTCAATCTCCACCATCAGAAAAAAATTAATCAAGCACAGGGCCAAGGTCAAATATTCTTCACTCTTCTCCAACCTTTCTGTGACCAAACGAACAAAGCTTGCAGACCACAATTTGAGAATTTCTCCTAATTAAACAATGGTAGTCAAATTGTAATAGATGTGGCTGAGAGTGAAGGCTACACTCCTTTACTGGTTGAGACAACTATGGTTCCAATATGCTACTACAGTAGAGATTGAAAAACTATTTTTAGAAGCAAATGTGATTTTTAATACTACATGGTAGTTTGGGGTTAATAAATTTGTATGTTAAACTTATTACAGTATCTATTAAAATACCTATAAATGATATTTTGGCAATATTAATTTAAGTCAATTAGTTAAAATACATTCATTAACTAAAAATTATGTAATCAGCGCTCGTAATTGCACCCAAATGTATAATCTCAACAATTTTTTTTAAAAAACTCAACAATTTTTTTGAGCTGTCCTGGTTTTCACTTTTTGAAATGTGGCAACCCTAGTTATAGGGAAATTCATTTCACACTGACTCACAAGCATCACATGACACTGCATTAATTAAGCCAACAGGATATGCAACGGTCCCTCCCCCCTTCAACTTCCAGAAGATGAATAAGCAATAAAGGGAGAAAAAATACGTTCTTCAGTCCTAATAAGAAAAATGCTTGATTTGGATGTGCCTTTATGTACAGTAATAAGACCACATCTTGGAATTCCACATTTGTTCATGGCAGTTTTCAGAATACAATATAAAAATAAACAAAAACATCTGCACGTCTCAAAAATAAACCCATGATGACAAGTTCAAGGTACAGGAAATACATCCATGTTCTCATCATTGCCAACAGCTATCATTTTGCAGTTTTCAGGACTTTTGAATTCAGAATGGTGATTTTTTCCGACTGTGGCCCCCTGCCAACCTTGCTTCCTTCCTGTGGCCCTCCATGGGTGTAGCCAAGGGGGGCAACTGCCCCCCATAAGTAAAAAGCAATACAAATCAATACAAATCTGAGGTTAGGTTCTGCCCCCCAACATAAACCTGCCCCCCTAACAAAAATTCTGGCTACACCCATGTCCCCTCCCGTCCTACCGGTAGAAAGGTTTATACCTATTTAAATGTTTTGTTTGTAAATAGAACATGTTTTATTTATATTTTTTTATAATTTATACATTGTAATTTATTTATATTTTTATAATTTATACAAAATACAATTACATAAAATGATAGGAACATAATGAAATAGTTAAAGCAGAAAAACATGGAATCATCTTTCTAGTTCAACCTCCTGCAATGTAAGAAACTCTGCTAAAGTATCCATGACAGATGGCCATCCAACCTCCACTTAGAAACCTCCAAGAAAGGAGAGTTCAGAACCTCCCAAAGGAGATCCATCTTCCATGTATTATAAAAAGTAAACAACATTTATTTGAGCACAGTTATTTGACACAGAGGGGGAAACCTACAGATACAATCCAAAAGGCACACAGGGAGTTCTGTATATATGGGAAAATTTTAAAAAGCAAGTGGCCCTCACTGACCTAGTGCAAAAAAATCTTGTCATCCCGAGGAGTCCTGGCTGCCTAGATAAAACCCTATAGCCCCACACACCCTTACCTGGGAGTAAGGCCCACTGAACTCAGTGAGGCTTTCTTCTGAGTAGACACTTAGGTATTTACTAGATGCAAGTCATCAGCACCAGACGACCCCATTCAGCAAGGCACTGAATGGGGTGGATTTCACCCTGTGCCTTGAAGAGCCGGGCCAAAGCTGCCAACGAGCCGTGTCCCTTGGCAACATCTGAAAGCCCTGATCTGCCAGGCACTGGGGTGGATTGCACCTTGCAGAGTCAGGCCTAGCACTGGTGGCAGCAACAAGCAGCTCCAGCTCGCCCAGCCCTATCAACTGCCATCCCACCACCACACGTACCTGACCTGGGGGTTCTGGATTGCAGATTCTACTGGTCAAAATGGGAGGCTCAGCAATCACTCTCTCCCACCAGAAACAAACCAGGACTGCTCTAAGAAAACTCATGTGGCAAAAAGGAGCATTAAGCCTTGGTGGGTTACCCACTTGTGATTGACCAAGCGGCTTGCCAGTCAATCAGGATTTTTTTAAAAGAAATGATTCTCCCCCCCCCTTCACTTTTTACCTCCCTCGGCGATCCCCTAACCTCATGCTGTGGCCCCCATTTACGCGATTTTCACCTGTGGCCCCCTTGGAATATCCAGGGGGCCCCCAGGGGGTCACATGGCCCCTGGTTGGGAAACACTGGTGTAGGGTGCAATTTAGCTAAATTTTTTAAATAGTTTGGAATAAGTTTACAGTTAAGCATAAAAAAACTAAGTGCTGATGCTTACCACAATATTTTTGTAATCACTTCATTTCCTTTGACTAGCCAGAGCCCACAGAATGTACAGTATTTTAATGATAAAGGAGACACCCTCCTGCACAATTAGGAAGTAACAAGATTTATCACCATCCTTTAAGCATTCTGACATCAAGCTGAGCTGCACAATAATAAAATAATGCTTTTAGAAAAGCAAAGTTACCCTGTTTAAGTTTTGAATCATATTAATTTGTATACTTTAGTAATTATTTTATCCAAAGAAAGATTCCAACATTCTCTGTAACATGGGGAAAGAGGTTATAGCTGCAGACACTGGCAGCCTAATATAAAACAAACTGGGAATAGTATGCATCTTTTATCACACCTATTTCCACAAAACAAAGAAGTCTCCAAGAACCCCATACTTCAAAATCTAGTTAAAACTGAAAAGAAACTTGGATCTTACATCATTTATGCCTGTGGGTAGGTGGGGGACAGATTCTAAATGTACAGATTTACAGTTCTGTATTGTTCCAAATATACTAAATACTTCCGCTCTGTTACTCATTATGTTAAAACATTGTAAGTTTGGTTTTGTCTTCATTTTAAATTCACCCAAAGTCCTAATTTCTCCTTAGCTTTTATTAGTGAGATCATTGGACTTCCACACTAAATGTATCTTTAGTATTAAGTATAATTTCAACTTGTATAGGAGCTGACATTATACTTTAGGCCTTACAGATTAACTTTACTCCTTAACTACATACTCATGTTATTATAATGTGGCTTCTCTGCCTTCTGCTGTGCTCAAAATTGATCTTAGAAAATTTTAAATTATATTGGTACAAGGACTAAAAATTAGTTGCAATTTTTTTAGTAGCAGCAATAATGTTAATAGCAGAGTAATGAAAAACTAATGAATTGTTCTCAGTTCATTGTTGGCTTAATAAGATTAATATTGCATTAGGAACAAAGGACATTTCGATCCACTATATCTGAAATCATTTCAATGTTTACCAAGCATTGAGAGGTGGCTTATGGGGCAAAAAATATTTATACCCTTATGGGGGTGTTGTTGTTGTTGCTATGTGATGGAAAAACCATATTACATATTTTATAAATGTAGTTTTCTGTAGGTAGGATTCCTGAATGTATGTTTATTGATTATTAAAGTTATCAATAAAAATATGAATTCAAAGAGTCTGTTTATGTGAGACTCCACAGCCTCCTTCACAAGCACCCAATATAATGTCTTGAAATGTTCATTCCTATAATTAATTCAAGAAGGCGTATCACTGAACAATATCCATGGACTGAAAGGCTTGCTGGTGTGCCAGAAAAACACTACAAAACAGATTTCAGTTGTTCTAACTAGGGATGAGGGGAAGTCCTAGTGCAGAAACAACAGGCTGATTTGTATTGAGTAGGGACCTAACACTTTGCTGCCATGAAGAAAAACAGAGAAGTTGCAAGGTAAAAACAGGAAGGGCAAATAAAATAGTTCTGGCAAAAAACAAACACACAGATATGAGTAGCAGAGGAGAAATACAAACAAGCTACGATTCTGAACAGGCTCCAATGAATATAATGTGGTGGAAATAGTTCAATTTTCTCACAATTCTGACACATTTTATATGCTGAAGTCATATATGCAGCAAGTTCCCAAGCATGTTTATTCAGAAGTTAAGTCCAACTAATTTTGGTTGGGCTTCCTGTCTATAGCTGTGCAACCTCACTCATTAAAACTACTTTCCAATGCTGAAGACAAGGAAACAATATAATCAAGAGCAATTATCAGCTTTATCCTCAGACAAATACCTTAGAAGCGACCATCTCTTACTGGTTTCTGACCCAATTTCTTATAGTTCAGCTGGTACAAAAGCAAAAAGAGCTTTCCTGTTGGACATTTTAACATGCAGGCTGCAGTACTATGAACACTTATTGAGGAGCAACAATGGGGCTCATTCCAAATATGCACAGGATTTCACTGGACATGTAATTTACTAGTTGAACTAGACTATATTTTTTAAAAAATCAATGAAGATATAGGACTTCACCTTAAAATCCTTACCTATGAATAAGACTGAACAAAAATATTTCTCCCATGGAAGTCTGCTTGATTTGCCCATGATCATGGTATCATGCACCAAGATTTTATGTTCATTTGAACTATGACGACGTTCAATTTAAGGGTACTGTATTTCTAGAAAGACTTCTAAATGGCAACCTAGTCTTCCATTCAAAGTACAGTGGTACCTCGGGTTACATATGCTTCAGGTTACAGACTCCGCTAACCCAGAAATATTACCTCGGGTTAATAACTTTACTTCAGGATGAGAACAGAAATCGTGCAGCGGCAGCATGAGGTCCCATTAGCTAAAGTGGTGCTTCAGGTTAAGAACGGACCTCCGGAAAGAATTAAGTTCTTAACCCGAGATCCCACTGTAGACACAAAAAGTACAACAGGGAAAACTGGCCAACACTGTAGTATTAGTTACCCCAACTGATGAAAACACTAACTATGAGTGTGGTGTAGAGAGAGGTTAGAATGTCAGACCTGTGAGACCAGGGTTCAAATCCCACTTGGCCATAAAGCTCACTGAGTGACCATGGGCCAGTCACTGCCTTTCAACCTAGCCTACCTCACCTGGGTTGTGTGAGGATTAACAGAGGAGGGGGAGAAACCTGGAGAAAATGTTCCTTGGTGGAAAAGGTTTGATATAAATGAAATAATAACAACAACAATTATTAACTATAGCAGCTACAGCTGTGATGGATCAGGCTTATGGAAACTGTAGCATCTAGAATGCACAAAGTTGTGGAATGAGAAAACCACAATACACAATTACCTTATTCTAACTCTAGTCATGGCTATGTATGACTAGCTGTGTTGGAATGTCCATGCAAATGAAAATTATCTACATATTAGCATTTATATACACACCTGAGAGCTTAAATCAAACACACATCCAAAAGCAGATGTAATTTCAATGCACTGCACTTCTCTGAACTAGATGTGCACTCAGATACATATTGCAAACCACATTCTAGAAGAGCCAGTGACACATATTTCCACAAGGGATATTAACTTCAGTGAGACTTCCAATATACTCTTATGTACATAAGACCATTTACAGCAAAGTAAAGGAGGGGAATATTGCTTTGTTTCCATTTTGCAACCATGACAATCAAAGGCATGTACCAACATATGGCAAGACATACTCAATTTTCTCAACTGAGCAGGAGAACAGCAATCTGAGGGTGAGGGATTTATTAGCAAACACCTTGTCATTGTCAAGATTACTTCCTGTCAAGGTTTAGATTATTGGTGGCTTCTCCTCCATGCAAGGATGGTGGCCTTATTAGAATGATACACACACAGGGAGACTAATAGACTCTCCATTACTGGGGACCCTAAGGGGCTTTCCAGCTGGCATGGCTAACAGTCCTGTCAAATCACTGGCTACTCTGCAGAATGGAGACACAACACCAGGTGGCTGATGCGACTCTTCTCCAGCTCCCTCTCCAGCTTCAGAGAGTCTGCTCCAATCTTTGGTATACATCAGAGCTTCAGGGTGCTAGAACCCAAGTGGCAAAAAAATCACAGCAATTCTGATCAAACACAGCTCATTATGCCACCTTCCTCTTGTGGCAGAGATTATGGCAAATAAAGATTTCTTCCCCACCCCAACATCTACAAAGTGCTGTTCAACAGACCTTTTCTGGATGGTTCTGTCTTTTGCAGTCTGCCTAGGTGGGGCTGGTGAAGGAGCTTTTGGTAGCACAAGTTTGAAATTGGGAGAATAAAACTGCTTGCATCCACAACAACCAGGATACTACCATTGGATACCACTGATACTACCACTGTCCTATTTTGATGGGTGGTTATTGTTTACTGAGGCTAACAAAGTAGACAAGGTGCTTTACCCCTTTTAGGACTTCAATTAAGATGCACAATTCTGCACAAAAACTGGCCTACACTGGAAAACTATTTCCAAACTGAATTAGACAGACAGACAGACAGACAGAAAACTATTATACCCTCAGGTCGCCCAATTAATGGAGTGCATACACTCTTGAATTAGTAAAATGACAGAAACACGCCATAACAAACAACTGCAGTACTTTTTCAGTTTGCATCTGCCCTGCATGATCTCAAAACATTTACTGAATACAAATGCATCTCAAAGATATGAAAATTTCCCTAATAGTTATGATTGTCTTTAACTTCAAATAACGGTAAAACAATGTGGGGAATACTTTTATGATGTTTTTTAAAAGTCTGATTTCATTTACCAACACTTGAAAATTGGTCCCCAATTCCCACTGGACATCTATCAATCTGGCTCTCTTCCTCATTCTGCTCAGTCCTATGATTTGATAACGCCCCCCTCTTGAAGAACAGCTTGCCTGTTTGTACCTGTCTTCAGGCAATTTCCCACCTTCACAATAGGAAGGGAAACCAGGGAACTGAAACCATTAGACTAGAATGCATTCTTGAGACCAGGGACACCTAAAGCCACTTAATTATTCCACATAAGCTTCCCTCTCCTTCCTCTGTTGTCTCCCTCACGTCCATTTTTAGAGCAGCGTTAGAAACTGAGATATGAAAGCTAGGAGCGAAATGGCACCTTAAAACTAAATTATAGGTGCCACAACGGAATGACTAGGCGCGCTTTTTAAAAACAATAATAATATAAAGCTGAAAATGAATGAACTGCAGGAAAAATCTTATATTCATTTTTCACATGGTCTAGTCCTCATCTGAAGACTGCAAAAAACAAAACCCTACTTCCCCTGCCCACCCCCATAATATTCTCATGAGGGTCCCTTCTCCAGTCCTCCTACAGTGGCTGGAAGTGGATAGGCAGAAAAGCTTCTCCTTTCGTTCCAGCAGTGGCAGTTTTAAACTGAAATCTTAGGCCCAGTACTGCTTCCAGAGCTCAGAAACTGCTTGCATTAATGAAATTCCCTGTCACAAAACGTGTCTAGAACAATGGGAGTTTCGAACACTGTTCTAGAATGTAAGCCCCTTGGGAAATGGGCCTGTCGTCTCATTCTGTGTAAAACATCTTGTACATGGATGCCGTAGTAGCAGCAATAATACTACAATAATGGGGTTCTTCACTACCATTGGCTATGGACCATAGACAGGAAGGAGATCTCTTGTATGCAATCTTCCTTTCATAAAAAGCTTGAACAGATCACAGAATACAAAGCAACCAGAAAATGGAACAGGAGCACTCTGGAAATAAAAAATGTCACTACAGACCAGCTGACATGAGAAGCGTGATTAGGACTCTGCCGCCAGATTTTAAATTTGCCATCACTAAGAAATGCAGCTTCAATACAATTAACTGTATCATGCACATACTAAATGCTCTTAGAAACCATAGTTGCAAAACAAATATTTAATCTGTGTCATTACAAAATATATACATCTTGCTTCTAAAGTATATAAACAGTGCCAAATTTAGTTACTTAAATTTGTTAGTCTTTAAGGTGCTACAAAGTGTTCTTTCTGCTACAAAGAGGTTACTCCTCTGGGGGGAAAAATACTAGAATAGGTTAATACAGTGGTACCTCCGGTTGCAGACGGGATCCATTCCGGAGGTCCAGGTGGATTCCGAAGTTTCCGCAACCTGAGGACCACTTCTGCACATGCACACGTGGCGAAACCTGGTAAAATACTTTCTGGTTTTCCGTGCACGCATCCCAATGTTTACGTAACCAGAGGGTTATGTAAACGGAGGTTCGACTGTATTTCAATTTAAAATTTACCTAACATTAAGAGGACCTCTGAGTGTTTTTATTAACAGTGCTTTTGGCCAATGACTGGAGTCAGAGCTGTGTTTCATATGTGAGTTGTTTGGACACCAGGGAGCTCGTAAGAGCTGGTCAATGGTTAAGGCTTATGAGAGCTACTGTAATCCAACAATATTTGACAGCCTAGGCCAGTGGTGGCGAACCTATGGTACATGCGCCAGAGGGGGCATTCAGAGCCCTCTCTGTGGGCACACGCACCGTCACCCCAGCAGGGCCATAGCTAGGAGGGTGAAACTGGCACTCCAGCACTGCAGGAGGCTCCTGGCCGCTTCCAGCATGGTCCCAGCACTGCTAGGGCACCATTTTCACCCTCGGGGCTGCACCGGGGGTGAGGTGTGGGGAGAAGGGCTCATGCTGGGAAACTGCTGCTCCATCCAAAGCCTGTGCCACCGCTACTCAAGTCACCAATCAAGCCCATCTGCCACCACAACCAAACCTGACGGCCGCCTCTGGGCTGGCTCTGCCTCTCCGCCATCAAGCTTGGTTGTGCCCGACCCGCCTTCCTGTTCTGCTCTCGAGTGGTAACCCTGGTGAGCAGCTGAGCAGGTGTCGACTTCTGAAGCGCCAGGGCCTCCGGCCAGTCTGTTGTTTCTACTTGGGAGTAAGCTGCCTTGAGTTCAGCAAGGTTAGACAAATTATCGGCATGCATACAACAGCAAAAATCACATTAATTGTTCAGAAGCATGCCAAATGCAAACTTTTACCTTTAAAAAAAAGTTGTTCGTATCATTGAAAGCTCTGTTATTGTGTTTTCCTTTTAAGACAAAAGATGTTAATGTATGAATTGTTTTTTCTACACTAAAACCTCGGTATTCAGGTTAAATTGCCGTGTTGGCACTTTGAGATAAATAAGTGAGTTTGGGGTTGAAGTTTGGGCACTCGGTCTCTAAAAGGTTCACCTAGACTTCGGTTTATGATTGACATGGGGGGGGCGGGAGAGACACAGGATTCTTGTGCTTTTAATATGGCATGCAGAAATTCAACAGGCTAAGCCTTTTCTAGCATGAAAATACAATTATGGGGAAAGCTTAACTTCAGATCTACAATAAAAATAGTTTTCAATTCCAATTCTTTAAATAAAAGTATTGAAAGAAATTTACTGGTTTTCAGGTAATGACTTGATCACAGTCATCTTTTTCCTTCTTTTCTTTATATTGATAAATCACACATGCATGTCACTTATGCTTAGCTGGAACAAGACTAAGCAAGTATCAAGCTCCCACACTTCCCCTCTCCCTTGACTCCTCCCATGCAACTGTGAAGACCATTTCAGCAGCATTTAGTTTTGCTTTTCCTGAACCTCAGCTAAAGGAGCTGAAAACTAAAAGGCAGCATTTCTTTTTTTTTCTTTTTCTTTTTTTAAATATTTTATTAAGGATTTTCTTGTTTTACGGAAGTGTAGTGCCTCGTATTTTTTTTTTTTCATGTAACATTTTTACAAATCCGTTTCATTTGTTGAGGCATTAGGGGGAGTAGAAAAAATAAAGGAAAAAGTTAAGGGGGGGTGGAGAGAGGGAAGATGGATGGGGGTGGGGTCAGGTGGCGGTGTTTCTATTATGTTTAATGTATGTAGAGTTTGGTGTCAGCGTTGCTTGTGTTGTTCACTTGTGTTCCTTTGGTGGTGAGAGAGGTTGGGGTTGGCCTAGGGTGTGATTGTTTGCTTGTGATTGGCTGTGGTGATCTTTGTTTTCGTGTGTGAGTGGGGTGGGTGGGTGTTTTGGATCAGGTTAGCCATATTGATTTGTATGCTGTTGGTGGATTATTGTCATTGTCCTGTTGGGCTGTGTATGTGATAAATGGGAGCCATACCGGGGTGAAGGCGTCTTCTTCTGTTTGTCCCCGTGTCAGTTTCAGTTTATTAGTTAATTTTTCTAGTGCTGGAGTGAGTGAAAATGCTGCCCATTACACTTAAAGAGCAGGCAGGGGCTTTATCTCCCACCTCTGCTATCTCCTGAGATGAACCAATAAAGCATGCTGCCCTTAAAAGATCACGCCAGGAATTGGAGATAAAGCTGTGGAGACGGGTGGGCCAGCTCCAGCACACAGGCCATATGCTTCCTTGTTTTACTTTATTTAGTACCTTTTCCTCAAATAGTTTGAACTCCTCGTCAATTTAATGTATTGGAATAAATTCAAGAGACTACATGACACCTTTTTCAAAAATTGATGCCTATGAATACTTTGCACCAGATCACAAGTCTCATTTCCTAAAGACAAAACACCCATTCCTATTCATCCTGCATTTAGACTTACGAATCGTCGAGCACTGCATTACACCACCCACACACTGTTTGTAAACACACTCATTGTATTCTCACCAGCTCCCATAATCATAAACCACACAAGCCACTGTATTTTCATATTAGTACACAGAGTGGGCCATCAAACTTTTTGTACCAAGTCTCCTAGGGAATGCCTGAAATCCTCTCTATCCAGATTTTGTAATCTCCAAAATAGTACAGAGCAGTCTAGCCCAGGAGCCTGCAAAGTGAGTGGATTTTGTAAGTTATAAGCTGTTCCTGCACTTAGAATTTTCTTTCATCTGTTTTCAAAGAAAAACCCCTTCTGCCATATACCTCCATCCTCTCTTGAAATCAGACATTTTAAAAACAGGTTTGGACACCATTTACTCGATCATAAACTACCAAATTGACAGGTTTAGAAAAATGAGTAAGTTTTAACAAATAATTATACTTCTTCACATCTACAATGTATAGGAGATCTCAGACAACAAGATGTTCAAAAACTGTGGCTCTGTCAATTTAATTCTGTTCTTCAGAATTAAAGTTTTATCCTATCTTTCTGCCAAAGAGCTCAAGACAGGGGGAGTAAGGAGAGGGGACCCTACCCTAACAACCCACTAGGATAGAATCAACTGACACACAGTGACTTGGCCAAAGTCATCAGTATGCTTTGTGGCTCACTAGGGACTTGACCAAGATCTTTCAGGTGCAAGCCTAACGCCCAGGCCAGTACATCACTGTCACTCAAGAACTGCAGTTCCTGACACGCAAGACAACTGGTCCAAACGTGACAATTCTGAACTGCTGAAGAGCTGTATTTTGAGAGGGAGGAAATATCAGGTAAGAAGCTATATTATTAGTCAAATAATAAATAAAAATATGAATAGGAACAAAATGTTCAAAATGAAGCAGGATGCAGAAGAGGCTATGCTCTTCAATCCAGATTTGATATTTCCGTGGCTAATGTTCATCAGTAGGTGTCTAACATCCTGACATCTTGACAAGAGGGAACTCTAATTAACCTTAACAATAGTAAATATCTGCACCACTGTAGTATGTTGGTGGGGAATAAGCGGAGATAGAGGACAGGCAACCTCATGTCCCACTAATGATCTCATAACTATCAGACCATCTTGGCTGTGAGTCCTGGAATACCAGCTCCCTGCCTTGCAGGCCGTTTCCCACCTGCCCTGGAAGGACAAGGCCAATGACTCCAGCTACAAAGGCTAATGCTTCTGAACAGACACTTAGACTGGGGTACCGTTTAGGTCATGGGTAGGCAACCTAAGGCCCAGGGGCCCAATCGCCTTCTTAATCCGGCCCGTGGACAGTCCGGGAATCAGCGTTTTTACAAGAGTAGAATGTGTCCTTTTATTTAAAATGCATCTCTGGGTTATTTGTGGGGCATAGGAATTCGTTCATTCTCTCCCCCCCCCCCCAAAATGTAGTCCGGCTCCCCACAAGGTCTGAGAGACAGTGGACCAGCCCCCTGCTGAAAAAGTTTGCTGACCCCTGGTTTAGGTGGTTTTCTTTGGGGGGGGGGGGTTGCTGCTGCTACTAATATTAATTTTTTGTACCTTTATTTTAGATCCTATCACGATTTATATGGAAATTGTTTAATTTGGTTGTGTACTTTTTGATATTTTATTTCTTGTTTACAACTACTTTTGCTATGTTTGCAATTATATAATTTTTATGTTGTAAGCTGCCTTGAACTGGTTTTAACTATGGAAGGCGGCATATAAATAAAATGATGTATGTATGCAACTATGGGTGAACTTTCTATCAATGTAAAGTCTGCTCTGGACCAGCGTGATATAAGAAGCCTATACTAGGAGTTGTAAGTAGAAAGAAGAGCTAAAGGCAAAGTAAAATTCACCCTTGCGTAGAATATAAAAGAATCCCTTGAAGCTAGCAAGAGACTTTGCAATTTCATATATAAAAAGAACAGAAATCATGTGGAGCCACTGTACCTAAAGGATGGAAAGGAGATTAAAGAGCATTTGTCTTGTTTGTCTCAGTTTTAATCAAAGAAAATGATACCAAACAAGACTGTGCAGAGGCCTTTTGTCCCCTTCCAACCCAATGATTCTGTGTGTCTGTTAACTGAATAAAGGAATGTAGCATTGACCATAATTAAGCACAACAGTGGTCAAATTCAACATTGTGTCGCTGGACAACACAACTATAAAATCCAGTGCAGCATCTGAATAAAAACAAAATCAAATGAGGGCTGGTAGTGCATTGCTATTCATAGAATCATTGAACCACAGAATTGTAGAGTTGGAAGAGACTACGAGGGTCATCTAGTCCAACCCCCTGGAATGCAGGAATCTTTTGCACAATGCGTCATCAGCAGTTAGAAGTGCCTGCAAGCTGCATGGAGACTGTAAACAGCATGGCACACTTACAACAAAAAGGGCCAAAATAATTCCACAAACTGCAAAAGATTTCAAACGCAAAATGATTCTAAATTAAACAAGAAGAAACATATTGGTATGTTACACAGAAGTCTAATAAGAAGCTGAAGTAGAAGATCTGAGAACTACCCAAAGATGTGCAAGGCTAAAAATAAATTCAATTTGGCAAGAAGACCAATAACAATGTTTTTTTAAAAAAAAATATGATTTTATACAGCAAATTTTGAGTGCTTCATGTACATGATCCCAGTAACTCCTACAACTACCCCAGATAGGAAAACTTTCATTATTCCAATATCTCAAGAGATAGTGGAGGAAGCAACGATGTGGGTTCTCCTAAGCAAATTAGGTTAATTCTTCAGTTTGCATTGGAAATCATTCTGATGCACAGAAGCGCTCTATCACACGCATGGGCAGAAGCGGCGCCTCTGGATATTTTTCGGGGTGTGCACAGAACCCCGGAATGAATTAAATTTGTATCCAGAAGGTCCACTGTAAATGACTAAGCTTTTCCATGCATGCAAAAGGTGAGTAGGGCCATTTTGTCCCATCCCCTTCTCCTTCATAGGACTTTAACTCCTACAATGTCACTGAAGGCTGTCACTGTGTATGTATCCTTCCTGTCATATCCTGGCCCATCCCCTTGGCTGCTTCGTAAAAGGATCCTTCCTTCATTGTAGATCCTGGACCCACTACAAGAATGCAGTATTTGCTCTGCAGAAGCCGCCTGCCCAGAGATATATGCAAGTGTTGTGTGTATCTTCCTTCCATTCCTTTGTGTATGTGCTTATGAAAAGCTTTAAGGAACTGGACTCCTTATGGCAATCTAAGGATGTCTGGATACTGGCAATAGTGGGCTAACCGCTGGTGGTATCACTGAGGCTGATGAGGAGGGGGTGTTCTGGTGTAATCTTGGCTGTTGCGTGTATGATGGTGCAGAAGTGTGTGCTCATCATGGTGATTTCGTCGGCTGTTAGAAGTGTCTCTGATTGGTGGGCTGTACCCACCAATGGGCTGTATTTCAAAAGATTATGCAGGCGGGTATTGCTTTTTTTGCATTGCATTTATATGTTCTGGTAGTGCATTTGCATTTCATTGCATTTGTATGTTCTGGTAGTACAAGTTTTCCATTAAGGCCATCTGTTAGATACTTCTTACCCCTCTGAGAGAAAAGCCATTAGCAGTAGCAGCAGCAGCAGCTGCAAGGCATCACCTGAATAAGGTGAATGAGTGTCCCAAGTAGATGGTCTCTTGGCTGCTGCAGGCAAAATATACAGGGAGAGCCCACCATTCTACTGAATATGCCCTATTCACATATGCTTGACCTGTATTGGATATGACAGCCACTCTGCCAGCACAGCAGCAGCATGTGAGAAGGACAGCTCAGTTGGTAGAGCATGAGACTCTTAAATTTCAGGGTCATGGGTTCGAGCCCCATGCTGGGCAAAAAAGATTCCCGCATTGCAGGGGGTTGGACTAGACGACCCTTGTGGTCCCTTCCAGCTCTATAATTCTGTGATATATCTCGATCCAGCATAAGGTAAGCACAGGACTTGCTCAACCCACTTGGCCTTACTAAATAATACTATCTTGTCTTTTTAAAAGAAACAAATGACAGATGCAAACTATATTAAGAGCAGAAAATATCAGTGCAAATTACTCCTCGATTAAAAACAGGATAGCTCAGTTGGTAGAGCATGAGACTCTTAATCTCAGGGTTATGAGTTCGAGCCCCACATAAGGCAAAAGATTCTTTCATTGCAGGGGGTTGGACTAGATGACCCTTTTGGTACCTTGCAACTCTATAATTCAAAGATTCTAAGCTTTGTGAAGTGTGTTGAGTAATTCTGCACAGATGCTATTTTTCTGGAGTCTGAATTAGTTTCCTGTGTAGAAGTTGAAGATGTATCAGAAACACAGGGGGAGGAAGTCCTCTTGCACGACTAAACCTCATTCATCATGTACAGTACATATGCTGAATTCCAACCACTGAAGTTACAATACTTTCAAGCTTTCAGCGTAAGAAGGTACACGCTTTGTAAAAAAAGTTGTAGAATAAATCTTGGAATATTTATTCAATATGTATTCAATACTGACAGGAAGGGTTATAAATATAAGTATGAAAGAGGACTCAAGCCTATTCTATAATTCTGTTCATAAGCCACCCATGATTTTGTGCATTTAAGGCCAATAACTGACAATGTTCCAAAAAATCACAGATGGCAGGAACCAGAGAATCAGGAATATATCTCACCCTGCTCAGCGTCCACTTCTACCTTGGGTATAAGGTCTTTAGGAGCAGCAGACAAGACTAAAAAAAATTAATGTCTTATTAAGTCCTTGTTCTGCACAGATCATTACGTTTGTACAACCATGATGTTGCACAGGCCTTCCAAGGCAGGCATTTAGCAAGTAAAATGGTTCAAAGTGCAGTTCATCCCATTAGCTACTGATAAATAGAATTCATTAATAGCTGAACTGCTAATCCAAACTGCACCAACAGGAAAATGTAAAGACATACACATTCAGCATATTCCAGTATGTAATATGCCCACATCCTGGCCATATATATATATATATATATATATATATATATATATATATATGAATAGATTGTGCTCTGGCTGTCTTAAAACAAAGGATGTGAAGATTTAGTTTCTCTTCCTAGGGGCCACAAATTATTCCATGTCGTATGCTAACTAAAGAACAAAAGCCAAGGGCCTCTGCTTGATAAATATCTTCAACTTATAAAACTACAATAAATCAATTTCAGAACTTAAATAAAAATACACATTAGTAACAAGAATCCCATCAAAGAGGCAATGAGATCAGTGGGTAACAAAGATATGCAAGGAGTACTAATGAAAGGGAAACTGTGGGGAAGCAAAGTCATTTGCATCCATGTTTATTTACTACATAAGATGCTAGAAAGATGGTCGCAAGTGAACCATTATTTTCAAGCATTTAATCTTAAAACAGGATAGAGGTGAGAAAGGATGAGGCTTTAGAACTGACAATTTCGAATTTCAATTTCAAAGCAACAAGTAACTAGGGTTGGAATGTCATCAATCCAATTTAATATTTTAAGGACTAAAATATTGTAACACTTGATTTCTAAAAATCTGCCTTTCTCCTTGCCAATAGGGTAGTAGCCAATTGTGTAGAATTTCAAAACAAGAGTCTTCAGGAAATAACATTTCCATCAGATAAATTAGTGAAAAGTAAACTTAAGGATATGAAGTTTTATATAGAAGGAAAATCATTTGCTTTGGGGGTGGTGGTGGTTGGAATCAGCAGTCTGCAATGGGAAGTTTTGCTTCACCAGCCTCTTAAGATTCATTGAGGATGTCAAGAACAAAGACAGTCTTGACATTTTGTGCTTGAGCTTTCAAAGAGACTTTGAGCATTACTAAATGCTCTTAAGGAAATTTAGCAGTTATAGGATAAGGAGATGGGTGTTACAAACTAGTAAGTAGTTAAGCAAAGCTGAAAAGCATGGGATAGTCCTACATGAATAGTTTTCACAGTGGAGGGAAGTAAACAGTGAACACTCCAACAACAACAATGTATATACTTGGCAAGTGCCAGTTAATGCACAGAATGCAAGCTGGAGTGAACAGCACTGACAGTCAAAGTTTGTAATTGTGTCACGAAATCATTTGGAATTTTTTTAAGCAAACAGAGTAACTTAAACAGATTCAACTTCAGCACCAAGAAATCCTAACTTCACATGTAATCCAGATAAAATAAAAATATTGTCCATCAGTATTTCTTCATAAGGGTATTTAACCTATTTCAGAGATACTCCCCTGAAGCAGAAGGTATGCAGCTTGTGGGTACTCCTTCATCCATTACCTCTCTGATAATGAAGGTGGCAATGGGCAATGGGCCTTTTATCATTTCTGGCTGGTTCATCAGCTGCAGCCTTTTCTGGAGAAGATGAACCTACTGCCAGTTACCCATGCCCTGGTTACTTCCAGACCCAACTACTGCAATAGTTCTTTGCATGGGGCTGCCTTTTTGAAAACACAGACATTTCAGTTAATGGAAAATGCTGCTGGCATCTTCAGGGATCGAGACAAAAAAAGAAAAAAAAAGAAATGTTGTTCTATCTGTATTCTTTGCCAATTTGTTTCTGGGTTCAATTTAAAGGGCTCACACTAACCTTTAAAGCCCTAAACAAATTAGGACAGATTACCCAAAAAACCTAGACAGCATCTTAAAAAGCAGAGACATCACCTTGCCAACAAAGGTCCGTATAGTTAAAGCTATGGTTTTCCCAGTAGTGATGTATGGAAGTGAGAGCTGGACCATAAAGAAGGCTGATCGCCGAAGAATTGATGCTTCTGAATTATGGTGCTGGAGGAGACTCTTGAGAGTCCCATGGACTGCAAGAAGATCAAATGTATCCATTCTTAAGGAAATCAGCCCTGAGTGCTCACTGGAAGGACAGATCGTGAAGCTGAGGCTCCAATACTATGGCCACCTCATGAGAAGAGAAGACTCCCTGGAAAAGACCCTGATGCTGGGAAAGATGGAGGGCACAAGGAGAAGGGGACGACAGAGGGCGAGATGGTTGGACAGTGTTCTCAAAGCTACAAACATGAGTCTGACTAAACTGCGGGAGGCAGTGGAAGACAGGAGTGCCTGGCGTGCTCTGGTCCATGGGGTCACGAAGAGTCGGACATGACTAAACGACTAAACAACAACACCCAAAAAACACACCTGCATATCAAAACTGCATATTTACAGGACGGACCGAAGATCCAGAACATTTTTATGTCAACTGGTGGAACTTTTATTTCCTTTGCTTCAGACTTAGGTGTTCAATATTCAACATTCAAGCCAGCTAAGGAAACATGGATGTCTTGGTGTCACTAATTCTGTTTCTTATTATTTATTGGTTGTTATGTATATGGTACAATGTAAAATCCTGCTACTGCACTTTTGGATTACAGTGGTGCCCCGCAAGACGAATGCCTCGCAAGACGGAAAAACCGCTAGACGAAAGGGTTTTCCGTTTTGAAGTTGCTTCGCAGGACGAATTCCCCTATGGGCTTGCTTCGCAAGACGAAAATACCTTGCGAGTCTAGAGATTTTTTTTTCGCTTTTCCCCCCCTTTATCTAATCTGCTAAGCCTTTAATAGCCTTTAATAGCCTTTTAGCAGCTAATCCCCTAAGCCTTTAAGCCTTTAATAGCCGCTAAACCGCTAATAGCGCTAATAGCGCTAATCCGTCAATGGGCTTGCTTCGCAAGACGAAAAAACCGCTAGACGAAGACTCTTGCGGAACGGATTAATTTCGTCTTGCGAGGCACCACTGTACTAAAAATGTCAATAAAAAAAAACCCTTGGATGTCATGCTCTCTGTGCTACTCATACATAAGATCAGATAGGTGGGTCCTTGAGACAGAGCCTCCTCAATGGTAGCACCAAGATTGTAAAAGGTCTAGAAAACTTCCTCCTGGTGAAGATCTACCATGCTTATCTCCTGCTTTCAGATAGTTAGTAAAGCCTTTCTTTAAAATCCCAGTTTGGTACGATATATGAACTGTTATTTCCTGGAGTTTTTAGCTCGCTTTTTGATAGTTTTAATTGCTGTTGTTATATTGTTATGTGTTTCTGAAGTTTCATTTTACCTTAATGTGTTTTTATACTCCTACTGTAAACTGCTTCTATTGTTTTAACAGAAAAGTGGGATTCATTAATACAACTAATTCCCTAGCAGCCCTCCTCACTCTGCTTAGTCTAGGAAATTGATCAACATTCCTTGATCAGTATTCCTCCTCCTGCTTAGGCACATGGATAATAAGCTCATATTTCCCCTCTTTGTATTCCTACACTGGTTTCCAGTCTCAGGTATAAGCTCCTTGTCCTTACCTGCAAACCTCTCCATAGCCTTAACCTCCTTTATCTCTGATTTTTACATGTCTATATATGACTGCCTGTGACCTTTGCTCCACTAACTCCACTACCCACAGGTGTCCCAAGATCCCCTGTTCCTTGAAATTACTTTCTCCCCTGGAACTGCCTTCCAGAAAAACTTCATGGTGCCCCCTCTCTCTTTTCCTTCAAAACCAAGCTTTTCTGTGAAGACTTTGACACAACTCACAATCCCCTCCATAACTCAACCTAAATGTGTTTAACTGAAATAATATTATTCCTCTGTTAACTCCTGCCTTCACTTCCACCCCTCACCTCTGTTCTTTCATTTTTTTTGGTTACAGATTGTTTGTATACTGTGATGTCAAATGTCAGTGTGGCTTTACAGAGTACAAGAGGACAAGCAGAGTAGAGTGCTTACAAGGTCTCCCATTCCCTGCAATAATTGTGAATACCTATGAACTAGGGGCCAGGGACGGGGAATCCAGGCTATGTTATGCACTGTACACAGAATAAATTGAATCAAGTTATTCCTCTTTTTCATTATATTAGGACAGGGTCAGCACAATCAAAAGGAACCCACTACTTCAAGACGTAGTTTCCATTAACTTAATGATTTTAAAGGAGAATTAGAAGAATTCATGGAGCATCAAGAATCTCACTGATTATGAGCCACGAGAATTAAAAACAAACTTCCTACTCAAAGGCAGTATACCTCTGCTAGCTTGATGCCCTGTTTGTCCCACGGTCATCTGGTTAACTGCTGTTGTAAATAGAATTCTGGATGAAATAGGCTTTTGGCAATTCTCAACATCCATACATTACAGAGACCAATTTGTACAATATTTGGAGCAATACACAAACCTGCAATGTCACACATTATTACAGACATTGTTTCAAACTTGTATGTACTTGTTTCTGGAGCTGTGCATCCTAAGTGCCAAAACCGGGTACCAGCCAAAGAATACCAAAATAAGTGTGGAATCAAGCTAAGTCCAAGCCATCCCTACTACAATGCATCTGCACTGAAGGATGAAGAAAACAATTTCTTTAAAAACAATGACAATGTCATGGGGTAGTTCAGAACTATCATAAAACAGAGGAGAATTCGCCTTTCAGATATATACTTTTCCCCAACAAATGTTCCCACAAACCTACAGCCAGGATCCAGATTGCTCAGCTGCCATAACCCAAAGAGGGAGCAACAAAAAATATGGTCTGAGCACTGAAAATATATCAAACACAACTGTTCAGCAAGCAGTTTCACTGAAAGCCAATAACTAGTTGCAGAATCAAAGCTTTCCTTTACTAAGCTACCAGCAGGGATCTGTGCAGCCACACTACATAAACTGTCAGCATGCTCTAGTAGGCACTGAGGCCGCATCCAATATCAGATCAGCTACAAGTTAAGTAGGCTGACTTCCTGGAACTCCAGCTTTGGTTCCCAAGTCTTTGCCACCAGTTAATATACCCCAACCTACTCCTGAACTACAGGACCCTGGTAACCCAAGGCTTCTCAGATCATTAACACATAGTTCTCTCAAACAGCTGTCTGATGCACAAAAACTTTCTACTGTATTTCCATAGCTAAGACTCAAACTGCGTGTCCAGATAACTACTTGTGAGAAAATCAACATTACTCACTGAAACAGGAGTTACTCAGGTAATTTCACAGCTGATGTAGATTTATTAGTGGACAAAAAGGTCAGGGAACTCAGAAGGTGCCAAAACAAGCATTGTAGCCATGTGTGCATCATATTTTAGTGTCCTCTCTTATGGACTGGCCACAACAAAAACAACAACCAAAATACTAACACAGCAAACACTAAAACAAGATGCAGCTAAGAATAATATCCATAATTTGCAAAAACAACACTCCAGATTATCACACTTCTTTCAGATTTTTTTAGAGCGTCTGAGTTTGGGTTGATCCACATTAATAAAAAAAATATTATCTCTCTTCATCATTGAAATCTCATTGCAGAAACTAAAACTGACTTTAAGGCTGCAGCCCTATGAACATTGAACTGGGGCTTCCAAGTAAAAATGCACAGGATCAGGCTGTAAAATGGCAGAAGTTCACAAATTACAAGGACATGTGCACATGCACCAAGTTGATTGTGTGGCTGCAGAATCTCCAAGATCCCACACTTAAGCAAATATGTACTTTGAAATCAGCTATTATTACAGTCATTTATAGTAGAAAGCTCTCACACTTTGAAGAGCTGGCATCTACAGGATACATATAAACCTCAGACGTACTTGGCATCTCTCCGTTATAATTTTAATTAGCACAGCTACAATGGAGCTTTATTCCACTACTATACTTGAAGCCTGCACAAAACTGGATTGCAGCCCTTGTAAGAACCATTCAGCCTCAAAAGGACAACAGTAAAATAACTTACTATTCACTAATTTAAAAGCAACAGCTCTGCTGGATCAGACCAAGGATTCATCTGGTCCAGCAGTCTGTCCCCAACAGTATTCAGTCAGAGGCTTGCAGGAAGCCAACAAGCAGAGCACAAAGGGAACAACACTCCCATATCATTTGGCCCCTAGCAAATGGTATTCAGTGGCTTACTGTCTATGAACAGGGAGGTTCCATGATAGGCATACCTCTCCATGAATTCATCAAATCCCCTGGTAAAGTTATTTAAGCTGTGTTCATTGACACATCTGGCAGCAAATTCCATTAGCTAATGGAATTTCAACTGTCAAAAGGCACTAACCAATAGTAAATATGGAAGACTGAACTTTACATAACACTGAAAAACTATCTTCCATCTTTTACTGTTGGGTTCGTCGTGCCCTTTGATAGCTGGAATTTGCTAATGGAATTAGCTAATGGAGTTCCAACTATCAAAAAGACACCAACCATTAGTAAAAAATGGAAGATTATTTTTCACGTAATCGAAGTTAACACGTTCAGCAACATTTAACATTTAAATACAAAAGTTTTTTGTTGTCATGGATTACTTATTCCTCAGTATCATTAATATATACGTATCTGCCTCCATGACAATGTTCCATATCCATTGGCTGTTAAATTCGTGCTTGCTTGTTTAAAAGTTTACTACATATAACTTCTGCATGTCATCTTATTGCTAATTAACATCACCAGAAAAATTATATCAAAGCAAAATATGGTCCATTAGTCACACATAATTCTTCCTATTACCCACAAAGCTTTTCAAATTTTCAGTTCCTCTCACTGTTGATTATTGATCATCCATTTACTTCCACATCAACAAAAAAAGAATTTCAAGAGCAAAGTGAACTATTGTCCGTGCTGTCTTCTATGGTGCTGCAAAATGTGAGTAAACAAAAGGAGGAAGGCAGCATACAATTATATCCAAGAAAGAAAGTTTCAAGTTAGCTGTGGCTAACGTGTGGCCCTCCAGAATTTGGTGAACTACCATTCCCATAAGTGCCACCAGAACTGTAAATGATCAAGGAAGATGGAGGTCTGTAGAGCAACATCAGGAGGACCACACATTAGCCACTTATTTTTTAAAGTGTCATATTGCAAATAGCTATTGTGAATTTATCAGCCCATATGGACGTATGTGACACAAAGACACTTGAATGTATATATACTTGAGTGTGGTGCATTGGATAGGGTCAAATTAGGACCTGTGAGACCAGAGTTCAAATTCCCACTTGGCTATGAAGTTCACTGGCTGACCTTGGGCCAGCCACAGTCTCTCAGACTAGCCTACCTCACAGGGCTATTGGGGGGATTAAATGAAGATGGGGAGAACCACACTGAACAACTTGGAGAAAAAGGCAGAATGTAAATGTGGTCAATAATAAATAATTCTTACTTGCCCTAGACTAGAGGAGACCTATCAGATTAGATAGAATTGCAATTTACTAGTTTCTCAACAGCTACTCAGATTACAATCAACTTTACAGCAAAAAAGTATGAAAATGTATATTCAACCACCTTAGAATATCATCCAAGCCCTTATCTACATCAACAATCGGGCCCTATATATTCACTCTCCCTTAGGGAACCTTTTCAACTTTACATTATTTTCCGCTCTTCATGGCTACCACCCTTCACAAGCCTTTCTCTGCCATCCAAAATAAGAATTCCCTGAAGCATATGCTGCAAGTCACACCAACTCTGAAGTGTTCCCCAATTTCAACTTCCTCTTCAAAACTCACTTCCTCACATGTCCACACTTCACTTCGGCACAACTCTGTGTGCACATTTCTCTTACCAGATTAACACATATACAAAGTGCCCTCTGTGCACTTTTCAGGCTTCTGGTACCCATACATTACCCTCCTCGCCAGGCATATATCTCCACTGGTACTGCTGCCAGTTTTTCTCCACCATTTAATCATCGTCCACCCCACCCATAACTTTGATGAGCATGCATCCATTTTCCTTTGGCAATACAGTGCCAAACTACATTTGTCCTCCCTCTGCGTTGCCCCCACTTCTTTCCCAACATCCTCTCCTTGCGCATAGCCACCCCTACCTGCCATTCTCCCTTCCTAGACACCGAAATGTAGCTTCCCTCTCCGGCTTCAGTCCCAAACGCTCACTTGCCGTTAGCCCTGAAGCCTTATGTACGCCATTCCCACGTGCCCCACAACAACCCCCAACTCTGTCCGGCAATGCAAGCCTGACCCTAAAACCCACCCTTCCTATTCTCCCCCCAACCCCGCCAAGCCATGGGCTTCCCTGCCCCTGCCAGCTGGGCCTGGCTCGCTCACATCCACTCTTCCCCTCCGTATCAAATCACGCCCGCCATAAAGGCGCAGATCGTCCCGGGAAACGGGGCAGCATTCATTCGCCCCATAACTACTATATTCCCCCCCTTAGGGCGGGGCCAAAGCCAGGCCAGGCTCTGAGGCGCCCACAACCGCCTGGGCCTCGTTTTTTTTTTAGGCCGCAGTTCAGGCCACCTCCTGGTCCGGGACGAAAAGGGAGCCGTAACGGACACAGGCCCCATGACAATGCAAAGCAGCTCCGGCCCGCCCTTCTCCCGCCACTGCCGGCTGCGGCTGCTACCCGAGGCCCGGCTCCGCTGCCGACTTACGAACTACCGCCACCCCTCCTAGTGCAGCGTCGGCGGCGCCATGATGATCCACCTCTCGCTCTCTCCTTGGCTCCCTTTCCTTCTCCCCATCCCCCGCCCGGTGTCGCCCAGGCCCGGCCAGCAGCAGCAGCAGCAGCGGCCCCGCACTCACTCACCTTCATGTCGGGACATCCTAGTTCAGAGGAGAAGGCGGCGGCAGCGGCCCGGCCCGGCCCAGCCCAGGCCCGTCCCGGGCTCCAGTTCCCTTCCCCCCCCCACTTCCCTCCCCACCCACCCACCCACCCCCGGTCTTGGCTGTCCGGCACCGGCTCCGCAGCCTGGGCCCGGGCGAGGCTCGAGGCTGGGCCTAGCCTCTCCCAAGTCACCCCCTCCGTGTGCAGGAGGCGGCTCGCTTCGGCGCGGGCGGGCGGAGGGAGGCGAATCGACTCCGGCGGCGGCGGCGGCGGCGCTCGTAGTAGTAGTGATGGTGAGGCCTCTCCGGGATGGTGGCGGCGGCGGCTGCAGTTCCTCCCTCCCCGCCTTCCCGGGAGGCAGCAAGCAGGCGGGCGGGCGGGCGGGTGCCGCCGCCGTGACACGGTGACTCTGTAAGCTCGCTCAGGGCCCCGCCAGCTCCTAGCGCCGCCCTCCCGCCCGACGACGACAGCAGCGGCGGCGGGTTTCGTCGGTCTCCCTGGTCTATTCCCCTCCCCACGTCGTCCGTCGTCGTCGTCGTCGTCCTACCACCACGCTCGGCGGTAACAGCGCCGCCGCCGCCTCTTCCTCCTCCTCCTCCTCCTAGCCCGGCCTGCCCAGCCTACCTCCCCTTCTCTCTGTCTCTCCTCCCGCCCGCCGAGAGGAAGAGGAAATAACACAGCGGGCCAGAGAGGGAGGAAAGAGCCGGCCGGGCGGCTGAGGGGAGGAGGGTCTCGCCTTCCCCTCACGCACCTCAGCCCCGCTTTCGGCTCTCAGTCCTTTTCCCTCACAAAACCGCCTTCTTTTCCCTCACAAAACGCGCTTTCCCCCTCTGGGCGGCTACAACAACCGTTCGTTTGAAGAATAAAATGAAATAGAGAAGCTGGGCTTCAGCCTCGGAAGACCAGGCCCCACAGCCCTCCCCATAGATGTACAGCTTGGGAGATGTGCAGAAATTTGGGGGTTGGGGGTCGGGGCGGAATTCCTACATCGCTTATGGATTTGGTTTTTTTACTAAGACTCTGGTCCAAACTCCAAGCGCTGGTTTCTTCCCCGCCCTTGCAGCTTTGGGGGTCCCAGCAGAACACACTGGGCTACCACGTTAATTCACATGTCAGGAAGGCATCGTTTGAAGACAGTAGGGTTTGTTTCCGAGTAAACTCGGGAGGCTCGGCTTGGAATCAGAATGGTTGGAAGGGGACCCTGAGGGTCATCTAGTTCAACCCCCCTGCAATGCAGGGATGTCAGCTAAATTAGGCGTGGCCGATGGCCATCTAACTTCTGCTTAAAAACCTCCAAGGAAAGAGAGTCTTGCCACCTCTTTTGGGAGTCTGTTCCGCTATTGAACAGCTCTTCCTGTCAGAAAGCTCTTGCTGGTGTTTAGTAGGAATCTCTTTTTTTCTGGTAGCTTGAATCCATTGGTTCATGTCCTAGCCTCCAGAGCACGAGAAAAAAAGCATGCACCATCTTCCATGTGACAAGTCCTTGAGATATTTGAAAATTGCTATCAAATCTCCTCTCAGTCCTCTTATCCAGACTAAACATACCAAACTCCCTCAACCTTTCCTCAGTAAGGCTTGGTTTCCAGACCCTTGATCATCTTGGTCACCCTCATCTGCACAAGGTCCATCTTGTCAATATCCTTCTTAAATTGTGGTGTCCAGAACTGGACAAAGTAATCCTAGTCTGGTCTGACCAAGGAAGAATAGATTATTGCTATGACTTCCTTTGATCTGGACTCCATACTTCTTGATAATGCAGCCTAAAACAGCATTAGCTTGTTTTGCTGCTGCATCACACTGTGGATTCATGCAACGCCTGTGGTCTACTAAGATCCCTAGATCCTTTTCACATATGTACTACTGGCAATCCAGGTGTCTCTCATCTTATATTTGTGCAGTTGGTTCTTCCTGCCTAAGTGCAGAACCTCTACAATCTGTTAAGGTCACATTGAATCCCAATTCTGTCTTCTGTGACGTTGGCTACTCCTTCCTGTTTGCTAATTTCCCCTCTCACACTGTTACTCTTGATCAGTTTTCTGCCCTGGCCGTGGGCAGTTGTGTGGGTTTTTTAAACCAAAGAGCACCCCTCCCACCCAAAAAAACCCATATATATTTATGTCTCGAAATCCACTAGAATTTCAAACTCAGAGTCGGAGACATATTTACACTTGCAAATCCTTCTCTTAATCCATTTTCTTGTTTACAGATAAAAGTAGTGTAGTGGGTCCTCACATATATATTCACACTGTGGAAGAGTGATGCAGCTAGAGGGTTGGACTAGGACCTGGGAGACAAGGGTTCAAGCTGGCATAAAGCTCTGTAGATGATCTTGGGACAGTCATAGGCTCAACCTAACCTACCTCACAGGTTCGTTATGAGGATAAAATGGGGCAGAGGAGAAGTCTGTATGCCACCGTGCATTCTTTGGGGGACAGATGGAATATAAATGTAATATTAAATAAAATAAACACTTTTGGTATGATCTCAAAGTGTCTGTAACAGCATGCGTGATTTTGAGCCTTTATTCCATAGAGGGATCATAGTCAGCAGTTAATCAAGCATTTCACTTCAACTAATTTATGTAGATTCCAACTTGCTGGCTCACCCTGTTCATCACCCTCATCTTATTTTGTTCATAATTTTATCAGCTCTTCTAACACTTCATTAGTCAATGTTACTCTTTGTCCCTGAATTAATTCTTCAATTTCTTCCTCAAGGGTATCAGTGAAGCCATCACCGATCCCTTGCCTGGCCATCTGAACAATTCCACTTCATTGTCAATAGTAGGGAAATCCTTAAAATCATTCACACGTTCTTTCCTTAAGTTTCGCCAACATGCATTGACAGGCTTGATTGCATCCATAGCCTGCTTAATATATGTGATGCAATTGGTAATGTTAAAGGCCTTCCAACACTCAATCGCATTAAGACTGGGATCAGCATCCCTAGCATTATGGACCCATGAGGATGTAAGCCTATGTAAGTTGCCTTGAAACAGCAAATAAAACCTTGCTCATCAGGTTAGATGATGGAGGTGATATGGGGGGGGGGGGGAGAGAAAGACAACTTCAACATTACTACATGATACCTCAGTTTAAGAACAGTCCTGTTTACGAACGATTTGGTTTACGAACTCTGCAAAACTGGAAGTAGTATCCCGGTTTGCAAACTTTACCTCGGTCTAAGAACGGAATCCGAACTGTAAGGACCCTGGTAGCAGGAAGCCTCATTAGGGAAAGCGTGCCTCAGTTTAAGAACGGTTTTGGTTTAAGAACAGACTTCCGGAACGGATTAAGTTCATAAACCGAGGTACCACTGTATGTGCAAAGTGCAGTGACCAGGAGCATTGTCTACAAACAGCAACACTTGGTCAAGTTCTTTCTCCGCAAGGTACCACTTAATCTCCAGGACAAAGTAGTTGTGGAACCAATGCAGATCGACATGCCATCTCTCAGTAAGTCCAGCACAACAAGTTTTTCCTCCAGCTTTGAAACATTGCTGGCTCTTCAGCTGCACACCCGTACAGATAGGTGGCTTGCGTTTCGGGGCAATGTTGCACTGTTCTTTAATCACTAACCGTGCTCAGTGAGGGGACCACACTTACTCTGAGGTTGTTTGATGAGTGGAAGAGCAAGTGGGATTTCCTGTGCTTTTTTTCCTGATGGCTCACCCCTTTTTTTCTGGCTGAGCATGCATGGTTGAATTTGCATGAGGTGAACACGTGTAATATGTGGTTGTTTTGCATTATCGTTTGTGACCATTTGCAACAAATTGGGACCTCAGAAAATGTATTGGAAGTGCAAGTAAATCCAGAAGAACAGGATTCGCACCATTTATTAATTTTGTTCTGGTCCAAATCTGACCAACTGCAAGATGCTGACTTCTCAAACAACTGCCAATATAGCAGCAAAAAAGCTGTGGAGATGCCTGTGGCAGAATTTTCTGTCAGGCCATTTTATGGGATGGGTTTTGAAGTGTTGGCCCCCTCACTCAATTCTCAAAATGGTCCTCCATAATAACAGCTTTGTGACAAAAGGCAAGTTTAATCAAAGTAGTATGTTGAATTTCTTTAATTGCCAGTGTACATTTGTGGGGGGAATTGAAATCATTACAATGGTGCAAACTTTGCTGTGCTATGTACAGTTGTACCTTGGTTTTCGAACAGCTTAGTTCTCGAACATTTTGGCTCAGCAAACCCGGAAGTGAGTGTTCCAGTTTGCGAACTATTTTTGGAAGCCGAGCTTTGGTTTTCAAACATTTTGGAAGTCGAACAGACTTCTGGAACGGATTCCGTTCGACTTCCAAGGTACGACTGTATTGATCTTTTTGCCATAGCAATCTCCATTTTTGTATTGCCCCATTTTTTTATTTGCCACTGTTTATTACAAAATAATGTATGTGAGCCCTATAGAACACAAACTATTAAGGTAATATCAATCCTACATAAACAAAGATTTTATGTAAGATTAATATGGGGGGGAGGCAACAATGATACAGTACTTCTGTTTTAATAGCGCACATCAACCGCTCAAAATAAATAGGTAGTTGTTGTTTTTTTAAAAAACAAGCTTATATATTGACACATGACGGAGGCGTATTTAGGCTCCCTTGGGCGCTTGGCAAGATGTTAGCCACCCAACGAGGCAAAGCAGTTCACGGAGTGCTTGGATGGGCGGGCGGGCTCCTAGGCACTCCAAACCAGAGTAAGAGGCACCATTTTTGCAACCCCCTGGACCTGCACCTTTGGTAGGGGCCAACCTAACCAATCCCTAGGTATACCTTTGCACACGAGGGCACCCACCACCTTCCATCCCCCCCATCCTACTTGGAGGCTGCTGGTGTCACTGTGTGTCTGTGACTGCCCATGTCACGAACGTCTTGGCAGGCCCTTCAAGGGCTGAGGCACAAGGTATATTTTGATTTATTTATAAATAATTCCAATAGGCTAAATTTCCATATTTTTAGCGCCATGCTTTGATTCTCATTGTCCCTGATTACCCCAAACTTTTCATCAACCTCACTCATTTTTCTTCACACCTCTGAAGACCTATTGCCCATTTCCCGTATCCTTTCCAATGCCTATCTCTTTTTTTAGTGGGGTGGCTGTGTGTTAGTGTCTTGCAATAAAAACCAAAGAAAGACTTATGGTGTCTTAGAGCTAACAAATTTATTATAGCAGTGCATAAACTTTTGTGGACTACTGTATTATGCATACTGTATGCATGCACACAAAAGCTCATACCAATAACAAACTTAGTTGGTCTCTAAGGTGCTACTGGAAGGATTTTTTTTTTATTTTGTTTCAGCCACAATAAGATTTAGTCATTAAGATGCCACAGAACTTGTTGTTGTTGTTCCTTTCCTGCATTTCACTGCCTCCTCTTTCCCTCCAGTGATTTTCTACCCAGTTTCCCCTAACCAAATTGTGACACTCTTCTCTCAGGACATTTTTTGATCTGGTCCTCTTGGAAGCAACAAAAAAAGTGGCCATCTTTGCTAGTGACAGCATGGCCTCAAAGAAAGAATATAGGAAAGTGGCTAGCCATTTTTACGAAGGGCAGCTTTATGGCTCCGTTGCCATGGCTATTTGGGAAGACAAAATATATGAGTACTGTATTAGAAGCTGAAAGTACTCTCAAATTCCACATGCTGGAGTGAAACATTCTTACGCCCCATGGTTTCATTAACTTAAGTGGCAAGATGCTTCCGTTAGGATGTTTGGAAGGTAGATTGCACAGAAATATCCAGCTCTAGGATATTATTAAGATTAAATGGAGGGGAAGCCCCATGCACACTAGAGATAGTCCCAGCAAAAGAAAATGTTGATTTTGCCCCAGAAAGAGAATCACGGTTTGCGAACTCATATTGGGTTTGAGGTGCAATAATCCAGAATTGTTCTTGGTTTAGCTTCTGTGATCCTCAGATGAACAGTGGTATATAAATGTAAGAAATAATAATACAGTGGTGCCTCGCAAGACGAAATTAATCCGTTCCGCAAGAGTCTTCGTCTAGCGGTTTTTTCGTCTTGCGAAGCAAGCCCATTGACGGATTAGCGCTATTAGCGCTATCAGCTGTTTAGCGGCTATTAAAGGCTTAAAGGCTTAGGGGATTAGCTGCTAAAAGGCTATTAAAGGCTATTAAAGGCTTAGCAGATTAGATAAAGGGGGGGAAAAGCGAAAAAAAAATCTCAAGAATCGCAAGACATTTTCGTCTTGCGAAGCAAGCCCATAGGGGAATTCGTCCTGCGAAGCAACTTCAAAACGGAAAACCCTTTCGTCTAGCGGTTTTTCCGTCTTGCGAGGCATTCGTCTTGCGGGGCACCACTGTAGCTTCATACAATGAAAATAACTATATTGTCTGTGATGAATAGAAGCACTCTAGGGAAAGGAATACTTAGCATTTTTATCATTCTTTAGTGTCACGTCATGATGTTTAGAACTCTGCAAATTAAATCAGTAATATCATTCCATATTACAAATGGAATATTGAGGCTAAAAGATATTGCCTTGCCTAAGGCATTTTTTAAAAAAATTGTGACCTGATTATTGAAGAGAACACACAAGCTTTGTAAACAATGGCTCAGGTCTTTACCGAGTACAGTTAAACCTGGGTTGTCGAACGTAATCCGTTCTGGAAGCCCGTTCGGCTTCCGAAATGTTAGACAACCAAGGAGCGGCTTCTGATTGGTTGCTAGAGCTTCCTGCACTCAAGCGGAAGCTGCGTCAGATGTTCGGCTTCCGAAAAACGTTCAAAGGTTTTCAGCGTTTGGGAGCTGAAACGTTCGAAAATGGAGCCATTCAGGAGCTGAGGTTTGACTGTACTGTCCTATATAGAATGGGTTTGTTGCAAGGCTGGCTGCCGAGGTGGCAAGATCAGGCATTTTCCCTGCACTGCAAAACTAGCAGTGAGTTCACAACAGCATCGCCATTCCCACTTTGTATGGGACACCATTTCTTTCTTTCTTTTTAAAGAAAATCCAAATCTCAAAACACACATCAAGTCCTTGTACAAGTTCTATATCTTTTAATACAAATTATTGATGGCATTAGTTGGATACAATGAAAACACACGTCAGTGTTGCATAGCTGCTCAGATATACAACTTCATTCCTTTCAAGTAACTGAAATTAAGTTACTCCATAAATCCACTGTAAACGAGGACTCTGCAATCCAACTCAAATACTTTCAGAATCTTACATGCACTTGCTTTATGAGAACAGGGGCCACTCTGTGGAGGCCAAGACTGGGAACCAATTTAGGGCATTAAAATCACTAGTACAGCATTATTCACATAAAATGAAGAAAACAATTCCTTTATTTGGTACAATTCAAGTAATTGCTAAGTGTTTTTTAAAATGCACAGTGCTTTGGACCACCCCCACAGTTAATCTGTACAGCAGCAGTAACCAGGGGTCAGTATGTTATGGAGAGTGCCTTACACTCCTGGTGAGATTAGAAGCAATACCTCTGTAGTAATGTAGAGTTGCAACATATTTTGGGAAGGGGTGGAGAACATCACTCTGTTTAATTGCCTGCCTAGCTATCTCCACTCTTAAAGTTCTTGTAGTTCACCCAGAGCCGAATGTCATATTCTTTCCTGCTTTAACATGGAGTTACTGCGGATCATCGTAAGTTGGCACATTCTGCTCCTCACTTGGGCTGTGTTTGCTCTTAAGGGACCGTCCAATGTATCTCCAGTATTCCTTCCGGATTATGTCTTTTTCTTTAGCCAGGATTTCACATAGCTACAGAAAGGAGAATTACAAGTTTGAACAGTTTGCATGGTTTATACCCGCCATTTTGTTTATTATATAGCACCCCAAAGGCTCATGGTGTTTTGCCAATATAAGCAGAAAGGCAGTTCCCTGCTCTGGAAACCTGCAACAGACCAGAAGACAACACTGGATAGTGGAACTGGAAGAACTCTGCTGGGTTAGCAGGTGCATGGATCTGAAGCCACATTCTGCCAAGTCAAACTATGGGTTTAATCTTGCCCAGCGTGCCACAACCTGGTAACCCTCCAGATGTTTTGGACTCCAACTCCCATCAGCCCCCGCCAGAACTATTTTCTATTTTTCAGCAGTGGAATCCTAACCTAACCAAGATTTATTGATACTAATTCTACAGGGATTGTTTTTAAGCCAATGATTTTATTTATAAAAGTTTCTATAATATTTTTTGACCCAAAAAGGATGGAATCCTCTGCTGTTGTTTTCCTGGGGAATACTCATCAGTGCCCTTAGAAAGCCTGAAAGTTATGTGTGGTATTCACCAGTGATATTTATTTTGAAATATTCTAGAGAGACAAGTAATTGAATTCACTATTGATTCTCCAGTAGTAAATACCCAACAATCTTCCAATTTCCAACCCACTCCACGCTAACTGATTTAGAATTCTTTTCTAGCAGAAATAAATAAATCTTAAGGTACAGCAAAGAACAGAAATTTAGCCGAAGTGATGAAATGACAGTCAGCAGGGCAACACAAAGGAAACATATTTAGGGTATCTTTACACCTTAAAATATAACACTGACCAGGGTGCAAACTTACTCCCAACGAGAAAAACAAATTGTTTTATGGGGTAGATTGTATGTGGGCATTTATTTTGCTTAGAAAGAAAATAGTTAACAGTAATTCATGTTCCTTTGGGAACATCACACACAGAGTACCAGTGACAACGTCCTGAAATGGCAAATCAATTGTTATTTCCAAAAGAAAGGAGAAGGCTTAGTATATGCAGCAAGATATTACATTTATATATACCTCATCCCATCTCTTGTAGATTGAAGCGGGTCAGTTCACTATTTTGTCACCTAATTCTGAATACAACCTTTAGCATTTTCCCCAAGCCCCATACACACCAGCAATGAAGTGGAATAATGTACAACTGGAGTATTCATTCACATTACTGTATTCCCCTACCAGTTTCAGTTTTCCTAAACTTCTGTTGCTTCCCTTTTCTCTATTTCTAAAGTGTAAGCACCACTGGGTATGGATCTGTCCTTTCACTGTTTATACAATATGGTAATAATAGTATAATAATTAAAAGGCATCTTTTGGAGTGCAAAGGAAGTTGGTAGAGGGCTTTATCAGCATGTAAAAAAAGACTTTCCTTTTCTCAAAGCAAAATACTCTATCCAGATAATCTGGCAGCTCAGCCTGGCTTTTAAGATTTGGCAAAGCAAATGAAATACACAAAGTTCTCTCTCTCTCCTACATGGCAGGATAAAATACAAGCCTAATTCTCTTAATGGACACTAAAATACAGCTTTCCAACCCTTCCAGTCTAGTTTTTTTGTCAACCGAAGACTGCATTTCTCAATGTACCACAGGTTATAACCAAGCCTTTTTTTAAAAAAAACCACGGTTCTTTCTAACCAAAATAATAATAATAAATAGTGCTGAATCTAGACAGAAAGGCAAATCCTGTCCCTCATGTGTTGACTGGTAGCAGCTGGCTGAAAGCCCTTAACAATAAGTCAGAAGTTCTGAGCGCATATTTTAGGGATGAAATGGGAGTCAGCTGCTGTACAGAACAGCATATATGGAAAGAGGCAAAATAGTTACATAAAAAGTAAAACCCCTTTAATTTTTACATTTCCTTTGTAGCTGGCATTAAATAGCAATCTGATAATCAGCACTCATAAAAGTAATTGTGACAGCAGTTATACAGCATATTAATACTGCATCTTAAACAAGTATTTTCCTCAGAATTATAACTTCCAGACTGCAGTGCATGGCAGAAAAGTGGTCTGTGCCATTTCTGTCCAATTTTCAATTCTGCAAAAATGGATAACATTCTGCAATTATGTCAATTTAAAAATCACTATCCTTTCACTAAATTTGACAGACTATTTATCCACAGGTGAGATTAAATTCTACAGAAGACTGGAGAAAAGATTGAGTTCCCCATCTGCTTATTGCAACTAGTCTATTAAAAGGGTAACACAGAGGCTGAACAACTTTTAAAAACTAACCTCTAATGCTTTGCTGAGAGTTTCTTCCTTGTTTTCACACTCATTTTCCAGCATATCTTCATATATGTCCACCAAAAAAGCAATCAGGTAGGGGGAACTATGACTTGGCTGCAATTCCAGTAGCTGTCCTAAGAGGTTTGGATGTTTCGAAAGGCCACGATCCTGCAGGATCCTGAAATAAAATGCAGCTGTGAATGCCACACTTCATTTGCATGCGGTCACCACACCATTTGCTGTACATTTACCAATCTGACGCTTCCTACAGAACGTGGAAATCTCCTATGGCCTATATAAAATGATAAGCAAGCAAGCAACTACAAATAGTGTCAGGTATCATTAACCTACAACCCATCTCAACCAGTATCATGAATCAGTGCCAGGTATTCAGAGGGACGCGGGTGGCGCTGTGGGTTAAACCACAGAGCCTAGGACTTGCCAATCATCAGAAGGTTGGCGGTTTGAATCCCCGCGACGGGGTGAGCTCCCGTTGCTTGGTCCCTGCTCCTGCCAACCTAGTAGTTCGAAAGCACGTCAAAGTGCAAGTAGATAAATAGGTACCGCTCCAGCGGGAAGGTAAATGGCGTTTCCGTGTGCTGCTCTGGTTCGCCAGAAGCGGCTTAGTCATGCTGGCCACATGACCCAGAAGCTGTACGCCGGCTCCCTTGGCCAGTAAAGCGAGATGAGCGCCGCAACCCCAGAGTCAGCCACGACTGGACCTAATGGTCAGGGGTCCCTTTACCTTTATTTAGAGGACAAGCGGCAAGATCCCCCTGCCCCTGAAATATGGCAATGAGCTAAGTGCAAGAGGGAACGTGCACAGCTGATAAAGTCCTGGAAAACGAAACAAGGCCCAGGAAAGCACCTCAACAGACCAAGCAGGATTCGGCAATTTGCTCAGCACTAAAGTCTGCACTATGGCTGGAGAACCTGTGGCTCCACAGACATTGTTGGACCCTACCTTCCATCATCTCAGACCACAGGTTATACAGGCTGGGGTTGGGAGACCTGGAGTCCAACAACATCTGGAACTCCATGGCATGTGCAATCTGACTGGCATCCTCCCAGATGTCATCTGGGCACCAGGTACAACTTTAATTCAACAAGGCAGAAGGAGAACCTGCTCAGTTGATGCTGACACAAAACCCCACACGTACACTATATAACAGAATATAAGTTTCACCACCCCTCCTCTCCTCCCTCTCTTCTTCCCCAACCTTATACTGTACACAACACTAATGTCTCAAAACAAAACTGATCTGCAGAAAAGACTTTACAACCTGAAAAAAGAGACATTGCACGTACTTTTGTAAACCAAGAAAATAGCTAATAAAAAATATTTTTAAAAACAAAACAAAACAAGGCTATAGGCTCTTTTGGACCTGTGGTTCCTGGTCTCGTTCTATTTTTTGTAGCCTTATAAAAAGAAGAAGATTATGTTGATTGCAAACCACTTTGCTCTATGCAATAAAATGGCTTACATCAATATAAATATGTTTATGTAAGCCATTTACATTATGTAAGACACCCACCCACCATGTACAGAATATGCAACAACAACAGTTCTTCACAACTTCTATCCCTGAATAGTAGGGGCAGCTCGAAAAATTACATGATTTTATGATTTATGTGCTTCCTCTACAATGGGACTCTTAAGGCCATGTATCACCTGACATTTTCTTTTCTGATCTTAAACACAAAGTCTCCAGAGCTGGGTAGTGACAGTCTATTTCTGGTACCCGAAGCTGATCAATATCACTCCGCACATGCAATAGCACCCAAAGCACTTGAAGAACTTCCACCCCTCTATCAAACCTGCATGGAGGACACAGCCCTTCTGCAAGCCATTTTGTGTCTGCACTCCACGCCGTTTTGCAACTCAGTCATCCTCTACTTGTGTTACAGTTTGCTACCCCTGCCAAAACTGGGAGCAGAAAATCATTTGGAGTAACTCCTTCTTACAGCCTCTGGAATTACAAAATATCCAGGGCTCCATGTACACCGTGCTAAAAATATGGAAGTTACGCAATCAAAAACAAATGAAAAAAAAGCATAGGTTCTGCATCTTATAACAAGTAGGCAAACTGAATAGATTTACGTTTTCGGTCTTCTTTTGCACAATTTCTTTCTGGGTTTGCTAGTCATGGCGGCAAAGGAATGCACTTGGAGCTCCATTACCAACCGTAGGAAATCGTATTCCACAACTGCATTGGCTGCAATAGGTACCGCCCACGTACTTTCACAAATACCTCTGCAGTGAAAGGCCGGAAACGTATTTTAAAAATGAAAGCAAAAATTTTCAGGAAGCTGAACCCTGGGCCTGCTATTAGTACAGCAAGCCAATGTGGCATAATGGTTAGAGCATGGGTAGGCAAACTAAGGCCCAAAGGCTGGATCCGGCCCAATCGCCTTCTAAATCCGGCCCATCACCGTGTTTTTACATGAGTGGAATGTGTCCTTTTATTTAAAAATGCATCTCTGGGTTATTTGTGGGGCATATAATTCATTTTTATTTTTATTTTCAAAATATAGTCCGCCGTCCACCCCCAAGGTCTGAGGGAGAGTGGACCGGCCCTCTGCTGAAAAAGTTTGCTAACCCCTGGGTTAGAGTGTTGGACTCACTGGGTGAGCTTGGGCCAGTCACCATCTCTTAGCCTAGCCTACATCACATAATTGTTGTGAGGATGAAATGGGGAAGAGGAGAACCATGAACACCACCTTGAGATCATTGGAAGATAAAGGTGGTATAAAAATGTAATAAATAAAATAATAACAAACGCTAGCATATTCTGCACTTCAGAATAGCCAAAGCCGCTAACAAATTTATCTCACCCTTTCAAATAGTTCCAAGCACTTTCATTATGGGGCACCATCTTGATCATTTCTAGGGTAAACCTGAAAAAGAAAAGCAGAGTATTTGATAAAGAAGAGAGGAAATATGGAGTCATATTTTATGCATATCAACGTACTCATTTCCCCCCCAAATAGCAGAGAGTAAACGGCATTCAACATAGAGTAGGTGGTATTCAACACCAGTCCTACTCAGAGTAAACCCACTGGACTAGCAGGCTCATTAATTTCAGTGAGTCTACTCTAAGTATGACTTAGCTGAACACAACTAAAAATGTCTTCTCTCCAATAAACAAATTTCCTACCAAGGAAAAGATGTTCTACAGATTCTTTTTTAAAAAAGAAAATAGTGGGGGATACCTCAAGATAATACTATAGAAATTTTTATTCACAAGGCAAAAATAATCCAAGGGCATGAGTTTTGATGTCCTTAGCTCATCTTTCACCAAGCTGATGCCTTCCAAAGTTTGAGGACTACAACTCTCAAACTCTGCTGTGCTGGTTGGGGCTGATGGGAGTTCTAGTCCCAAACATCAGGAGGCATCAGGTTGGCAGAGGCTACCTTATCTAATGGTAAAACCCAATATACTAAAACAAAAGAAAAACCATGCAAGGATATATAAGCAAGCATCTCTGATGTATCCTTCTGCCTGTGACAAGTGTAAATGGCCACAAATGAAGTTGAGTATTTATTTTACTTACTGGACTTCTCTCTCTAAAACAGCAGGGTCGTTATAACCAGTTGTGTTTGAAATGACAAAGTATCTTTGGTTCCAGACAGAATTGTTTCTGACATCGTCTTTCAGGAGCTGTTCCACATACTCTAGTTCATCATCCCACAGTTTAAATTCCTAAAAGCACAACAATAAAGGAGAAATGCTAGAAGAAGGAAGTAGATTTGGGAAATAGAGGGGGCAAAATCTGCCTTCTACCCACCATAGTGATCGGTGAAGGGATTTCACTCCCAGTGGCATTCCCCAGGGCTCCTTGCAATGTACAAGGTCCCCACCCCAAATCTCAGTGGGCATTTTGCTACTAAGAGCAACATCAAAATACCTGAATGACCCACTGCCTGTGTTGCCATGCATGGTAGTTCTTAGCATCCTGGTTAAGAATGTCTGCTATAAATTCAAGTTCCTGGGATGGATCCTTCAGCCACTCCACCAACACTCGTCTGTGGTGCCTAAAACATGAAGAAATCCTTATTTAAACAAAACTAAAAAACCCCAGCATCCCTTCAGTGCCTGTTTACTGTTTAGTTGTTGTTTTTATTCAAATGCAATCCTGCCAAGAGTGATGGATAATGGGCATTTGCACTCGAAAACAAAAACGTTCAATGGAATGGTAATTGAATGAGTGGCACATCGTCATATTTGGTTGTTTCTGATCTTGTAGTGCGAGACAGCTCATTAAAGGCTGCAATGTTCTATCACACCGCTTGGCAACTCTCCCGCTGAAAGTGCAAGTTGCACCCACTGACGAGCATTGTGTTTTGAGTTTATACGAGGCAGAAAGAAAGCTGTCCTTGCAGCGATTAATCCACTTAGCTTATTCATATGTACAATTTCATCATTTGATGCCACAGCCAGCATGCAAGTGATGTACGTGTCTGAATTTGCCACGTCTTCTGTGCAAAGTATTAATAGCCATTAATCAGATGGGGCACAGAGTCCCACCCACAGATGCAACACCCCAATGCATGCAGTCTTAGCATGGCATCTCAGGAAAACCAACAGACTCTTGCCCACAGCTTTCCTGCTAGCAAAAGGATTTTCAGGCACTTTACAAGAGCCACTTGGCACTGCCCTGCTTTGTCAAGTGCCGGAAGATGCTGCAGCTGCAACAGTGTAAGCTACCAGTTCTACTGCTGGACTAAAGAAGCCTCATTGGGCTTAGGCTGCCCTTCTGGGTTTGAGCTATTGTTGGACCGTTAGCAAATGAGGAAAAAGAAATGCAGGCTGTTGTGTTAAACTGAGCCTGGGGTGGGAAAGGAAACAGACTGAGAACACAGTCAAAAAGCATCTGCCAGCCTGCCATATTCAAACCAAGAACAAATAAAGAGGGACAAAGGCAGCCATGAAAACAGCCATCAGCCTAGTTATCTATGGCGAGCACAAACTGCACAAAGGTGATCAGACAGGGAAGTTTACAAAGGTAATGTTATTTGTTATGCTATGAAGAACTAGTAAGTAGGCTTTTGACCATTTTCATAGACTAGTAATTCTTGATGGACCTAGTAGCTTGGTTTATAAGGACATTTTGTTCACCTTCTCAAAGCATTTATGTGGACGTCAAATTATTGTTGTTTTTCATTCAGAATGTTTATAAAGAATTTTGAATTTATATGACTGTGAGTTTGTGTGCCCCCCCGAAATCTTTTTGGTTTGCTGCAACTGACTTTATAATATATTAACATACCTCATAATATATTAACATACACCACTGTAATTCTTCTCAAGTTATACAGTGGTGCCCCGCAAGACGAATGCCTCGCAAGACGGAAAACCCGCTAGACGAAAGGGTTTTCCGTTTTTGAGTTGCTTCGCAGGACGAATTCTCCTATGGGCTTGCTTCGCAAGACGAAAATGTCTTGCGAGTCTAGAGATTTTTTTTTCGCTTTCCCCCCCCTTTATCTAATCTGCTAAGCCTTTAATAGCCTTTTAGCAGCTAATCCCCTAAGCCTTTAAGCCTTTAATAGCCGCTAAACCGCTAATAGCGCTAATCCGTTAAGCCGCTAATAGGGTTGCTTCGCAAGACGAAAAAACCGCTAGACGAAGACTCTCGCGGAACGGATTAATTTCGTCTTGCGAGGCACCACTGTACACAGAAAATGGCCAATGAAATGTTGCTTTGGGTCCCGTCCCCCCCTTCTGTTGCTGTTTGTGCATGTTTGCAAACACTCCTACTTTCTTTTCGTTTTTCTATAAGCATTTACAATACTGGCATTTCTGCAAAACGTATTATGTATGTCGTGTCATCATATAAACAAAACCCTCCTCATCTTAAGCATTCTTGCCATGTACAATGGTCTCCATGTAAGGATTCTGCACTTGTAATTTAGAAAAGACAGGCAAGTCCAAGCAAGTGGGCACTTCCTTTCAAGGGAAATAACTTTCCTTATCAAAAAGGAGCCAGACATTACCAGACTTGATAATTCTTTGGCTGATCTTCAATGATAGCTGTGATATAATTGAGTTCCTCGTGTAGATCTTTGTTCAGGGACTGCAGAAGAACCCTGCGGAAATGCCTGCAGAAGAAAAAATAATCAGACAAGAAAAATATTCTTCAGCAAAATGTGAGACCCAAAGAAGAATACTCAGGAGGACCTGCTCCTTCAAGTGGCCTTGGTGCAGCCATTCAGAGATTTAAAAGTGAACACCAGCACTTTTCATTGAGGCCAGCAATCATTGGCTGTTGAAGGACAGATATTGCATGGTTCTCCCCCAGCTTCTTCCAGAAGAGAGTCTAGCCATTACATTTTGGATCACCTGCAGTTTCTGGACTTTTTTTTTTTTTAAAAAAAGAAGACAGCCAAACTTAGAGCTCATGACAGTAATCCAACCTCAACCTCGAGGTTACAATGCCATGCATTAATGGCAGTCATGTCTCATGGTATACAAGTCTCACATGAGCAATAATTTTCTGCAAGGAAAAAGTCTACTCACTTATTTTGCAACAAGGCCTGGGAAAGTAGCATTTTAGCAGTTTCACTACTAGTTTCTTGATTAAAATGCATTTTAATCAAGCTATTCAGATAAAAATTACTTAAATATTAGCAATTCTACACAAAAATAAAATAAATTCAGACTCAACTTCTGGTTTTCTTCATGTATATTCAGCAATGCCCAACTAACAATAAATGACAGATTCATCATCACTACATACCACACAGTGTAGTTCGCAGCGTTAAGATCAATGGCATCCCCCGTTAAGTTGAAAGCTCTTTCGCTCCTTTCATCACACTGCAGAACAGCCCGGAAGTAATCATATACATCTTTAACTAGAGAGAGAGAGAGAGAGAGAGAGAGAGAGAGAGAGAGAAATCACTTTATGTCAAATCACTCTCTAGCCTTCCTTCTGGGTCAGAAGCAGCCGAAATACCCATCTAGTCCACAATCCTGTTCTCACAGTGGCCAAACAGATGTTTATGGGAATCCCTCAAGCTGGCTATGAACACAACAACAGTCTTCCCCAGCGACTGGTGTTCAGAGGCATACCAGGGCCATTGCTGGAGGCAGTACACCAGCCATCATGACCATCAATTGTCTTATCCTCCTCGAAGAACAAAGATCTTCTCATCTCTTCCCAAACTTCTACTGGCAAAACCATTCACATCCCTGATGGCTTAGACCCTGGCCTCCCTAGACTGGCTCCCTATCCAGCATAAACGCCCTGTGGCCTTTAGAGCTCTCCACTGCTTTGCCCCACCCTCTCCCTGCCCTTATTACCTGCCCCGTCCTTGCCTGTGATCTTCCCTTCTCCAACTCTTGGCACCCTAAGCCATTTTCAGTATGATGCAACACCTGTAACAGTGCCAGTTCCGCAGTTCGAAGCAGCCAAGTGGGTCTATATGGGGTAAGGCCATCTTGCAGGTAACCTGGTTCCAAGTTGTTAAGGGCTTTCTACAATAATAGTAACACTTTGAACTTGGCCTGCTAGCAAACCGGCAAGCAGCGCAGGTCTCCCAGCTCAGGTGCTATATGCTGACAGGGTCTTGCTCTGCTGCATTCTACACTAACTGCGGCTTCCAGATCAAGAGCAAGGGATGTGCCACACAGTCCACACAGCTTTCTTCATCAACTCTGCCTGTTCACCCTTATGCCTGGAACTCTTTCTCAGAAAACCAACACAGTTTGAGTCTCTCTCTCTTTGGTCACCTCCCAACCTCTTCCTTTAAATCCTTCTTCAAAATGGCTTTAACCTTTAATTTCCATTTTCAGCTGAAGTTAACTTGTTAACGTTTGTCGTTAACTTTGCCTCTCCTCCTCCTGCTTTGTCACTCCCACTGTCGACACTTGGATTGAAGGTTCAGAGGAGGAAGAAACCTGTCCTCTCTTTCTCTATTTTTTTGTACTTATTGTGTTTTATTTACTTAACAAAACTTATATACTGCTTGATTGTAAGAAAACCTCTTAGCAGCTTACAGAAATATTGTTTTAAACCCACCCCCACCCACTGAAGGTACAGTAATCTGGAAAATGCACCTAAAACGTAAATACCCTTTTGGTACGTTTGTGTATCAAACAGAGAAGTACCTAATGTAGCTTGCTTTTTCTTGCTGAAACAGCAGCATTAACAAGCATTAATGCTACTGATTTATCTGCATCTAGATTATCTACTAAAAACAACTCTGACAACTCTTTATTGATGGTATTTTGTTCTGAAGAAACCCAGGGCAATAAGGTTTAAATGTGTATCCCAGCTTCTCATATACATGAAGCTTTAATGACAGCTTTCTAATATGTGGGTGGGGTTGTAAACAATCTTCAGCTCCACCTAAGTGCTAGTAGCAAGTGAAGTTCTAATCTCACACCCTATTTCATGACCTGAATCATCCTAATTGACTTACTCTGTCGGTTCTACTTCTGAATTCCCATAAAGACAATAGTAATGAAGAATGAATCACCTTTCTATGGCCACACTTCTAGTTAGGTGGGCATACCACTTTTATTTTTTAACTGAAGAACTTGAAACTTACACTTTTCACTATATATGATCTGGACTACTGGATTTGGCCCATCATCTTGAGGTACTGGCTCAACATCAGCCCATTCCTTCCTATCCCTGTAAAAATAATAATAATCATAATTTGACAACCAGGAGGAAAGTATGAAATACTAGGACATATATAGTTCAGAGCTACTGCCTAAAGACCAAGGTTGGTTCGCACATGTGGGCAGCACTGCATGATTCCTCAAGGCAATTTCTCCACTGCCCTACACCCCATCCACAATTTCCCTATTTTCAACCACATGTTTCATGATATTATAAAAGGAATTCAGAGTGTCTCTCCATCTATGCTAAGCACAGCGATCAGCCCCTCTCCGGAATAAGGAGGCCCAGGAAAGTGGACGAGGCTATTTCCAAACAGACCTGGGCATCCTTCATTTTAAAAACCCAAGCCTTGCTTAGGGGAATGTGTTTCATTCATTTATCGGGACATTTACACCCCGACTTGCTAAAAAAACCCCACCCAAACTCAAAAGACACACAAACCTAGCAATAAACCAAACAGCAGGTTTGGGGCTTTGGGCTTTCATAAAAGAGGCATCTAGTGATGTATGGAAGTGAGAGCTGGACCATAAAGAAGGCTGATCACCGAAGAATTGATGCTTTTGAATTCTGGTGCTGGAGGAGACTCTTGAGAGTCCTAAGGACTGCAAGAAGATCAAACCTCTCCATTCTTAAGGAAATCAGCCCTGAGTGCTCACTGGAAGGACAGATCCTGAAGCTGAGGCTCCAATACTTTGGCCACCTCATGAGAAGAGAAGACTCCCTGGAAAAGACCCTGATGTTGGGAAAGATGGAGGGCACAAGGAGAAGGGGACGACAGAGGACGAGATGGTTAGACAAGTGTTCTCGAAGCCACCAGCATGAGTTTGACCAAACTGCGGGAGGCAGTGGAAGACAGGAGGGCCTGGTGTGCTCTGGTCCATGGGGTCACGAAGAGTCGGACACAACTAAACAATAACAAAAGAGGCATCCCGAGGTTACAATCCTAAGCACGCTTGCCTAGGGGTCGATGCCATTGGACTTCATGGGGCTTACTTATGAGTCGACGTGCAAAGGACTGCGCTCCAAAACTCACTCTACCTACACATATATAATTAAGTTTTGGAGCGCAGTCCTTTGCACGTCTACTCATAAGTAAGCCCCATATATATATATATATATATATGTATATAAAACACTACATTCGCACATACCTGTACAGGACGTAGCCGTCGGCGTCTAGGGGCAGCCCGGAGTCCAGCTCGCTGTCCCCAGCGGCCTCGCCTTCCGCCTCCAGGTGTGGAGCGCAGGGCTCGGGGTCTAAGCCGCCTTCCCCGTCCGCCATCATCACAGCCGCCTCCCGCCCACCCCGGAAGAGAGGAAGCTGCGGAGGCTTCCCTATGAGGAACAAGCGCCGCCCCGAGCCATAGAGGCGCAGCTGCTGGGCCTAGAGCGCCTCCACCACGAAAGAGCCGCACGGGAAGGAACGGGAGAGATTCACAGCGCCCTCCTTTCTCTCTCCGCCAACGGGAACAAGGCTTTTGCCATAGAGATAGGAAAGCGGAAGTCGCCGCACCGGAAGTGCAGGAAGAACATGATGCCCAAAGAGCTTTGCGTTCCTTAGTTCCACTTCGGGTACTCCTTCATGTCCATATGCAAGGCATCGTAGCGCTTTTCCTCTTCTGTACCTTTAATATATCTATTAATATATATTGATAAATAGCATACTTAGATCCGTGGTTCCCAATGTGGGGCATATGCCCCACAGGGGGGCAATTTGATTTTTTTAAGGGGGGCAATTTGAGAAGGAGTTATTAACAGTTAATGGCCTTTTGGGCTTCCTCCACGTGAATAGGAAATCACTTTTTGAATAATAATAATTATATGTCACGTTGTGAGGGATCAGGATTTTAGAGATGCTTAGGAGGGGAATGGCCAAAAAAAGGTTGAGAACCACTGATTTAGATATACATTATATATACATACCGTACATACATGTCTCGCAAGGGAACAGGATCAGGACCACCCTTCTGAGAATAAATAATTTTGTGGGTGGGAGATGAAGAGCATGATTATTTCAATGCACTGCAAATACCTGCTTTTGTTGTTGTTGTTGTTTAGTCGTGTCAAAAGCATCAAAGAAGGCGATCAGCCTTCTTTATGGTCCAGCTTACCCGGTGCAAATGAGGTTTAGTCTGCAGCCTTAATTTCCAAGTAAACACGCACAGAGCTGGGCTGTACATTTTGCTTTTATGTATCATTACTTTGGTTTTCTCTATAAGCTAAAATAGATCATTACAACCCAGTCCAGACAGATCTTTGTGGGAGAGCAGGAGTCTGCAGACAATGCATACATGCAGAGTGACATCTGGATTGCTCATCACAGTGCTCATCCAGATCAGACCCCATGTGGCTTTTTACATACCTACACACCAGCTTTATTAAAGACGGACCCCAAATTTTGGGACCCCCTCCAAACTGATGCCAAAGTTTTGTACTCGTTTAATAAACCTCTGCACATCTGCAGCTGAGCCCACAAGTTTTGCATGACTAGACTTGGAACCAGTTTGCAGAGCAGGAGGCGCTGCCGGGGGAGCGGTGGTTTTTATTATTGTGCCCTGTGATCTCCTGTACTGGAAGTTTAATAAACAAGCAGTAACATTGATTTCCTAAATGCCTTAAAAAGCAAGACACAGTTCACTATAAAATAAAATGAAAATAGTGCTGGGCTGCTGTTATATAAGGCCGGCAATTTGGCTCGAATTGCCAAATACTGGGGTTTGCTGGGATCTCCTCTTTTATTCCCTAGAACAGGGTTTCCCAAATTGGGGTCTTCAGCAGTTTTTGGACTACAACTCCCATCATCCCTAGTTAGCAGGTCAGGGATGATGGAAACTGTAGTCCAAAACAGCTGGAGACTCAAGTTTGGTAAACACTGCCCTAGAGCAAATGGGGATTTGTGGGAAAGAAGAAATGTGGAGTGGCAGTGGAGAAAAGCTGGGAGGAGTGATTTTGTGTTTCGTGCCTCTTGTTCTCTAAACTAGCAATCTGAAAAGAACCCTGTAGACATAAGGACCACTTTTGTGGCCATGCAAAATGTTTTCATTTCTGCTCAACCCTAAACATAAGAAAAGAGCCCTGACTACAAGCTTGCAATAAAGGTTTAACATTGTTATCAGATCCCTGAAGTGTCAACAGTGAACAGTGAGTTCGGATGCAATGTATTTTTTCTACTACTGTACCATGAAGAAGAGCTCATAGCTTGTAGGTTGTCAACACTGCCCTCCGTACATTAAATTTTGAAACTTAAAGGTAAAGGGACCCCTGACCATTAGGTCCAGTCGTGACCGACTCTGGGGTTGCGGCGCTCATCTCGCTTTATTGCCCGAGGGAGCCGGCATACAGCTTCCGGGTCATGTGGCCAGCATGACTAAGCCGCTTCTGGCGAACCAGAGCAGTACACGGAAACGCTGTTTACCTTCCCACCGGAGCGGTACCTGTTTATCTACTTGCACTTCAACGTGCTTTCGAACTGCTAGGTTGGCAGGAGCAGGGACCGAGCAAGGGGAGCTCACCCCGTCGCGGGGATTCGAAACGCCGACCTTCTGATCGGCAAGTCCTAGGCTCTGTGGTTTAACCCACGGCGCCAACTTACTTCATGTTAAACTTTCTCAGTAGTGAGAATGTAGTAACCTCTTGATTCCTGTGGATGGCAGAGCAGGTCAAGTAACATGGTTATATTCCATCTCATCACATCATCAGCCAATATCTATCTATCCAACACCAAATTCAACAATCAAAGTCTATGACAATGGTGTCTCATGTCAAATGTAAACGGCCCGTGAAAAAAGACTCTTATGAATTGAAAGTGGAGATGCTATATGTACTTCTCCTTGTTTGTTTTCATTTCACAAAAAAATCTAAGTAAAAATAAATAATAATTTAAAAACAATCGGAAGCAGTGTGCTATCAAAGGTTTTTTTATTTTAAGTGAAGTAAAGTATGATGAAGCCAGAAAGGGGGAGGGGGGAGAGAGAAGGGCAACACCACGGAAAACAACGTAGGAAGTCAACTTTAAATTTGTATTAAATTGAATTAATTGGATGTAAATTCATTTTAAAAATCGAAAAGTAATAACAATTAATTAGCAAAGGGGACACCTGATATATAATGGAGGGAATTCCTAAGCTGGGAGGTGCTGACAGCCTAAAGGCCTGATCCCTGTAATATGCGTAATGGGCCTCCTGATAAGATCCTATGTGCCGGATTTCCTCTCCTGCAAAGCACAGCTGGGTACATAAGGGGTGAGAGGATTTTCTCAGGATCCTGACCCCAAACTGTAAAGGGCTTTGTACAGCAGATCCAACATTCTGAATTTTGTTCAGTAGTTTGGTACTATAGCTAATTGGCAGCAGGTGTAACATGGTGCTGATAGTCTGCCAAGTTGCTGCATTTTGCAGTAGCTGGATTTTCTGCGTCAGCTTCAAGGATGTCCCTTAATGTGGGGTGGGGAGGCATGAGACAAGTTCAGAGCAAACAAAAAACCTAACTGCGCACTACTATCTGTCCTGAGTGTTTGGTGTAAGATAAAGGTAAAGGGACCCCTGACCATTAGGTCCAGGCGTGACCGACTCTGGAGTTGCGGCGCTCATCTTGCTTTATTGCCCGAGGGAGCCGGCGTACAGCTTCCAGGTCATGTGGCCAGCATGACTAAGCCGCTTCTGGCGAACCAGAGCAGCGCACGGAAACGCCGTTTACCTTTCCACCAGAGCGGCACCTATTTATCTACTTGCACTTTGATGTGCTTTCGAACTGCCAGGTTGGCAGGAGCAGGGACCAAGCAACGGGAGCTCACCCGTCGTGGCGATTCGAACCGCCGACCTTCTGATCGGCAAGTCCTAGGTTCTGTGGTTTAACCCACAGCGCCACCTGCATCCCTATAGTGTTTGGTGTATGTGTGCATATATTGTTGCTAGCACCTGTCTGTCTCAAGAGACAGTGTGTGTGTGTGTGTGTGTGTGTGTGTGTATTCTTTTCATCCCACTGTTTCTCCAAAGGGCTCGAAACGGCATACATGAGCCATCCCAAGCCATCCTCACAATGACCTTGCTCTTAGGCTGTGATTGGGCCTACGCCACCCAGTGTGTTCAATAGCTGAGTGGGGATATGAACCTGTTCTCCTAGGTCATGTGTAGGCAAACTAAGGCCCGGGGGCCAGATCCGGCCCAATCACCTTCTAAATCTGGCCCATGGATGGTCCAGGAATCAGCATGTTTTTACATGAGTAGAATGCATCCTTTTATTTAAAATGCATCTCTGGGTTATTTGTGGGGCATAGGAATTTGTTCATTCCCCTCCCCCAAAAATATAGTCCGGCCCCTCACAAGGTCTGAGGGACAGTGGACCGGCCCCCTGCTGAAAAATTTGCTGAGCCTTGTCCTAGGCACACCACAATGCCACATCAGTGGCTGGATAGCTCAGTTGGTAGAGCATGAGATTCTTCATTCCAGGGTTGTGGGTTCAAGTCCCATGGTGGGTGAAAGCATAGGCTCCAACTTCCCCCAATAAAATATTTGAGGGGGCCCTGCGCCCCTCATGTTGATGGGCATTGCCATTCAAATGGTGAGTGCTACATCATGTGATCGATTATGCAGGATGGGGCTTACCTGCCGCACCCCAAAATTTTATTCAAGTTGGCACCCCTGGGTGAAAGATTCCTACATTGCTAGGGGTTAGACTGGATGACCCTTGTAGACCCTTCCAACTCTATAATTCTATGATTCTATGGCCAGGTATGCATATTTCAAATATGCATAGATATTTGAAGAGTAGATATATATATATATATTCATATGCATAGATAATTTGAAATATCTATTTGAAGAGTATACATATTTCAAATGATCTATGCATATGAATATATATTTGAAGAGTATGCATGTTTCAAATTATCTATGCATATGAATATATATTTGAAGAGTTGATAAGACCGATAATTTGCTGGCTGCTGAATTTCTTATTTTCAGTTTTATGTGAACTCTCCCTGAGAAGAAGTCGTGATGCACAAATTACCTTAAGTAAAGACATGCTAAGCATTATTAAGGGATCAAAGACGGAACTGTCCCGGCCTTAAATGATTCGGGTGTGTGTGTGATCCTCAGCTGCTTCGTGATGAATGATCTCAAAGGGCTTTTTAGCGCTCCTGTAAAGATAGATGTATGTATTCCACTGACGCAGCTCAGTCCTCCCGCTGGCAAAGAGCTTTAGCATAATGCAGCAGCCGTCCATCCTTGAAAAGGCGAGAGCCGCAGCCGCCGGTTCTTTTAAACGCGCTCTTTCCAACTGGAAGCCCGAAGCCCTTCTCCCAAAAAAAACCCAGATTGTCGCTGATGCTTAATTTATTTAATTGCGTGTTGTTGTTGTTGTTGTTTCCTACCCCGCTTACCGAGATCGCCTGGCTCGGGGGATGGTTTCTTCCAGGGAGGGAATGACTTCGCTAAAATGCTGATACTATTAGTGCAATTAGACTAACTTTCCTTTACAAAATCTAGAGAGAGAGACGACGACGTCGCCTCTCTCCGCAATTCCTGGCTCCGGCTCTGCTTCCCGAAGCTGGTTCCTAAGTGAAACCCGGAACGTGGGAATTCATGAACTGGATTTCCCAGGCGCTTTCCCAAACGGACGGTCGGTTTTAGCACTGTAGCTTTCCGATCCTTCTCCAGGTTTTGCCGTAATCCCGAGGGCGATTAAAAAAAAGAAGTACAAACTGAAAGTAAAAACAAAAAAACCAACCCACAAAAAACAGCCTAGCAGCAACAAGACGGAAGAGCTGTTATCAGGGGTGAGTTTTTAAAAATATAATATAAATATAGATATATAAACACAGAGGGAGAGAGAGAGAGAGAGACAGATCTCCTGCAGTCTAGGATGTTACACAATGCTATAAAGATGAAGGAGCCGCTTGGGGCTGTTGTATGTTAAAGGACTGGGGAAAAGAGAGAAAAGAAAGACTTTCTTGGTTCCCTGAAGCTTTCCTCCGCCCTCCCAGCTGCCCTGATAAAAGGGCCGTTTGAGTCTTTCAGTCCATCGGGAAACAAGGATAGGAATTCAGATTTCTAATCGTGTTTTGCTGCCTGGTCCCTTGTGCCTGTAACAGAAGGCTGATGGGGAAACGTTTGCTTGCTTAATTTTCACATTTTATTTTATCCTTGTGCCAGGAAGAGGAGTAGGGCCAGTAAAGGAAAGTTGGCAACTTTGACTCTGGAAGCTTCTTCTAGTCAAAGGGATCCTTATACAGTGGTATCTCAGGTTACAGATGCTTCAGGTTACAGACGCTTCAGGTTACAGATGCTGCTAACCCAGAAATAGTACCTCGGGTTAAGAACTTTGCTTCAGGATGAGAACAGAAATCGCATGGCGGCAGCAGGAGGCCCCATTAGCTAAAGTGGTACCTCAGGTTAAGAACAGTTTCAGGTTAAGAATGGACCTCCAGAACAAATTAAGTTCTTAACCCGAGGTACCACTGTACTACCCTGTTTAAAGTGAGAGGTCTTGTCTTGTGTGAGCCTTAGCTAGTTAACAGTAGTGCTGCGCCGGAGTATCCCATGAAAAGGAAACAAATTGCTTCAGGTTTTTTGTCCCAGACAGTTAATCCAGGGGCAAGAGGATGCCAGTACTCTGCTTATTGGTTAATAAGCAGAGTCAATGAAACTATTTAAGGCAAGAAGCCATCCTTCAGAAAATGGAAGACTTGGGCAAATGAAAAAAATAAACAAATACAGACTTTTGTTAACATAAATGCAATCAAACAATGATGGGGACAACAAAAAGCTTGAGGAGCATGTTCCTAAAAACATAAGTGCCAACCATAGAAAATATTTAAGTACAGCAGTAGCAGGAAATGAGATAGGGAGCTTTCCGCAATGACCGGAGTCAGATACGTGCTAAAAGAGGCAAACAAGATGACAGAGAAATTAAATGAGTTGTTCACACTGGAAGTCTGAGGGCAGATAGATTCCTGTGCCTGAACTAACTTTTTTGGAAAGGGAACCTGAAGAAATGAGTGGTGACAAGGTTTTAGGCCTTACTGACAAATTAAAAACTGACATATCATTGGGTTCAGATGGCACTCTGTAGAGATGTAGAGTCCTAAAGGACTCAAATGTGAAGTTGCTGGTCTTCTAACAAAAGTATGTATATCTTGACACTTAGATATCTGAGCCTCCATACCTGCAGACTAGAAAGCGGTCAGTGGAACACCAGTTTTTAAAAGGGGGTTGCCTGCACAAAGCCCATAAGGACTATAAACTAATAGAAACTCTGTTATATATAAAGAAAGCTGAAGTTCTTGGACTGCAGAATTCCGTTCCTAAAATGAAAGGCTGTTCTCTTTTGTACTTGTATGGTGACAGACATAAAACACACAAAGACTTGATTACGATGAAATAACATCTGTGTCCAATATCTTTTCTGATATAAAGTGAAGTGCAGTACAGTCATAGCTCGGGTTGAAGTAGCTTCGGGATAAGTATTTTCAGGTTGCGCGCTGCTGCGACCCGGAAGTAACAGAGCGCGTTACTTCTGTGTTTCACCGCTCGCACATGCGCAGACGGTCAAAATGATGGCATGCGCAGAAGCAGTGAATCATGACCCAGGCATGCGCAGACATGCGGACACGGGTTGCGTTCGCTTCTGGCTCCAGAACGGATCCCGTTCGCATCTAGAGGTACCACTGTACAGTGGTACCTCGGGTTAAGTACTTAATTCGTTCCAGAGGTCCGTTCTTAACCTGAAACTGTTTTTAACCTGAAGCACCACTTTAGCTAATAGAGCCTCCCCCTGCGGCTGCGCCGCAGCGGCGCGATTTCTGTTCTCATCCTGAAGCAAAGTTCTTAACCCGAGGTACTATTTCTGGGTTAGCAGAGTCTGTAACCTGAAGCATATGTAGCCTGAAGTGTATGTAACCCAAGGTACCACTGTATATCAAACTGGCTGTACCAGTGCCTCTAAAACACACCTCTGCCCTGTTTTCCTTTAGCAGATGCATTCGCTTCCAAGAAGCCATTGGTTCAAGAAGCTGCATGGTAGAAGATCAGAAATGCGGCAAATTTTTCATCACTGCCCTTGATGACATCGGTTCCCCCGTCACTGGTGGCAATGGAAAAGGACCAGGAGGTGAAGGGAAACAGCAGTTAAGACCATCTGTGGAGTATGTTGCAGCAATTCTGAAGAGGCAACACCTGCTTCCTATGCCCAAAAATAAGGCATGAATGCAATGAGGAAGAAGAGATTTTGGGCATCCTGCTTCTGCTTAATGGCCATCTTTTTTCTGCTTGTTACCCTCCAGGTACTACAGATATTCAGGGTCAGGAGATGAGCACTGATTTAGGCTGGAACATGCCATACTCTTAATCTTAGGGTCATAGGCTCAAGTTCCACATTGGGCAAAGAATTCCTGCATTGCAGGGGGTTGGACTAGATGACCCCTGCGGTCCCTTCCAACTCTATGATTCTATGGCGGGACTGTTGGCATGAAGAGAAGGGAGGGCAGGCTTGCCCACCCAGACCTTTCCCTAGGTTCCCAGGGCCTAAGGGAGATCCTCTTTTGCCTATCTTTCTACCCCGGGGATGCGGCCTCTCCATGACCACCCAGATTGTATTTATATTTATTTATAAGGCACCGACTCATGTAAGAAAAATATTGTGGCTGTGTGCACCCAAAACACAACGGACTAAAATATAATAATACATCAAAGCAAATGACCAACAATAGATTTCTCTAAATAAAAACTCCTGACAAGACCAAAACAAAAACACCTCGTTTTCAGCAGATGACAGAGCATCAAAATTGTAGGTGCTTGACTGATTTCATTGGGATTGAACTAAGTTGTTGCGCATGCATGGAACAAGGCCTGTTCCTGCGTCAGGATTTTCCCACTGTCTCCTTTACCCATGCCCCCCTAAATCTGCTCTGGAGGGTTGGGGGAACACCCAGACAAAGGGGGCGAAGGAGGGAATTCTTATTGCGTGAGCAGACCTTGCATGCATGCCACAGTTAGCACTACACTGAATTACATCCAATAGGAACAGTGTTCCAAAATACTGGGGCCGCTATTGGTGCCATGGATGTTGGGCTCCCAGCTCTCATCTGGCCCAGCCAGCATGGCCAATGGTCAGGGCTGATGGGAGTTGTGTACTCCTGCAACATCCCTTCCCTGAGTCAACTCTCCCAACCTCTGCCCTCTGCTGACGAGCTTCCCCCATTGATGGATTTTTCATTAGTAAAGGAATTTGATGCATGCATGATATTAACATGTGAAGCTTTTAGCAGTACAGTGGTACCTCAGATTAAGAACTTAATTCATTCCGGATGTCCGTACTTAACCTGAAACTGTTCTTAACCTGAAGCACCACTTTAGCTAATGGGGCCTCCCGCTGCTGCCGCGCCACCGGAGCCCAATTTCTGTTCTCATCCTGAAGCAAAGTTCTTAACCTGAAGCACTATTTCTGGGTTAGTGGCGTCTGTAACCTGACGCGTATGTGACCTGAGGTACCACTGTATGGAGGTAAATATTATGAGCTAATGCAGGCTTCCTCAACCTTGGCCCTCTGGACATTTTTGGCCTACAACTCCCATAATCCCTAGCTAGCAGGACCAGTGGTCAGGGATGATGGGAATTGTAGTCTCAAAAACATCTGGAGGGCTGAGGAAGCCTGAGCTTCTCAGGGATATACTGTTAAGAGACTGAAAAGTTGGCAGCCTAATGATGAAAACAATAATCCAACCAACCCAACACCATAAGTCACATGAGAATAGTAAGGTCACAATCATTGAATCATTTCCCCAACTACTATCTACTAGAACTAAATTCTACAGAGACCAGGGCCTAGTGTTTTCTCCATTTTAAAGCAGGCCTCAGTGGGTGCTCTGTTATACAGAATGATAGTTCATGCCATGTATAATGAGACTTCAATAAGGATAGATTTCTCTTTCCCCTTGAAAGGTGGTTGTAGAGCTTGGAAAGTCTGAAAGGAAGATGACGAAAACCTCCATTTCACAAAACAGTGCACTGAAAGATGAAGAATGGCAGAAATACACCTATCTGTTTGTAAAGAAGCCGGAACTCCCCAGCGATACAAAGACCATTTTGAACAACGACCGATATCCTATCTTGCTGTGGTGGTCTCCACTGACAGGAGAGACAGGGCGGCTTGGTCGGTGCGGACAAGACACTTGCTTCTTTACTATCAACAGGACCTATCAGCACAACTCTATGACTAAAGCATTTCTGTTTTATGGTAAGAGGCTGGTTCATTTTACTCTTCAAGATGATGAGTGACTTTGCCTTTCCCCCTTGCTCACATGGTTCATTTATCTTGTAGCTGCCAAGCATAACAGAGAAAAGAAGTGGGGCCTGCAACAGAATGTTGCAGCGTGGCGTGCTGCTTTTTGGGGTCTGCTGTTTGGGATTCCAGCCACTCTATTTCAGTCCTCCTTTCTTCTGGGTTTTCTGTTCCCCACCATGGTCAGTGAGCATGCTATGGCCATTGATCTTACTGCCTTAAGTCCCCTCCCCCCAAAGGATGTTTCTGTACTTCAGCAAACCCTGAGATTTCCTCAAGTCTGCTGAAACCTCCTTTTTATGTGGGGACAGTTCCATTTTGGCTATATAAAGATTGGCACTCACAGCTGAACCCTGGAAATGGAGATAATTAATGTGAATAGTCAGTTTTCAGAGAGGTAGTCATATTAAAGGTAAAGGTACCCCTGCCCATACGGGCCAGTCTTGACAGACTCTAGGGTTGTGCGCTCGTCTCACTCTATAGGCCGGGAGCCAGCGCTGTCTGCAGACACTTCCGGGTCACGTGGCCAGCGTGACAAGCTGCATCTGGCGAGTCAGCGCAGCACACGGAACGCTATTTACCTTCCCGCTGGTAAGCGGTCCCTATTTATCTACTTGCACCCGGGGGTGCTTTCGAACTGCTAGGTTGGCAGGCGCTGGGACCGAACGACGGGAGCGCACCCCGCCGCGGGGATTCGAACTGCCGACCATGCGATCGGCAAGTCCTAGGCGCTGAGGTTTTACCCACAGCGCCACCCACGTCCCAGTGGGTAGTCATATTATTTTCAAGCAAAAAACCCAAATTTAGCGTTACTATAAAGACCAACAGATTTACTTGGGCATAAACTATGTTTATTTCCTCAGGTGCATGAATTGTTATCCTCAGTTGTAGAGTGAGTGTGTGTGTGTGTGTGTGTGTGTGTGTGTGTGTGTGCATATGTACACACTTTTAGAGGAAAAAATATTGCAAACAATGAGGACAAACGGCAACAAGATGTAAAAAGTACAGTCTGTGAAAAATCTACGTACCTTTCACAACAACACACAATCATCTTAGCATTGCAAATCTTAATAATACCTTAAGTGTGACAGGAAACCATGAGCTCAGTTCAAGCCTAAATGGACTGGCTACTTACTAAATAAGGACTGGCTACTTACTTTAATAAAAGCTCTTGGAAAATACCTATGGGGAGCATAAGAAAACTTCAGTTATGTCAGTGACCTGCATGTTGCCCATCTGTAACTTAGACCATTATTTATTTTGTCACAAACATTAAAGTATGAAATGTGCTCATAATTGCAATCTTATTCTGCATTTTCTCATCATAAACCTTGTAATGCCTCTCTGTCTTTTTCTGGTCTGAAGCATATTTTTTATCATCTCTTCCACCCTTTAAGACATATTGTCTATCAGCTTGGCTAAGATTAATGCGTTGTATCGAATCAATCAGTCATCCTAGTGTTTCACCTTGGAAGTATCCTTTTATAGGCTTCTCTCTGCATATCCTTTATCTTCACCATTAGTAGACAGCTCTGACTTTATTTTCTCAGCAAGAATTGGACTCTGTTTGTTTACAATATCACCAAAAAGTTGTAATATCCACTTGAGGGTGCTCATAGTTCCCCAGTTTAATGCAGTTTCAAAAATTGTATTCAGTACTTCTCTAGTGGGTGCACTGCAATTTTTTTGCTGCTAATGTTGTCAAAGCCTCCGTTTCTGAAACCCAAGTCACAACATGCGGCTACTCTCTTTAAATACATGCAGCTGCCCCCAATGGAGACAACTCAAATCCAGGAGCAGGAAAAGTAGATAAAAGTTTTGAAACAAGTTTCACGATTCCCATGGAGCTGGTGATTCTTGGGCTGAATTATTTTGGCTGTCAAGCACAAAACTGACTTTATTATCTCCCTCCTCAGAGCTGTAATAAAAATATTATTTTCACAATACATGTCCGCAGGATATTCCCTTTATAATTCAAAACCACATCTAGAGAGATTTATTATTCAGATAGACCCGAACACTGGAAGTTTAAGGGAATCAAGTTTTATTGAGCTTTTCTCAGAATGTATAGCATCCTTTTATATATAACTTTAGATACCTATCACAGCACTTTTTATCCTGCAATGTTTTATGAACTCCAAACAGAAAACTAGCATAAACTTACAGTGCAGTCCTATAAATGTCTACTCAGAAACAAGTCCTGTTGAATTCAATGGGTCTTACAGTTGTATATAGGATTGCAGTGTTAACTGTTTTATATTGTGAAGACCCATTAGGAACTGCCTTGCTGCAGCCTTTGTTGCTTACCTGCTTAGATAATAATAATAATAATAATAATAATAATAATAATAATAATTTATTATTTGTACCCTGCCCATCTGGCTGGGTTTCCCCAGCCACTCTGGGCAGCTTCCACAGAGACCAAAAATACACTAAAATGTCACATATTAAAAACTTCCCTGAACAGGGCTGCCTTAAGATGTCTTCTGAATGTCAGGTAGTTGTTTATCGCTTTGACATCTGATGGGAGGGCGTTCCACAGGGTGGGCGCCACTACCGAGAAGGCCCTCTGCCTGGTTCCCTGTACCTTTGCTTCTTGCAATGAGGGAACCACCAGAAGGCCCTCGGCGCTGGACCTCAGCATCTGGGCAGAACGATGGGGGTGGAGACGATCCTTCAGGTATACTGGGCCGAGGCCGTTTAGGGCTTTAAAGGTCAACACCAACACTTTGAACTGTGCTCGGAAACGTACTGGGAGCCAATGTAGGTCTTTCAAGACTGGTGTTATGTGGTCTCGGCGGCCGCCCCCAGTCACCAGTCTAGCTGCCGCATTCTGGATTAATTGTAGTTTCCGGGTCACCTTCAAAGGTAGCCCCACGTAGAGCGCATTGCAGTAGTCCAAGCGGGAGATAACTAGAGCATGCACCACTCTGGCGAGACAGTCCGCGGGCAGGTAGGGCCTCAGCCTGCGTACCAGGTGGAGTTGGTAGACAGCTGCCCTGGACACAGAATTAACCTGCACCTCCATGGACAGCTGTGAGTCCAAAATGATGCCCAGGCTGCGCACCTGGTCCTTCAGGGGCACAGTTACCCCATTCAGGCCCAGGGAGTCCTCCACACCAGCCCGCCCCCTGTCCCCCAAAAACAGTACTTCTGTCTTGTCAGGATTCAACCTCAGAATCAGGATCCCATTTGTAGCTAAAATGGCATCACCCACACAGAACTGGGAGTTCTCAGAAGATCTGGAGGAACTCCAAGGACTAGAAGTACCAAAAAAAAAAAAAAAAAGCTTTAGGAAGAACCCAAGTGTATATCTGTGAATAGCTCACTGAGGACTGATGTCATGGACTGGTTGGACACAGAGGAATGGTGGGAAGAACCAGCTGGGGAACCACCAAGGGAAGAAGGCTCAATGCTCAGGGAGTGGTGGTGGGACAATGATGAATGGTCAGAGGGAGAAGAAGGAGGACTGGTAAGAGAAGGTGTTGGAATCTGAAGGGGTAGCAGGGTTTAGTGAGCTGGGAGAGTCTGTGGCAGAGAACAGTCCAGAACCAGAACCAGAGGCTGAAGCATGAAATTGGGGTAAGGGAGGCCAAGAAGCAGAGATGAGTCAGGCTGGTGAAGAGTCATGGGTGTCTCCCCCTTCTGCTGAGACCAGCTCCCTTCCCCCCTGGTCTCCCAGAACCAGAAGAGGCATGAAAAGGGCGAAGGAGAAGTTAGATTCACACAGGCACAGTCTCCTATTGCTTGAGGGGGGGACCATAGAGAGGAGGGTACTTAGGCAGCTGTGATCTTCATTCTCAATGACTACTTCATAGGAAGCAAGACCTGACAGAGATGAGTTGCTGTGCTCATTAGGTCTGACACTCCACCAAGTGGTCATGTTTTTGCTAATTAACTCCAGCTTGCACAGTGTGACTTGCCACTGGCTTGCTTCTGACAACTGAGCATCTCAACAGGCATGCTATCCAACTGTTGGTGTGTGTGTGATGAGTGGAATGGCAATCTTGGGGCAGGAGAAAGGGGAATGGAATGGAGTATGCTGGAAAATGGCTCTCTCAACAGAAGCACATGCAACATTCCATTGTGGGTCCCACTTGTTTTGCATGTTAGTAAGATGTTGTGGGGGGGGGATCCATAGGCGAGAGAGGGGCGGTGATGGTCGTGAATACTATGCTGCCTTGGTAATATGCTGTTCATATCATTCATGGAAGCGCAGCCAGGTTGAATAATGTTTTCCGATATTTCTTTCACTGGGAGCAATACTGGTTTCCTTCTCTCCCATTTGTATTTTCAACATCTAGGTACTGACTTCAGCATAGATAGTTTACCTCTCCCCCGAAAAGACCACCATGACTGGGCCCTTTTCCACGAGGAGTCACCCAAAAACAATTACAAGCTCTTCCAGAGACCTGCCATCACTCTGTTCAACCACACGGCAACGTTCAGCCGCCACTCACACCTGCCACTCACCACACAGTACCTTGAAAGCATTGAGGCCTTAAAATCCCTGAGGTACATGATTCCTTTGCAAAACAAGAACAGCTTGAGGAAAAGACTCGCGCCCCTCGTATATGTACAGTCTGACTGCGATCCTCCCTCTGACCGGGACAGCTATGTACAGGAGCTTATGGCTCACATTGAAGTAGACTCCTATGGTGCCTGCTTGCATAACAGAGATCTGCCGGAGCAGCTTGAAAACCCTGCCTCCATGGATAACGATAACTTCTACAAGATACTTGCTCAGTACAAATTTGTCCTTGCCTTTGAGAATGCTGTCTGTGAAGATTATATCACTGAAAAGCTCTGGAGACCACTGAAGCTGGGTGTGGTACCAGTTTATTATGGCTCTCCTAGCGTCAAAGACTGGCTTCCTAGCAATAAGAGTGCAATCCTGGTCACAGGATTCTCACACCCCAAGGACCTGGCACAGTACATCAAAGCTTTGGATGCAGATGATGAGAAATATGAGGCCTACCTTGAATGGAAGCTGAAAGGGGACATCTCCAACCAACACCTGCTTGCTGCTATAAAGGAACGCACATGGGGAGTGCAAGATATCATGAAGGACAATTACATAGATGCCTTTGAATGCATGGTGTGCACTAGAATATGGGGAAATATGAGGAGACAAGCAAAGGTAATTATAAAGCCATCTGCCCTGTTATAGCCAGGCTTGCACCATCTCATGAGTCAGACTTGCCAGGTACAAATTGTAGAGTGGAGTCACTTTGTGGCAGGTGTGATGTATGAGTTCTGACAGATAGAAGCAGGGCCAGAGACAAGCTCTCCAGGACCAAGGAGAGCTCCCAAGGAAAGGAAGGCAGATGTTGTTCTCCCAGAGTCCCGAGTTTATATGAGTCTTTATAAGAGGAATAAGGACCTTGTGGCATATCAGCTGTGGTAGTACAGTGGTACCTCGGGTTACATACGCTTCAGGTTACAGACGCTTCAGGTTACAGACTCTGCTAACCCAGAAATAGTACCTCGGGTTAAGAACTATGCTTCAGGATGAGAACAGAAATCGTGCTCTGGCGGCGCAGCACCAGCAGGAGGCCCCATTTGCTAAAGTGGTGCTTCAGGTTAAGAACAGTTTCAGGTTAAGAACGGACCTCTGAAACGAATTAAGTACTTAACCCGAGGTACCACTGTATTCCAACTCCTATCAGACTTAGCAGCATGGACATGGTCATGGGTGGAAGGGAGTTGGAGTCCAACAACATCTGCAGGGCCACAGGTTCTTTGCTTTCTAATACCCTCCCTCCCAGTCTCATATTCTGTGAGTTCAACTCCAGCTGCCTACAATATTGCAGCGAAATAATTCACCAGGCATTGCCTTGAGTGAAATTGCTGCTGACTTAGTCTTCAGTTGGCAGCCAAGGCTGACCTACGGAGCAATGATTAGATCTAATGACAGCCCACAGTTTATTAAACGGCAATATTTCACAGCCTCTTGAGTGAAACATAATGCTTGTTTACAGAATCGCCGCAGCATTAAAAAAGACTGCAAGAAGTGGCAGGCACATTTTCATCCAAGCCCTGTCAAGTTTGCAACCCCGGCTTTGGCCTGGGAGGGCGGGATACAATAAGAAATAAAAAATTATTATTATTATTATTATTAAATGCATCAAGCATGTTTCAGCCGTTCGAAGCTACACGGAGCGAACATGTAGACCTCATTCCTAGCTCAGTGGGGAGGGGAGTCTTTTTCAGACGCAGAGCTGCATTCGCAATGTGGAGCCATGCACACAAATGGCGCTATGTAAATAAATACATGATGGTGATAATACCTGTGTAATATGAAATCCAGCACAACAGTTGTGCTAGTGGAAGATGGCTGTGCGACAGGTTGTGACTGCAACAGTCTGTTGTGCAACCAGCCATCAGAACCATTCTGGCTTCCTGCACTTTCTCTTGTGCAAGTCATTCCACTAACATAACTGGCTACACTCCTAAGGGACCTTAATTTAGTGCTTCATTGAATTCCTCCCAGATATTTTCACACACTATCTAAGTGGAAGTGAGTGTATATTCATCCCTGCTTACGTGGTGGTTGATAAAATTCAGATTGTGTCCTCCCACCTCTCTTTTTCTCTTTTTCTCTCTCAACCAGGGAATGTTACCAAAAAAGTGGAATGCAGAAGCAAACCACCTGAGCTGCCCCAAACCTCAACCATTTGTTTCTTCGTCTCGCAATACGCACAGAACGGCTCTGCGGGAGATGTGGATACCGAGCTTTGAGCAGTCCAAGAGAGAAGCTCACGCGCTGAGGCAGCTGGTCGAAAGGAACAGAAATTTCACAGCTCAGGAGTTTTGGACTATGGTGTTTAGAGAATGAGCTTAGAGGGAGACAATAGGCCCTTGACTCAAGCTAGCGGGGGAAACAAACCAACACAGAGGAGCCTCTATGAGGAGCTCTTGTTTGTCGGTTGCCTTAATAAGATAGAAAGCAGTTTTAACCACTGAGATGATGAGAAATCATCGTATTCAGCGAATACTAATCCAGAAGACGAAGGACCCAGTTGGGTCATCTTATATTTTTTATACTAACGTTCAGTATAAACTATTAATATAAATTATTAGTGTAATTAACATTGGAGCATTCACAGCAAAATGCAGCCATCTGCACTTTACTTTCCCAGTGTGTGTGTGTGTGTGGTTTATTTTGCCTCTGCAGTTCCTCCCACCCTTGAGTTGGATACGTGTCAAGTCTTCCATCCAGATGGTTTGGCTTCCTGGCATCGCTCAAGCGAAGGGCCTTGTCTAAAGGGGTGGCCTTGCTGCTTATGTCATTTCTGCACCTGACAGGAAGCCAAGCCGTGCAGGAGAAAGGAGGACCTTGCAGATGAATTGCAGAGCAGCGGAGGAGGAGGAGCAACCTCAGGGGCAGTGTGCCAAATGCTCTGGTGGGGGGGATGGTTTACGAAAAGCAGGCCTTCGAAATAGAGTCTCACCTAAGTGTGGTCCATGTTATTGGAGACTGGATTCTGTGCTACTCTGGCAAATTCTGTAAAGAGCCACTTTGTGGTTTGAATGAAGGACCTTCTTTCTTTTCATTTCTGGCTGGGCCAGGGTGATGGAGATGTCATCTATTGAACAGTATTATAAACAGCAATGGCAAGGCAGCATGTCCATGCTCTGATAATGTCTGAAGCATTTCTCTTAAGGAGGGAGAGCTGACTGTGCAGAGGCTCATGGAGGCAGGGATTTTGTTTTGTTAAGACCTGTACAATATCAGATGATTTGGGGCTTGATTTGAGTATCTTTTTTATAATAATTTTTATTAATTTTAACATATAAATTATAATACATACCACAAAACTTCACCACTTATACAATCTTTTTTAGACTTCCATCAGCACCTCTGATGATCCACCGTTTTAACTACTTCTTATGCATTTCTTAAATTCATATTGCTTTTAATTATCTTAGCTAATCATCCTCCCCTTTATCCATTATTGCAATAGTTCCAATAATTCATCTCACAAAACTTCTTGCAAACCTACAAACGTAGTCTGATCATCACAATTACTTTTCAAATAGTCTGTAAATTTACACCAGTCTTCTGTGAATTTCTGGTCCCGCAGATTTCGAATCCTTCCTGTTAGTTTATCTAGTTCTGCATAGTCCATTAATTTCATCCTCCATTCTTCTTTCGTCGGTAATTCTTCTTGCTTCCATTTTTGTGCCAATAATATTCTTGCTGCCGTCATTGCATATAAAAACAGCTTACATTCTTTTCTATTTATATCACTTCCTACAATGCCCAGTAAAAATGCTTCTGGTTTCTTTATAAATGTATATTTCAACATTTTTTTCCGTCTCATTATATATCATTTCCCAGAAGCTTTTCACTTTTTTACATTCCCACCACATGTGGGATTTGAGTATCTTTATGGTTTTCGTTACTTGGGACTGGAAGTACGGGGCCAAAAGACTTCTTCACGCACAGTAAGTGTCGCTTTTCCCAACATGCTGATTCCAGGGGGAAATAAAAGGGGGTGGGGGAATCCTTTTATCAGCCAGAATTGGTGCTTTTTACCTAGCTGTTTAAAAAGTACAACAGCCCTACCAGGGGGAAAATGGCAACTGTATATATGTAGGTACCTAGATGTGTTGCCACCATTTTTTCCTGCTAGGACTCTTGGTTTTGTTTTTTAACAGTTGGGGTAAGGTAAAGGTAAAGGGACCCCTGACCATTAGGTCCAGTCGTGGCCGACTCTGGGGTTGCAGCGCTCATCTCGCTTTATTGGCCGAGGGAGCCGGCGTACAGCTTCCGGGTCATGTGGCCAGTATGACTAAGCCGTTTCTGGTGAACCAGAGCAGTGCACGGAAACGCCGTTCACCTTCCTGCCGGAGCGGTACCTATTTATCTACTTGCCCTTTGATGTGCTTTCGAACTGCTAGGTTGGCAGGAGCAGGGACCGAGCAACAGGAGCTCACCCCGTTGCAGGGATTTGAACCACCGACCTGATCAGCAAGTCCTAGGCTCTGTGGTTTAACTCACAGCGCCACCTGCGTCCCAACAGCTGGGGTAAACAAGTACAAATTGGGCTGACAGAGGTTTCCCCTCCCCTCCGCTCGCTGTGTCAACATGTTCTCATCGCTGCATGTGGAACCGGGGACAATTTAGGACTACATCATTATTTGCAGCATCAAGACCTGACAAGGCATAATCAAGGCACACAAACACACAGCTTGTTGCTCTTGATCGCGCATTTTGTTTGTGGTGAGCGAGGGAGGCCATGCTGGGTGGCAAGAACAGCGATTGCACTGCAGGTTTGACCTCTCTGACCAAACACACCTCAAAGCAGGTGAGTGGATCTATCAGAGTGCTCCTTTGCTCAGCATGTTTATGCATCATCCGTTCCCACCCCGACCCCCAGCATCAGCAGTTTCCGTTGTTACTTGGCAGACTGAAATTTCCTGATACGGAGGAAGAATATAAAATGCATTAGCACTTGGCACTCATATGCTGAGATCCGGAGACAGGCCAAAAAGTGCTGGTTAAGATTTACCCACCATCTAGTGTTTAAAAAGGGAACATCCACAGACGGGGGCTGCATTCCAGATTCTTGGGCATCATTCCAAATATCCTCGGTAGCATATTTACAACACCACTTCCTACTCAGAAGTAAGCCCCACTGTACTCAATGGAGCTTACTCCTAGGTAAGTGTGCCTGGGACTGCAGCCTTGAATTTTGCCCCACTAACACAGGCCTGCACGTTAATGCTCGGGGTGATGGGAATTGTCGTCCAAGCTACATTGGTGTTAGCCCCCCTGGGCCCAGCTCTGACTGGGGAGGGCGGGGTATAAATAAAATTTATTATTATTATTATTATTATTATTATTATTATTATTATTAATAATAATACATTTGGAGACCCACAGGTTCCCCAGCCAGTCAACGCAGACCAAAGCCCACCATAGTATTTTTTTTAAAAAGGAGCAATGCTTCCATTTGTTCTCACTACATTTCATTTGGTTATCTTAACCTTACGTACTTAAACAAAACAAAACAAAACCAGCCCCCTCTTGGGCTTCAACCGGACTCCTTTCCAGCATCCATCAGTTTCATTGATCCGGTGTTTGCTGATCCTCTTCCCTCTTTGACGTGGTCCTTGACATTTCTCAGAACCTCAAGAACAAGCTGGCAACCATAACGCTTAGCAAAGGTCTCCCTGTAAATTCAATCAAAGTGAAAGCTGTATCCTTTGGCTAGGCTGGAATGCTTCTGAGTACAGACGACCAGCCTGCCGTTGTGAAAAGCTTTCCATCTACAGAGGGAGGGATTGTGATGTGTATCGTCATTAAAATACAGTGGTACCTCGGGTTACAGACGCTTCAGGTTACAGACTCCACTAACCCAGAAATAGTACCTCAGGTTAAGAATGCTTCAGGATGAGAACAGAAATTGCAGCACGGCGGCAGCAGGAGGCCCCATTAGCTAAAGTGGTACTTCAGGTTAAGAACAGTTTCAGGTTAAGAACGGACCTCCAGAATTAATTAAGTTCTTAACCCAAGGTACCACTGTACACCCAAAGAGGAATGGTTTTTTTCAACAGCAGGGTGAGCTCTGTTGCCTTTCATTGTTCCTCAGTTGCCACAAACATAGGAGCCAACTCATAGGGGCTGAGGTCCCTCCGCCCTCCAATAAAATAAACTGCAATGTTTGTGGGCATCGCCATTCAAATGGTGTGTGTATGCCGTGTCTTGTGACTGATTATGGAGGGCAGGCCTTATCTGCCCCCCTCCCAATATTTTATTCAAGTTGGCTCCCCTGGCCACAAACAGACTTTGGATCACAAGAAGTTTCCACCTATTCCAGGCAGGGTGTATATTCTACTCCCCACCCCCCACTCCTCATATCCTGCCAGTTTATCCACTGTAGGGTTTTCTGGGTGCTCTTTAAAAGAAAGAAAGAAAGAAAGAAAGAAAGAAAGAAAGAAAGAAAGAGATAAGCTTTCGCTCACTGTTTGTTTAAACTTCCAAATTTGCTCTGGTAAGGGAGAGCTGGTGGTTTCATGGCTGACACAAGACCAGCTAATCTGGCATCATGGCATTGGTTGATTGACAGGTGGGCAGCAATAAAACTGCTAGCACATTTGTAAAGCTAAGCAGGGTCCACTATGGTTTCAGATTGGATGGGAGACTGCATGTTGATATTCTTGCATTGCAGGGGATTGGATGACTCTTGGGGTCCCTTCTAATTCTACGATCTACGGAGTTAGGGGTGAGCAGTGAGGCAGCCACGTTTCTGATACTAAATTGTTCAGGGTAGTTAAAACAAAAAAGGATGGTGAGGAGCCCCATCTGATCTCCCCAAACAGAGTGAATGGGTAGTAAAAAGGTAGGATAGCTCAGTCAGTATAATCATGAGACTCTTAATCTCAGGTCATGGGTTCGAGCCCCATGTTGGGCAAAAAGATTCCAGCATCCCAGGGGGGTTGGACTAGATGAGCTCATGGTCCCTTCCAGCTCTACAATTCTATGGTTTTCTAAAATGGCAAGTGCAATTCAATGTAAAGCTGTGTACAGTGGTACCTCGGGTTACAAACACCCTGGGTTACAAACACTTTGGGTTACAGACTTGGCTAACCCGGAAGTACAGTGGTACCACGGGTTAAGAACTTACGGTAATTCGTTCTGGAGGTACGTTCTTAACCTGAAACTGTTCTTAACCTGAAGACCACTTTAGCTAATGGGGTCTCCCGCTGCCGCCGCGCCACTACTGCGCAATTTCTGTTCTCATCCTGAAGCAAAGTTCTTAACCCGAGGTACTATTTGTGGGTTAGCGGAGTCTAACCTGAAGCATCTGTAACCCGAGGTACCACTGTAGTACCTTGGGTGAAGAACTTTACCTCAGGATGAGAACAGAAATCGCAGCGTGGCGGCAGCGGGAGGCCCCTTTAGCTAAAGTGGTACCTCAGGTTAAGAACGGTTTCAGGTTAAGAACGGACCTCCAGAACAAATTAAGTTCTTAACCAGAGGTACCACTGTACAGCAATGCATATCAAGGCAAAAAAAATTCTTAAATTCACATGTACACTCATGACGTCTGAACTGACAATGATTTACCAGGAATTTGACTGGTTGAAGTGGATAGCTTGATGAAGATGTCAACCCAGTGTGCAGCAGTTATGAAAAAGGAAAATTCTGTGCTAGGACAATTTGGGTAATTTTCCTTAGCACATTTTCTGTAGGCAGCATTGCATGAGTCAGCTACTGAGACGCACTTAAATGAATCTTTGTGACAAAATCTGTATTTTAACCTATTATATGTTTGAGTCATTTGTGTAAAAGGAAAAGGAAAAAGCAGGACTAATGGAGATCTTTGTTGAAGGACATCTCCAAGAATATCCATTTGACTCTTGGTAGTAAAATATCCAGTGCAAAGCTCCAGCTGTAGCAAAACACTTGTGGTAACTGTAAACATGTACATCAAGATGGAAGGCCCAGGATATGTTTTTGCTGGCTCAGTCAAAATGGCAGGGTTATTGTGTGTTGGCCGGAGGGTTGGGGTTGGAGGAACAAATAGCTTAAATTGCAAGCAACTGCTAGGAGGACACATTAGGGCATGAATAATTTAGTGTCCATGAAAAATTGAATTCTACTGAAGGGGAGCTTTTGTGGCACATTTATGATTTGGAAAGATGAGACTATGCAGCAGAAGCGGAAGGAGCAAGATGGCAAATGTGGGTAAACTCACATAGAAGGGCAGAAGAATCATGTATCACTCCAACCAGCTCTACGCTTTTGCTGCAATGTTTACAGGACTACTTTTTTTTGGTAAGTCTATAGGCCTTCTGAGGAATGGCTCCTCCCATTGTCCCCCACTTCCCCTTGTTCCTGGCATAGCCTCCTGGAATAATACACATATCCTGCCTTGCTTCGACCCCGCGACCGAAAATTCTAACTCCTTAGCATCTCACGTTCCCAACGGAGACCATGCCATACAAGAATAATAGCATATTTAAACAATGTGCTTAAGACTGAGTACCTCTTTTTCTTAACGAAAAGCTGTGGGGATCCACTATCCAGATTAAGATTGCTGAATGGGGAAGGGGGATTAACCTTCCCCCAAGGAACATTATCTACCCTTCTTCCCAGCAAATACTACCTTGGGGAGCAAATAGCAGCATTTTTCCCGGGAGGGGGCTTCACAATGAGAAAATGACACAAATTCCTCTCCTGTGGACTGGCCTGATCTGAGGATTGGGCCCTCTGAGAATGCATTTATTTAAAAAGAGCCAGTCCTAAGCATGCTGTTTAAATATATTTCTAATGCAGCATGTAGTCTTGCTCTTGTACAGCTGGACTACCATAACAAATTATACATGGGGCCACCTTTGAAGACAGTTCGGAAACTGAGGATAGTGCAGAATGCAACTCCTAGATTGTTAACTGGCGATCTATGATTGCACCATGCTAGTGTTTCATCAGTCAGTTGCACTACTAGTTTGTTTCCAGGTTAGATTCAAAGTGCTAGTTTTGACCTTTGAAGCTCTTCATGGCTCAGAGCCAGAGAACCTGGATGTCATGGACTGGTTGAACACAGAGGACTGGTGGGCGGAACCAGCTGGGGAACCCCCATGGGAAGAAGGCTCAGAGCCAGGGGATTAGGGGTGGGATGATGATGAGTGGTCAGAGGGAAAGTGGGAGAAGACTGTGTGCACAGGCACACAGACACACTTCTTTTGTTTGACTGTCGCATTCGATCAAAGGAATTATGCAGGCTTTGAAACAATGCACAAACCTGCAGCCTGCCTACTGCCTACCAAAGGCAAGAACAGGGCGAGAGCACAAACAGTGTAATGGCTGTTTCAAATTGCTTTCTACTCTCCCAAAAGTCTGTCTCCAGTCTCCTGTAATTCTGTGAAAGGTTTCGTATGCACCTTTCACACGCACCAGGAAAATCGCTTCTTGCATTTCTACAATGGGAACGTGAAATCTACAATCCTTGGAACATACACTTGACCTTAAAAATCTCTTCTGCATTCTCTCCCATTTTAACAACATTCTCATGTGTGTGCTAATTGCTGAAAAATGCTTTTAGGATCACAGAGGGAAATGATTACCAAACACACAGAGATCTTTCTGTTGTGGAATGCTCCTCTCTTACAGCGAGATGTTTTTTCATACTTTCCGAACTGAGGTATCTGCAGGAGGACCAAAGCCATCTGCCTTAGAATGGTGTGTGTTTATGTTTGTGTGTTGCAGAAGGTTCTGTTCTAGAGAGTTCACATCCGTGGTGATGGTCGGGTCTATTGTCCCCGAGTATTGCTCAGTAGGAACTGAGAGGTACAGATGAAGATGGGGTGGGGAATCAATTCAGTTCACATCAGAAAGTAAACACACCTAATTCACACTTCCCGAAGCAATATGTGACCTGAAACACAGCCAGTCTTCGGAATTTGTATTTCTCAGTATTTGGCATGAAATAACCAGGCTAAGATGTGAGTCAAACAAACATAGGACCTCCCCCCCCCCAAAAAAGCTGAAGTGTTATGGAGCTTGCTGTAAGTTTATTTTAATTTATATATTATAACTGTATTCCACTCTTCCTCCAAAAGGGCTGCAAACACACAAGAACTGAACAAACTAAAACATCTAAACATAGTTGTTTATATATATGTGTGTGTGTGTGTGTGTGTGTGTGTGTGTGTGTGTGTATGAATTGAAAGGTAATTTGGTAGGCATTTCTATTGTTTTCTCTCTACCCAACACAAGAAAAAGTTTAAATACTACAACCTTGAGATACAGTTGCAATCAAAACTATTCAACCCCCATTGCAAATCAGATTTATTATCAAAATTTACAGATGTTCAGCTCTTTGCAATGAGCAAATCAAAGAAAAGCAATTGAAATAGCTTAACACAATGGATGCTTCAAGTGGTTTCTCCAAATTCAGCTGAAATTGCAAATTATACAGTTGTACCTTGGTTCTCGAACAAAATGTGTTCCGGGAGTCCGTTCAACTCCCAGAACCCTTCGAAAACCAAGATGTGGCTTCCGATTGGCTGCAGAAGCTTCCTGCAGTCAATCGGAAGCTGCATCGGACGTTCGGCTTCCAAAAATCATTCGAAAACTGGAACACTCACTTCCGATTTTTGATCGTTTGAGAGCTGAAACGTACGAGTTCCAAGGCGTTCGACAACCAAGGTATGACTGTACTGGTTTCTCCAGTCTCACTATTATTCCACCCCTGATTTGCAATGGGGTGGAATTGAATAATTTCGATTGCAACTGTAACAAATGTTCATGTCTTGCTGCCGCTACTGTGCTCCACCAGCAAGTGTTCACACCACCTTCTATTCCTGGCAGGGAGGAGTGGGAAAAGTGCCTTTATCGAAGCTTGTCCTTAGGATCCTGGCTTAGCTTTTCCCAAAGCCGTTTAGCTCTGCCTTCACCTTGTTCTTAAGGCCAAGTTGCTGGGAAACGTGACCCTTCCACTCCCTCTAACCAGCTGCCTCACCCTCCAGCAACCCACTGCTCTCACCACAGCATCATCTTCTATCATCTTGTCTGCATTGGCAATCTTGCCCCACTTCTGGCTTTCCTCTGCTTACTTTTGGCCAGGCTGATCACACTGCGGGGCCAATGGAGAGCCACCTGACACCGGCACATTATTAGTGCATCATCACCTTATTCACTCCATGTGTTGCAGCTGAATGTAATATGGATTCCCAGCTCTTTTTTGTTGTTGGTTGCATTGCAAACAATAGCATCTTGCATGAGGACACTTTATTTTAAAATGAAGGTTGACCTCTAGAGGTTCATATTTATGAAAACATGGTTTTCACCGTGTTACATACTTTGAACTATATATTTTTATATTTGACAGCTGGCTCTGGGTTGTGGTATATATTTTCAGCAATCCATAGCAATCAAGACGACTGATTGGGGGGGGGGGGCGGTTCACGAAGAATTAGAGCTGTGCCAGATGTTCTCCCACATTGGGGTCAAAAATAGCACAGAAATGTTTCCTGCTCCCTGTGAAATGGTGCGATGGTTCAGCTTTCATTGACGCTTTTCGCTGCCTACCTACTGCTGTCCTGGAACCACTTCCCCCCTTATAATTATGGAGTCTCCTTTTCCTGGGTAAAGTATCACGGCCAATCACAGACACACAGGGACCACAGAGTTGTAGTGTTAGAAACTGAGATATGAAAGCTAGGAGCTAAATGGCACCTTAAACCTAGGATATGGGCGCAATAATGGAATATCTAGGCACACTTTTTTATATATATAACAAGAATACAAAGCTGAAAGTGAATGAACTGCAGCTAAAATATTCTGTTCATTTTTCACATGGTCCAGTCCTTCCCCTGCCCACCCCACTAATATTCTTAAGAGGGTCTCTTCTCCTGTCTTCAGAGAATAGCTGGAAGTAGGGAGGCAGAAAACGGTCCTCCTTTCCTT